AAGAAGGGATCTTGACGATTTGTAATTTCACTTCTACTGCTACCCTGCCCAATCGAACCGAAAATGAACCATGGCCTAGGCTAAGTTATACATGCTACCCACCAACCAACAACATTTCCCTCTCTGGATCCAATCAAATCTACTGCACAATCTAAAATCTAGCACACGACACACTTTCAAACTTTTTACTCTCTTACATTCAGCGTTCTCCTTTGTTATGCTAAAACTTGTCTGCCTTTTACTTTTGGAGGGGATTAGGATTATCATCTGCAGTGCAAGGTTAAGGATGCACAAACGATACATCGCGGGTTGAGGAGAACGAGGAAAAAATTACATGTTGGCATATAATCGACGAAAAGTTTTCATTTTTAATATCGTGTCATGATGCTTCGTTTTTTATTGGTGGTGGGCCGTCTTCTTTTTCCATTCAAGAATGAAAACACGGGATTTCTAACGAGCCGTATTGAATTTGATAGTGAAGTGTTAAATCAAACGGAGGGATAACTCATTGCGCTCATTGTATGGTTCAAGACTGGCTTGATAAAAGGTTTGAGATTGAGATCTGAGATGGCTATTGTCCTGATCCACCTACCCAAACATGACGCAATATGTACGTACTTATGTACGTGTAAAAGCAACCTTCTCAATAAATGAAAAGATTTTGGTGAATGGGAATTGCATGGCGTGGTTTTCGAATATATAAATATAAATAAGAACTTGTATGAGACACCTGACATCTTAAATGTTAAGAACACGTGCCACTCATCCACATCCATTCATTTCTATGTTTTCCTTCGCACTGGGGAAGGAAGGTTAGAGTCCCTTTAAATTTTTAAAGATCTTCATTTTCATTTACACCTACACTTGCACCACCCATCAACCGGACGACTCTTTCTCCCGTTTAAAGCAATGAAATTAAAAGTGTAAATCATTTCCAAGATCCGGTCACCATCAAAAATGTTGCTACTGACGAGGACGAGGGAAATAATTAAGAATGAATCGCTCGACACTCGTCGTCGCAAGTGAGTAACCAAAATGTATGGGCGAGTATTGTCGCGTATGGAAGCGTGACATGAAATGTTTTCATTCAGAAAAATGTGTACAAAAGGATTCTTGGATTTCCTTAAGTCAGTCATCCAAGTCAGTCGCATGCAAGCGAGTGACCCTCGTGTCTCGTTACTCGCATAATATACGTAGAAATATAGTGTGTTAAAAAAGTGACTGCACCCAAGTCCCTTCCTTCCTGCGAGGATGAGTCATTCATTGATGCCACTCATTCACTCACTTAGCTCGTGGTGGGGCAGAGTTTACCTGAATTTAATGAGACTTGTCATGTATGTGGTTATGCATGCATGAGAAGTAAGATGAGACAGAATTAAGGGACTTCCTTTCCATGCCATTTCGATCGGATCTCCTTCCTTCCTTCGGTGTTGGCTTAAGAAATTGAAGTTCCGGCCAAATCTTGTTTCACGGGGCTCAGTTTCGGCTAAATTTATCTCTTGGAGAACAAAAAGGATGATTTCATTTATCTAATGCTTGGTGGTTTTATGGTTGGTGGTTGGAAATTAAGTGTATTTAATAATAGTCCCGAATTATACATACAAGTCGATTTGGGAATGACAGTAGTGACAAAGGGAGCGGATAAGGATCTGAGCATCAGTGGATACTCAATACATACATGATTTTGTATACTAATAAAAGTAATTTTGCGTGTCAATTGAGAAGAAACTAGTAAACCGTGTGGTCAAAATCTAAACGTGAATTCTGCTTGGCATAAAGATAAAAAATTGATTAATTTAAAACGATACTATCATATGAAGATTTAGGATTAGTTGCCAGTACTATGAACAAGAAGTAGCCTGCGAATAATTAATATGCATATATTCGACTTTTGCATACTTTGATGAGACATAAGTATGTACCCCTGCCTGGTGCGATTAAAAACTAGCATTTATTTTTCTGCCTATTTGAAATAGTAAAGACTCGCGACCACCACCAACGTCTGCAAACTACTCAATCAGAGTATATTGCATGTTTAATTCTAATTCTAATGACCCTCGCGTCATCAGTCAGACGACTAAATACGTATACTTGCTGGAGGAGCAAAACAAGTGACTGAATTTATGAATATGTACATATACGTACACGACTGTATTAATAAGCTACTTCTTGGCTTGAATAAACGAGTAAAATTTAAGGAGGATGTGGAACTTCCTTTTTAGAACCAATTGACTTTTGCTTCTCTCAAATCTTCCAAGTCTACCTACTTAAGACTATTATGATCAAGTAGTAGCAACCAGCAAGGAGGCAAAACCATAAGCAGTAGGCAACCACAAGATCAAGATAAATTAAACCGGCCTTCTCCCATCGCTCTGTACAGATGTACATATTAGTTAGTTTCGCTGTCGTCGTCATCTCATCTTATAAATTAGTAATGATGGCATGATAGTAGCTCGATCTCTTTTGTCGATCTGCATCTCTTCTTCTCTTCAGCTCACGTTTCAAGGAAAACAAAACAGGGAGAAGGTTTCGATATGATGCTTTCCCACGAACAGAACAAATTGATCTATATAAATTGAAACTTATTTCATTTTGTGACGGCATTGATAATCGCTCGTAAGCAAGATCATCAAAACAGGCAAATAAAGCAACTTCATAATTGCTCTCTAGTGGTTCGGGTTATCGTTGTTCTCATGTCGAGTCGAATTGAACTTTTATGATGAATTTATGTATCAAACTAGAGTAAAACATGTCATCTGCTTTAATCAGATGGAGAAAATACATGTATGCAACTAATACATACCTCCACACACATAATGCACCTGTCTAAGAAGGGAAGCATTTATTTATCCACAAGCTTTAGTTTTTTTACAAGAGTGTATTCATGTACTTGTCTTAGCTATCGTGTAAGAAAGTGAAATTGCTAACGGACTCTTTTCTCTCCACTTCCTTTCAAACTTCCGTGTCCGATTCCTATTAATGTTGCACAATGAATTGTGGTAGGAAAAAATTGACTCGTGCCTTATGAGACAACGGCCAAAAGTTTACAACCAAAGTTTACTGACTTGAGGGATCCATTCCTTCCTCAGAGCACTTTTGTGACTTCCTTGACTGAGCTCGAATTTACTTCCGCTCACCTGCAATCACAATTTGACCGTTGGCTTGTTTTCTCAATTTGGAAAGTATTTATATTATTTTTCATGTGAAGGAATAGTAAGTAAAAATACATGGAAAGACAAGATGATACTATTTGAATCTTCAGTTTTGAAAAAAAACTTCATGGATGGATGAGTGAGCATTCATTTTCGAATGAGGAGGAGGTGAGGGCGTGAGAAATTTGGTGAGGGTAATTAATCATGAGGAGATAGATTGGATGGCAGATGGATTATCTATGAGCCACTGACTGAAATAAATTTCAGGGCGAATTAGCTTCATAAGGGCTTCGCTTCATATATCAGCAACCAAGGGTTGAGTTGGACTGGTCCAGTTTTTAATGGATGTGCAGAGAAAAAAATAATTGCTTATTATTACGAGTTCAACGAATAGCGCTGCTAAAAGAAATACATGCATGTTGTGTAATTTCTCCAAAACTAAGAGTTCTTCGGCTTCACGCATTTGTTGCAAAGTGGGACAAATCAGTGTTAATCATGTTAATATTAGCGCTAAGCTAGGATATAATTGCATTATAATCCTGCACAATAAATATCTGCATTTATTTATTTAGTAGGGTATCTAGATTTATGACTTGCACAGAGAAGTCATCACGTCCCTTCGGAATGAGAATGAGTTGCCACCCATAAAATAAAACTCCCCTTTACTTTCAATTTGATCATTTCATTTGATTTTGCAGGCTTTAATTAATTTACAAATCCGCATCTTGTCTGCTTGTGGCCTTTTTATGGACTGATCATATTGTAAGTTATAAACTTGTCACAATCAGCTCGTTTTGTACCACTAAATTATGCATTGCCTTTCCGCTGGATATTGCACATATTTTATAAGATAACAAAACAGAAAAATTCGATATCCTACACATATTTTGTACATTTTGGGAGAACATGGAAAAAAATAATTTATTGATAGCTTTCGGATCTTCTTGATCTTTGTTCAAGTCAATTAATGACGAAAAATTGTATAGAAAAATTCATACTGCTTTACAATTTTTTTTCCCTGCGTTTAATACATTTTACAAATATTTGTTGATGAGAGAATGCGTGAAACTGTTCCATACACGTTATTGTGTCTTCACAATATACGCACGGATCAAATTTGTACCCAAATTTGTGATACAATTGGCACATGTTTTCCCGTTAACCAAAGGAGAGGAACAGTTATCTTGTAGATCTACATGGAGTTGTGGCTGAACTATAGTTTTCACGTTTACAAAATCATATCCAAAATCTAAGAGTGCATTTGATATGATGATGGAAAAAGCAAGGAGGAAAAATTCGCTACTACAGTAGTAGCACCGCTGTACATTTGTATATGATAGATATGCACAAGTAGACATCGTTGGGCTGCTGGAGGATTTAGATTACGAAAAGTTTATTCCACTTTCCTCCTGCTCCAGTATTGGGTCGCTGTATTGCTGCAAGTTTGGATGGATGGATGATTATTATGATCCCCTATTTCTTCGTGTCATGAGGAGAACAAAGAATAAACGCAGATGTTCGGCAAGGAGCCCAAAACCACTTTCAATGAATTTATCCATCGAGTTGCACTCACTCATACGCCAGCGTTCGAATTTGGGGAACCCCCTTTGCTCAACAATGATGAATAATATGCCCCTTCATCCACGCTCCTATCCTTTTCATACTCAAGTTAGAAAGTTGATATGCTGGCTACTGGAGAAACTGCTGGATAAGTACATATGTAATATGCTGGCCAACCAGCGTGTACAAATGTAGCGGTGGTTGTGGGGCGGTATATGGCGGTAGTTGCCCCAAATGCAATAGTTTTATCAATGCATCCTTCTATATTTTTCATATCTTTTATTGCAGGAAGACTCAGGGAAGGGTATGATGGGAGCAGAGCCCCTTGAAGTCACCAACCCTCATCAATCCAGCACTACGGAACATCAACATCAACAAACTTCACTTATTGCTCCGTCGACGCTCGAAGACGGTTGTTGGGACTCAGGTAGCTCCAACTCGAAGCACAGTCTAAGTCAACAGCACCACTTTCAACTGAACGGAGGTGGTCAAGGTGGGAGTCAGAGTCAAGGATCTTCTACATCTTCCTCGTCAGGAGTAGGCGCTAACAAAGGTGCTCGAAGAACACGACATCGGTAAACAACATTGTTTTTAGATTATTAATAATAATGAAACGCATGCACAAAAATTTCGCTACTGATACGCAAAGAAAAGCAGCATCTTCATGCATGTCTATATTTTCACAAGTGTAGTGTCGACGCTGGAGAACCACGAGGCTGCTTCAATTCTAACAATTCCGGTTTTGGGTTCCAACCTAGAAATATTTTTACGTCGCCGCTAAGTCAGCACAAATCTGTCGGAGGTGCAAGTCCACTTGTTGCTACGTCTCACAACAACAGCAACACGAATAATACCAATAGTTTGAGCCCGTTCCACATTCCCCATCATCATCACCATCATCATCCCAGCCCTCACTTTCTCCATCATCCAAATTCCCCATACTTTCCCCCCGGATTTAACAAGGGTCTGAGCCAGGAGGGTCAAGACGCCTACTATTTCCAACCCATGAAGATGCTCAGCGAATATATCACTTCACAACAAGCAGCAGCCGCCGCAGCAGCCGCAGCCATGGCCAGCAACGCCTCACAAAATAGGGGTCAAAACGGTTCAGTCCCCGATCAGCAACTCCTCTTGAGAGAAATGTTGAGCAAATCCTCCAGAAATAATAACAACAATAATAACAATAATGTGACCAAGTGTGGGTATGAAGAGGATGTCGTGAGCGTGGTGGAGCAGCAGAGCAGTGGTGGGAGTGAGAATAATAGACCGGAAGTTGATCAAAAAGAAGATTCAGATTTGCGAGATGATGGAAATATTAGGAGCAGACCAGGTAGCAGTGGTGCTGCTGGAGAACCAGATACAAATGAACTTGCAGACAGTGAGGATGACGAAGGTGCACTCCTCAACTCTGGAGCTAGGAAATTAAAACCTGTGAAATTGGAGACGTTGATGGAGAACGGAGGCAGCATTACGAAAGGCCACCCCATTGTGAATGGACATCGTGGCGTGGAAGTTGGGAGTGGAAGTGCCAGCTCCTCGGTGACTAGTGGAAATTCAGGGGTTGCCAGTGGTATGAGAATCAACGGGTGCAATAAGAGAAAGCTGTTTTTTCCAATGAAAGCGTAAGTGAAAGTTACTTTTCTGTGTTTTGGTTTACGTATATGGTTGATATTTAGCATGTTAGGGAAGTTTATCAAATTTTGAGTTATTTAGGACTGACAATATTTGTTTTAGCTAAGTGTAAGACATGTTCCTCTTATGCTTTCTGGTTTTCAAATGTTCACTTTTGTCCAATTTCGCCACAGATCCCAGAATGAGGACAGTGTCCCCCAGTTTCAACCTCAGCAGAGGAACTTTGACGAGGTGGATGAAGAAGACGGTAAGATTTTGTTTTCAAAATTTCTCCTTTCTTTTTGCTACCAAAGAGGAGTGGGAGATGTAAATAAATCAGGGATTGTCAAAGGGAACGAGGGGCTTTTAATTACCTGGAGAGACCATTAACCCTTTTCTTTTTGTTTTCTTTGTTTCATTCTTCTTAGAGCATATCGGGTTAATTAAGTCTAGAGTCAAATTGAGGTTTTAAATGTCTTTGCTGTTACAAAGTGTAGACAGACCCATAGATATGCTGCTCTCTTTTAGCACATAAAATATAAGTGTACGGGAAAAAGCTTAGGAAATCGAAGCAAGTTTGAGACTCTTTATTCTCTCCTTTAAAGGCAACAAAAGCAGAATTTAAACTTTTTCAGGCTTCACTTAACTTGACTTGAGTTCGGGCTAATTTGATACCTGATATATTTTCGCTAGCAATAAGGTGTAAGACAATCGACCGAGTATCAAATATACACAGTTGCATAAGGAGGAGGAGAAAGGTGGGACGGAGAGCTGTATAATTTACTCTTCTAATTAACACCTTCGTCTCTTATTTTACTTTCCTGAGTAAAATAAATTTAGTAATCACGCCGACTGCTTTCACTTTGTTCATGGTTGGTTTCGTAACAAAATGCCTGTTCTGTCGTCCATTTTCTTATGCAACAAACTCTTTTAACTTTCCCAGCCCACTTTGTCTGCGTATTAATTGACACTCATTATTGGTCGTTATTATTTGTTTGGTAGAATTGGAGGACGAAGAATACGACGCAAATGTGCTGGCCGGAGCTGCCACAGCGCTCGGGCGATCAAAGAGATTGAAGGAATCTGGATCACGGTCATCGCCAACTTTGGGGCGAGAGTCCGATCCACTTCCCCCAACTGCTCGGAGTGACCTTCTCCTAGCCCAAGAAGAGGAGGAAGAGGAGGAGATGCGCATGATGATGAAAAGTGATCAGCACGAGTATGACGGTAAGAAAAAAATATGTATGAAGTTGGGATTAATTTTGACATCTGAAAACATTGAGTGCACCAATTACACTGTACGTCGTTGCATCATTTAATGTGCGTATATATCACATCGTATGTAATGCATGTATCATTCTCATAGTAATTCACCTTCACCAGGTTATTTATTGCATATGGTACTTATTTGTACAACTTTCTTTTGACTTCTTCCTCCCTTAATCTGTTTCAATCCCTTCTTTCTAACTTTTCAAAACTTTCACTTCATACAGATTCGAATAGGCTAGAAACGTAAAATTTGGAAAAAATAGCAAACTGCACTTTTTTGAACTGGTGCGTTGTCAAATACCAGAAATACAGCACATTCTCATTACCATGTTCTCTTCACAGACATTCCTGAGGATGACCAATTTGATGATGACGAGGATTTGGTCACATCCAACAGAACTACGCCAAACATCCCTGCAGGGAAAGATACGGGGATGAACTTGTCAAATGCTGCCCCATTAACCAGGCAACTGCTAACAGAAAGTAAGTGTAACAAACTACTCAAGTTAATGTTAACACAGCAGTAGTTTATATCGTCACATTTCTTATTATTTCTCACTGTGCCCCAGTCTTACGGGCATATGTACGTTGTATACATGTCTAAGCTGCATATTAATTATACTTTCTCCTTTTATTTTCCTGAAGGGAGCGGAAACAAAGAACATGGAAAGTCGTCTTCCCCTAATTCAATGTCAATCTTGAGGACAACCTCATCCCCAAAGATAATGATGAACAATGGGATGAATTGTTAGTATGCATTTGTATTTTAACCATTACTTTCAGAACTTTAGTAGCATTTTTGTGTACTGCTTTATACAACTCACATTAATTTAACAATTCATCTCAACAGTGGCCAACAACATGAGGCGTCGTGAACCCAATAGCGCAGAAATGTTTGTAGATCTCCCGTTCGGTGCTGGCGTTGGGCCGAACCCGGCAGCTTACTTTTATCAGTGGAAGGAAAATTTCAAGTCTACTCTTATCACACACATTAATGAATTGGTGGACACTCAGTTCTCGCTCCTCTTTCCTGCTGGACAACAAGGGCATCAGTCATCTGGGGCTAGCAATAATATCCAGGGTGGTAGAAACACAATGCCCAACATGCCCAATAATATCCCTCCCCCTCAAAATCATCACCAACATCCAAGAGAGTCGCCAAGGCTTGAAAAATTGGAGAAAATTCCTCTTCAGCAGAAGAACCCCGTAAGTCTCCTGCTTAATGGGGGCACCGTTTGCAATAACAGAGAGCGAGAACGCGAAATGCTGAGCCCACCTCCAGAAAAAATGACGAGACTTGATCGGAACTCCAACTTTCCTTCCCGATTTCCTTTCCAAGTTGCAGGAAATATACCTCGAGAACGAGACTCCCACATGAATAATAATAATAACAACAACAACAATAATAATAATAATGGAAATAATAACAACAACAAGCTCACTCTTGGACAATTGCAGCAACAGCATCAACACCAGCAGAATTTCTCTACTGCCCTTATGGGACTTAATGCTCAAATGCAGCAACATCAAGCCATTGCAGCCGCTGCAGCGGCTGCAGCAGGTCTAAATTCAGATATGTTTGAAAATGATGCTCCGATTAGTCTTGTTGTAAACCGAGATCAGCTAACTCCAAGAAAAAGGCGTCATAAGGTATGAAAGACTTTCACCGATACTGCTTATTTAATTATTTAATGACTAAAAACTAATTGGCATTTCATGTGCAGGTGACAGATACCCGCCTCACACCTCGAGCGGTGTCTCGACTTCTCGGACAAGTTGACAGCTATGGAGGAGATCTTTCTCCACAACGTGGGGAAGGAAGAACACCACCTCCTTCAATGTCAAACCCTTCGAGAGATGGAGGTCAACCCAGTCTCCCAACTTCCGTGGCTATTGCCAATCCCAGTTTGTCTGAATCTGCGAGATTATTCACTCCTTACGCACATCCGCTTTTTGGGCATCATCCACCCCCTGGAAATCACCACCGGTTAGGATCATCACCCCCAATTGGGATTCACCCAGCACTACTTGCAAACCCGGCCGACTATGTGCAGCAATTAAGGGCAGAGATGCAAGAACAAAGAAATGGGGAACTGAGCCTCCTTCGTGAGCGAGAATCCGGTCGAAGTGAACATGTCAGAGCGGTGCGGGACAATGGCAGTTTGATGACCGTTGGAGGAAATGAACGCGGAGGCAACGGAGTCAGACCCAGTTCTGTTGGTTCGGATTCCGGGGAAACAAATTCCTTTGGTGGGGATTTACCAGGAAGTATTTACTCTGTTGGAACCAGTAAGTAAAAAAAATATTCAGATTATAATCGAGCATTCTTTAGACTAGTTGAAGATACATATGTATGCATGTACATGGTTTGGGCGTGTGTCGTTGATTTCCAATTCATTTCTTTAGACAGGTGTAAATTTAATGCTAGTTAACTAAAGGAGTGTCTTGCGTCAATTTGGAGAGAATATGATCTCAACAGACATAAATACATACATATGTTCTGTTCTTGTTTTTACAGCAGTTGTGACTTGCGATTTGGTTTTGCATTGCCAAGTCTAAAAAATACATATTTACTTACACGCAACCAAATACTAAATTTAATGTTCTTTTCAAGTAAAATATTACAAGATTTGTATTTGCTTCTGTTGAGAGCAAAATGTCTGCTTTTAAAACCCTCATACTTATTCAATTTAGAAAAGTATACAGCACTGATGTTCATACAACATGCATATCTATCGAATAGGCCGAATATTATGCATGTTAAATAAAATATTTTATGGTCTGCTTTCCGAGACTACTTTTAAATGAAAGTTTATTTAATTCTCAAAATACGACGCGGATATAGTTAACCAACCGCAGAAAGAACCTCCAGATTTTGGCTGAGAAGCTTGCAGTAATATTTAAATCGTATCAGCCAGATATAAGAAAGAGTCGAAGCCATAGTTTTATTTTTACATGCAGAAACAAGATTCGCTATTGAATGCATTTTTCGAACGATAATCGAATTGTTATTCAATTCTACATTCCCTCTGGGGCAGTTTTAACCGCAAGTGTTTTTACAGAAATTGTTTAACTTTCCAACGACACGTAATTTCATAGAGGTAGTCATACGTATATACAGCATTATTACTATTCTTATCTTTGACCACCTCCATCTTCAGGCGAACGCCTTACTAGGCTGGTTAACGAGCATCAATATAGTTGATTCTTGAAAAACAGAATTGGAAAGTCGTGGAGACAGACAGACAGACGGTCCACGCGTCCCCATGAAAGGGTTTCGCCACACAATAATGGAGCAGATCTTCTCTATTCTTCTCGTTAGCAGTATAAGGTTTACGTACGTATGCTTCGAATAATGATCTAGGTAGTAAATTGCCCATTGAAGCAAATGCAAATGTTTTCTGTTTCTGCGGTTTACTTTACTTACAAGTTACTTATGTATACTAGGAACGCAGTAATGTGGCAAAAGTTTCGTAAGAGTGAGGAAAAGAGGACGATACCCTCATATCATGAAATACGAAGAATGGAATAATATTAATCTAAATTAGTGTCGTTCATAACTCTATCAGAACGTATACGCTCGTCTCATTAGTAGGCCAAGCTACACCTGTGCGCCCTTTTCTTGACACAATGCACACTAGTAGAAGACCAGAACAAGTAATGCTACGACTAGACGATGCATGTTTAATAACTCGATTTATTATTCCATTCTCGACTAAAATTTTATGATGGTAGAGGTTACAAACACACACACACCTTCAACGACATCAAATTTCTCCACTCTGCAAGAATTTAGTATTTATTTGGAACACAAAATGCATAATAAGTTTCTTCGAATTAACATCTGCAACGACAATGAGAAGAGTTTGAGATGATGATGACAATCGTAAAATGAGGCAATATGCGGCCATTGAAATTCTAACGAATTCTTAACTTTTCAGGCCACGGATCCTCTTCCACATTGACACCGATGCATTTGCGAAAGGCAAAATTAATGTTCTTTTGGGTAAGTTTTACACAATTGTACATGTTTGTGAAAACTAGGAGTGAGTCCTTCATGGACCACTCATCAGCTAAGGTCTCAGCCTGTGGGTAAGGCAACTGCCTCACCTGCCTGAGAGGATGGTTGGTGGGTGTGTCCCGTTTTACAGTAGTTTGGGTCCAATGACTCGTCGCCTTATTCTTCAGAGCCTCATTCAATGAATCATTTCAGGTGCGCTATCCGTCATCCTCCGTGATCAAGATGTACTTTCCTGATATCAAGTTCAACAAAAATAATACTGCCCAACTTGTCAAATGGTTCTCTAATTTTAGGTAAATCGCATTGCTTTGTATTTGAGTTAATTTTAAGTCTTATGACAAAAATATATTTACGGATGTACATAGGAGTTTTAGTACTAGCTAATTAATTGAGATGTAAATGACACAATTAAGAAATATTAATTTTAAAAAATAGCATGAATAATCCAAACTAATGTATTAACTCAACAGGGAGTTTTACTACATCCAAATGGAAAAATACGCCCGTCAAGCACTAGTAAGTCCATATTATTATAACCATAATCTATAAATACTAAGTGCTTCTATTTTATTCAAATTAAAAAACGCCGTAACGAATAACAAGTACATATTTGTATGAATAGCTGTAATATAGTTCATAAATACTGAATCTTTTAATTTGTCTCCTCCTCCTCCTGTGTCGGCAAAACCAATTCCTTTACATCAGCCATGTTAATAACAATGGGATATTTAATCCCTTTCAATTTCATGTGAGGTTTCTCTGTTCCAAAAGTAATGGGTGAGACCCCTGCCAGTCCCAATTCAACAACCTCTTCTTTCTCCTCCTTTGAACAACGCAACCACGCAGCGGGGGATATTTGTTTGTTGAAAGGGTTCACCTTCCTCCCTTGTCGTCTCACCCGAGCTTGCAAAAAGAGATGAACCTGAAAAATAGTCAATTATTAAATAATGAAATAATATTGAATCTTGATAAGCAGGAAATTATTACTAGCAACAGAGCCTCCAACTTTTCAGACTCATCCACATTCTCACGAGGTATGACACCGACTTGGATGCATTTCCTCGATCCATCCAAAATTGCTCTCCCAGGTCTAGTTAGGGACGGGGTTTTTTTATGTCCCTTGTGCATACCGGTACCGTCACGATTTTTCCCGACATAGCACGCGGTAGTCTCACTCACCTCAGGTGTGGCGTCCCAATGTCGACAGTACTCAGTGGGTGACATTTGACCATATTGTTCAGTCAGGGGCAATATTGCAATGTAAACACATGCTTTTACGTTTGCAGTGTTATCTACGCTTGCTTGGATTTTCTTGATTCGGTCAGCTAATTCTTTTTCAATTTTGTAGGGGTCAGTCAGTAGTTTCTTTGGTGGAAGTAATTGGGGCGGTCGCTGGAAGTTTGACTGAGTGGGGATTGGAAATGGTAATATTTTGCATTCTTTGTTGGTGAGGTGGAGGAAGGCGACACAGTCTGGTCCACATTTGGCAGCTCGGCAGAGAAAGGGAACCCCTGTCACTCCATCCGTGATGGCTTTCTCTTGGTCTGCAATAGGAAGAGTAAGGAACGTAGCTGCTTCCCTTTTCATATTTAGCCACCTCATCCTTGACCCGTCTTTGGCAATATAATCTTGACTAGATAGAGCGTATTCCTATTAAATGAGGAACAAAAAACTTGATCATTATTATACATGCATAAAAGTATTCGTTTGGAACATACAATTAATTTTGATTCCAACTCATGTGCTGATTGGAGATTATCCTTATGAGCTGTTCCCTTGAACTCTCACAATTTCAATAACACTACAGTCTCCCCTCTTCGTCCTGCCTTCCACAAACAAGAGTTCACTGCATCCAAGAAGTGATGAGGGGCCACACCAATTCCTTTTCCATTACATCCGATATAAAACGAAACGTTGTCACCACCCTTCATGACATAGTCAAATGCTTCAGCAACTGAGGTAAACCTCCCACGGATGGTGGCGACTAGATACACGCTACAAGGGTCCGTGACACGTCCCACTTCTGCGGTGCAGTATAAATCCAACCTTTTAACCCACTTCTTGCACAAATCACGGAAATTAGCATGGTGGGGCAGGACAGGGTCAACAGTTCTCAACTGATTGAGTTCGTTTGTATGGAATGGGTGAAGCTGTTTCATTTGAGATTCAGACCTGAAATCATCATCCTAATTTTACACTTTTATCCAAATAGTAATTGTTTATTGTGTAAATAACTCACAATGTATTGATATCAATAATGGTGTGGTTGAGTAAGATGTGGAATTTCAAGTGAGAGTTATTCCCTCTAACAACTAAATGACAAATAGGGCAAGTACTTGAGGGGAGTTCACGGTCTCTATATAAAATGAAAAGATTGTGATGCACATATTTGTTACAAAAGTATTTGTATTGATTACTTACGAGTTGTTTGGACAACTCTCATCTTCATGACGTTTGCAATGGTAATTATTGGCAAACCCCTTCTTACAATACTTGCATGAAAACCTGAGAGATTTAGTGGTCTTCCTGATTGCTGTGGGTGTCCTTGACTTTCGTCCCAGACTACAATCGACATGGTTCATTTTTATAAGCATATTATATTAAACTTTAGTACTTACTCTCGAGTTACTGTTGGGATGGGAGGAGTAGGTGGCGGAGTTTCAAAAATAACTCCAACATCATCATCATCCTCTGTAGCGGTCGGTGTGAGCGTGGTTGACAAGAGTCGTGTCGTCTGTCTCTCTCTCGCAGCAGTGGGTGTGTATGTGGCGGATGGAGGGTGAAATAAAGGAGGACGGTGGAGACATTTCCTCTGGTGGCGTCTCAAACCGATTCTGAGAGGAAAGGTTGCATCACAAGGTGACCACTTGCACCTAAAAACAGTAGTTCCCCTGTAATTCACATTTCAAAATAAATCCTCCTTAACTAAATAATCCATCATAATAATTATTAAACACTTACTCCTTACTCCCCATTTTCGATACTCTGTCTACAACCTTATCTGACCTAGCACTAAGTAAAACTACGACTAGTAAACAAACACTAAAAACAATTAAATTCAATTTTAACAATTGACACAAAAATGACTAAAGTTGCACTGGTCAGTAAGTGGCGGGCAGTATTTCCCGAGCAACTCATCTGGAACGTATGATAACAGGGTACTTTCAATGTTGCTTGACACTCAAGTAAAGTTGTCAAGCAACCGTGGGGTACTTTGAATGTCATAGTTATTATAACTATAGATAACTATGGTGCTCAAAGTACCCTGGTATGATAAATATCATAAATTAAACTGCGGGTGGTTGAGAATTTGAACATATCTCGGGCTTATGTACCCGCCTTGTCCTGTCGATTTATTTGCACAACAATATTTTACTAACATAAGCAATCTTTTCTTTATAAAAGAGCGAAGGCATAAAGAACGCTGAGGAACTCCATGTCACGGTTGACAACGAGCTGTACCGCGTCCTCAACCTTCACTACAATCGCAATAACCATATCGAGGTCCCAAGCAACTTTCGATACGTCGTTGAGCAAACCCTTCGCGAATTCTTCAAAGCCATCCAGCAAGGCAAGGACCAAGAGCAATCCTGGAAAAAGGCCATTTACAAAGTAATACTTTTAAAATCAACTTACCATTTAAAGTCCTAAGTCAAGTCCTCAGTACTAATCTATGGTTTTGTCCTTTCTTCCATATCACTAAGCAGATTATTGCTCGAATGGACGACCCCGTGCCGGTACGTTTTTTGACCTTTTCGTACAATTACTTCGTTGTTCTATGCATACATTTTGTCTATACACATGTTTCAACTTTACAGGAATACTTCAAGTCTCCGAATTTCCTTGAACAGCTTGAATGATTGACAAAGACCTTGACCCCACCACAACATCAGTCAGGGGTCAACATCTCCAGCGATCAGACTCCAAGCCCTCCGCCTTCAGGGACACCTTTATCGTCATTCCCTTATCCCCTCTTGCTGCATCATCCGCATCCTCGCCTGGGAAGTCCACTAGGCTTCCCTCCGCCCTCACTCCCCCCTTCGTTTTTAACCCCCACAGGATGTCACAGTCATCCAGGGGGTGGTTCTATCCACTTTGGTCCACGTATCAGACCCTTATTCCCGTTCATGAAATTTGACCTTTGTCCTCCTATTCATCCACCTCCTCCGCTTGGTGGTAGTAGGATGGTTGGTATTGGATCTCCAAGTATCATGAGCATCAATAGTCAGCCAATAATTAGGACGAGCAATGATAGAAAGAGTAGCACTGGTAATTCAAGCAGTAATTTTAATAATACGGCCGGTGGTCAATGTTACATGTCTCCACCTTGGCGCTAACTAACTATACATATTACGTACGTATCTTAAAATGGATCATTAAATAGTTGCTTAACTGCCAGGGTCATAAGAATTTAGAGATTTTATTTAATAGTCCTTTGGGTAATGCAGTGCAATGCAATTTTAATTTATCCAAGACATGTGTTAGACATTTGTTTGTTTGTAAATACATGCATACAATATTGTAGGAGACCAAGTTCAAATGAGAATTTCGAAAAGTTTTTTAATGAAACGACAAATTAACTTATTCGTATTCTGTTAATGTCTTAATAGATTTTAGTGCCTTTAACACCCACTCCTCCGCTGATTGATTGTTACCAACAAAATACAAATAAATAACTAGGTTCTTTCCGTTTAAATGTAGAAATGTGCATTTTTAGTATAAGCGTTAACATTAAAAGAGGACAAATGTACATACATAATAAGTATACAAAAGGAGATAGAGTAACCTACAAAACATACGCAATGCAACCAAAATGCAAATAATGCTAAAAGTTTGTTTTATCTAAGTTTTCTTGTATTTATTTTTGCTTCATGTAAATTGAAAAGCTCACCGATTTTTCATCACCATTTCAAAAATTGTTATCAACTAGTCTGCACCTTACACGAACTAGTCAATAAGTCAAAATAATATGCTAGCAAATTTATTGTAAATTGAGTGATTCGGTATTTTTAACAAGCAAACTTGATATCGTACCATATTCATAATTTGCAATTATTTTATCTGTATATACATGAAGCAATACTGTATTTATGCCGCAGGTATTATTACATATGTATTAGTCTTAACTTAATCACTCAAAAGTGATTTAACGGTGACGGTGATTTCGTTTTATCCGGCTTGACATGAGGAGAAGCTATTTACATATTTATTTTATTCTACTGGTGATTGATTGCATTTATAAGTTTTGCACCAGTCACAACACAAATTGTACATTGCTAAAGTCTGTTAAAAAAGTTACCAATTCACAGGTTTAGTTTAAACTATTTAACCCTTATTTATTTATCTGTTAGTATTTATTTCTGAAAGAATAACCACAAATTTTAAGTATTGCACTGGTATTAGCGGTATAAAAATATGTAATATTAGTAAAGCATTTCATATGGTTTTAAGTCATTTTTAGCCTGTTCAAGTTTTACCAATAATAATATTTCGAATGAAATTTTTCATACAAACAATAAAGTATTGAGGAGTATGCAGAAGTGTAGAGAGACAGATGACGATGGTTCTCAATGCAATATAGCATTACCAATTTTAGAAACCAAATAGACGGCAGTATTTGTTAAATCTAGTGAAATTGATATTAAGCTAATTATCATTATTATTGTTGACTCAACACATCTCTTATCGAGTTCAATTTGATACATAAATAAATATAAATATGCAAATATGCAGTTTTTCTTATTTCATGTACTATGCATATACATCGGGACTTGTTGGATTGACATTTCTCAATAAATTGCATCGGTAGGGAGAAGATGCCGTACATAGAACTAATTCACTTCACTCATGGTGCCAATTCGTGGTAACTTGTTTTGTTTATTGAAAATGAAGCCACATAACATTTTCTTTTATACATTTTTTCTCAACTACTTCAAAGAATAACAAGTAATGGAAACTGAAAATGACGGATTACGAAAATATGAAAAATTCAATTAAATGTTAACTTCTTTTCCATTAACCAATCGAGCTCTGATGTGAAAAATTTCCTACATTCGCAACACATAAGTAGTAAGTTTAAACCAGTTTAAAAATAATACTATTTCAAGAATACCTTATAATCTACCGAAGTCTTATTCTTTTTCATTGCATATGCTTCAACTTCGGTTGCAATATTGTCTTGAGTAGTTCCTTTTACGTCAATGTAATTACATTCGGATGCTGCATAGTGACATGATATAGCTTTACGGAATCCCTGAAATGAATTAACCAAGAGGTTTCTGAACCAAAATTGTGTTTACAAGAGGACATTAAATAACTAAATAACCTCTGTGCGGTTGGCCCCCGATCCATGAATGAGAATTCTTTTTATCATTAAAATAAGTAAATAACTAAAACTAAAATTTAAAAAATTCTTAATCTTAAATAAAACTTACGGATGGAAGAAGACGGTGTCTCCCTTAAAAAAAGTTCATCTTTGTCATTGTGTTTTTATTTATTGCATATTTAAAAGTCACCTTGTCCATCGTGAGGTGAACTCGGCCATGACCATCAAAACCTACGACGCCGTGATAAGCGAAGTTGACGCCGCCCTCCCACTGCGGATACTCGTGAGGGTAGAGACTCCCTCGATGCGATCCTGGCAGAACTACCAGACATCCATTCTCTCGAGTCACCTGCTCCATTGCGGTCCAAGAACACACGATGTGGTCGGCCGGTCGAATTGGAAAGTAGTGCAGATCCTAATTTCCATTTTTTTTAATAAAAATAAAATAAGCCAAAAATCAGCGTGAAGACGTACTTGGTGGAGGGGATGTCTGGAAGTTCAAAAAGTGTGAAAAATGTAAATGACCTTCTTGCGGCAACAAGTATGAAAGTATGCACCGGAGAAGGCGGCGTAGTTCTATGTATTACCTGGATGTATCGGACCCAGTATCTGGGGGTTTGTTAATGACCATTGTGTGGATCGCCATTATATTGGGCCCCGTGAAACATTTAACAATGTCAACAATCTTCAAAATGTGATAAAATACACCCCTTACCTTTTGTGACCAAGTGAATAATTGATCAAAATTCTAAATAAATCTACAGACCTCAGGCAATGCGATGTATTTAAAGAACTCTTCGTCCTACGGTAAAGTAATACCAAGAAATATTTATGCACATACCAATGGACGGTGTACTAACTAGTAACTAATCCTAGGTAAAGGTCAAATGCTCCAAGGAATGCATATTACGTACTAACCCACATAACGTCCTGGATTTTATTATATAATCTCTCTCCCTTAACGGAATCCGCATCCTTTGCCTTTAAACTTTTCAGTAAACTAATATCTTTCATCATCATCATTTGACCACGACCCACTTTACCATCGCAAATGTCCCGGAAATGTTGACTGAAATTTAAGGCATCAAAAAAGTCATTTTGATGAGCATAGAAATTTCTTTTAATATTTCATAACGCTCAATTTTATGTATGTATATTACCTCCATCCGTCCAATAGATGATGAGGAACCAAGTTCTTGAAAACAATGTATCCTACAACAACAAAAATTTATCCTGTCCAATAAATCTGTTCTGTTACAATACATTACATTACATTACTCACCATTGTGTTCGTAAAAAATTCTCTGCTCTTCGGTCAATCTGGGATTGTCGAGCGTAAATCGAAACCTTTTTGGGGACTGGTGAATGAATTTGCAATATTAAAAAGCGTGCAAACGAGACATTAGTTAAAATACTCACGTCAAAATACGAAGCTTGTTGCCCATGTTTTAAGTGTCCCTGTAAGACTTTTAACCTTTCTGCCACTGTCGACATTTGAAATATACTTATTTTTTTATGAAGAACAAGGATAACTCACAATTCTATCAATTCTTTAACTCTCAACGAAGTCAAAGAGTGTGATTGATTTAAAAAATAATGATCAGTTCACATAATATGCCATAATTGCCTGTATGTATGTACGTATTTATTTACATCTTATGATGAATTGACGGTCTTTGGACTCTGCTAACCTGAGCACATAATATTTAATATTTGACACTGTACTGTTATTGAATTGTAGAATGACCAAGTAATTTCGTAACTGCTGACTGGTAAGACCATTCACACTATGATAACATACTTGTGCGTAGCAATTTCATGCGAGGTGATGATGATAAGGGTATAACAAGTCATACTTGTTTATTAAAGTCAAACTCTCCAAAGTCGTAATACATATTTAAATGTATGTATTTAGTAACTGCATACGTAATTTTTTATGCATCTGATAATATACATTAAGTATTACAATTATTTTCCCTGTGATTAACATGGATGATGCAGAATTTACAACACTATTTTTTTGTATAATATTGACCTACATATGTCCAGATTCTCAAAAAAATTTGGCATATAGCGAAAATAAGCAAGATCTTCATTAGGAAACAAGCCATTTGCATATAAAATTGCTTACATCAAAGAAATATCAGTAGAATTAATGCACATTGTTAAGTGATATGTCCATCGGGAAATATAGTGCGCATAGATTTTATGTAAAATCAACCTTTTGTTAAAATGTTTTGCTGGATAAATACTTCTTAAAATTATAATGCTTCTTAAGTATTTCTGCAAGCATTCCCATGATTTCTTGTAAGTACGTACATATGCACATATGCATTCTCTGTCTGTTCGGAATGTTTCACAATCTGTAATCTTACCTTGACAAAAGCTTGAAAAAGCTGGATAATGCATGCATTGTTATGTAAACTTGTAATCCTATTTACCAAATGCTAAACTTTGGCAGTAGTAAAATAACGAATAACTCGTCTCATGTTTTCTGTGTGAATGCATACCTTTGGAATTTTTTTGTGATCAAAGTAAGGCGATGTCTACAATAATTAAAAAATAGACAATGAAAGAGAAGGTGATACGAATATATAGGTGTATGCACATATATGTACGTATCAGTAGGCATGTAAAACTAGCGAACAAAACATGGACAACCAACGATGTATTATTTTATGCAGCTATGTAGCTATGTATTTACATTTTATTGCAAGTAGAATTATCTACTACTGGAACAACAATTGTGTAATTTTCTGCTCACAGTATAAGATCTTTCTAGTAGCATGTACCTTGTTTTTTGAAAATTTTAAAATAAATACGTTAAAATGACTTTCAAATTTTCTAGTTTTTCATTTCTTGATTACATGCTATGCATGTTGCTAATTCAGAGTGCGATAATTAAGGCAGAATACAACGAAGACGAAATAGACCTGATACTAACCTCAACTCAGAAAGAAAGATTGGACAAGGTAAATTTAATTCATTTGTCATTGTATTTTGTATCGTTTTTTAATGCTAAAACTAAACCAAAATGGCATTGTATACGTTACTCAAGTTTAAACAGTTGATGGGTCCTCAGTTACCGCAAGATTACATGAAAGAAGATATTTATTTGGTGAAATGGTTGAAAGGTTATTTTACTGTCTAATAAAAATAATTCATGTTCATATTTGAAAAAAAATATTAGGTCGATAATTTTAGATTTATTTCAGTTAATGATTTTGACATACCCAGTGCAACCCGAATGCTTCTTGATGTAATAAATAGCAAAAAAAATTGTATCGCTTAATTATAATTGATTGAAAATTGATTGAAAATATCTTTTGCTGATAATTCCAAGAACATCGCATGGAGAAAAGAAAATCGGATGGACAAAATTCTGGAGGAGGATTGGTCAGATCTGAATGACGAGTACAAATTTGTCATTGAAGGTTGCGATTATGAAGGCAGGCCTAGTAAGCCTCGCTCGAGATAATCTCACAAATCTGAATAATGTGAAAATAGAAGAAGAATAAATTTGCCAAAATTAACGGGTGTTTTTAACTTTTAGCTGCCGTTGCCTATGTTGGTGATTGGGATTTGAGGAAGCTCGTAATCGCTGGGAAGGGTCGTCGCGTAATGCGATATGTGGACAAATTGTATGAAGAATCTAACAAAATCTTGAGAAATATGCAGGGCGGAGGGTCCAATTCCACAAGAGCCAATCTAATTCTAGAAGTCTCCAGGTTCAACGTTCGACAACACTTTTGCCCAGGATGTAAGTTACACATGACCAGAATAAATAAAAGGATCAAGAATTAATCAAAATATTTCATGAATGAGGTGCTCCAATTTTGGGTCACTTGGTGTCTACATTACATCGACATTTCCCACTTACCGTCAATTTCTTGATTGTTCTGAACAGTAAGTTTTCTCTCTTCCTATTTCCCTTTATAAAATCCATATTATAAAATTGATAATTGCACAGCACCACAACTTGCACTTCCGATTTGGGACTTTGTGAAACCCTTGATGCCAAAAAAATCTCAAGAGTTTGTCTTCATTTACGGAACCAACCAAAACGAATGGCATAAGGCGTTGTGGGAGAAACACAGAATTGACGCCAACAAGATGAGTCGAGCATTAGGGGGAGAAGGTCAAGATGGATTGGATTTCAATACAATTGCAGATAACAACCACTACTACCAATGCCCGACCACACCTTAGTTTTTCAGCAATATGATTTATTAAATTGATTTGCTTTACATTTGGTCACAAATTAAATATTATTTTAAAACTACTTTCATTTTGGAAGAGGGAATCCATTGTCTGCAAATATTTGGGATAGTTCAATAGCCGACTGCTTTGGTGCTCGCGGACGCGCTGGGTGGTTAAAATCGACATAGTGAACTCCAAACCTGGCACTAAAAATGCATAATTGGTTACTTTAAGGTATTAAGAACAGTTATGCTACTGACTAAAGATAGCTTTTGAATACGTGATTTGAGCAGTTTACATAAGTAGTTAAAAATGTAACTACATATTTCGACCGTTCACGTATAAAATCTACCCTTTTAATATTTATTCTCAATGTCATACGTGTAGCCAAGAGTCCATTCGTAGTTATCCATCAAACTCCAGGCAGTGTACTTTAAGTCATTTAATTATTAATTAGTATATTCCGTCACTTTTAAGTTCATTTAATCAATATAATTCTTACCGCTCTGACGTCAGCACCATCATAAACAATTGACTTTAAAACTTCGTTTATATAAGCTCGGTAGTAGTTGACACGCTCCTCGTCATTGATCATATCGGACTCTTGAGCACCGTAGCCATTTTCTATGATCATTTAAAAAAATAAATTAGCATTAAAACATTTTAAGGAGGGAGGCATATTTGATGCAAAAGTGGTAGATCTGTAAATAAATAAGTTAATTTCACCAGTAATGTAGATTGGCATCTGGTATTCACGAGCAACCCAAGTCGTGATATTACGAAGCCCCCATGGGACGACGCTCCAGCCGATGCCTGAACTATTCCACGCCGGGTCTCTCTCTGACCTAATATTGGCATCACCGTCCATCCAGCCATTTAGCCCGTCGCTCGGTAGGACATAATGGGTAGAATAATGATTTAGACCTAAGAAATCCAGTGTACCTGCCAAAATTTGAGTAATTAAGTATTACCTTACATTGTACTAATGAATTAAATAATCATGGTTGTTGTTGGCAGAATTAATTATAGCGTTTTGCAGGAGGGGCTTTCATATACATATAGGTTGTAGATATTTAGTTTGTACAGTAAAGCGACATTTACCCGTAATAATTTCGGTCCATGTAGAATCAAATGTTGGCAAACGAGACGAATTTCGCCCTTCCGCTTCGCTCTTTGCATCGACAAGTTCTCGCATTATTGCAGGATATTCTCCTCTGAGTAATGGATTAGCCCACCATCCGTACTAGACATAAATGAAAAATTAGTTTCACGCGTATGAGTGATTAAACATTTTAAAATAAATTTTACCCTAAAATTCACGGATCTATCCATTGCTAGCATGTGTTCGGGATCCGATTGATTTTTAGGTTCTGACCAGTCACAATTAAGTGTGATTCCCATTTGGCCATTTTGAGAGGGCCGAAATTCCTCGTCATAAATTCGGAACGCTCTTGCGTGTGACTTGATCACATTATGGGCGCAAATATACGGTTTCTCTGGTGGCTCAAGGAATGGGTCGTGAATTCCATAGTTCCAATCAGCCAAACAAAACACGTGTGGTTCCTGCAGACAGAGCTTATCTAAATTAATGGCTTATATAATTTGTGTGCATCTTTTTGAATGCCCAGCAATAAGTGAATACAAGTACATACATGTACATAATAATGAATAGACTAACGTTAAATGTAAGCCAAAATTTGACCCTATCACCAAATGCATCAAAAACGACTCGCGAAAAATCTGCAAAGTGTTCGACGATAGTTTCATTCAGCCATCCTCCTTCGTTCAGTAGCCCCATAGGAAGGTCCCAGTGATATAATGTAATGAAGGGTGTAATCTCATTGGCAATAAGACCATCGATTAAATAGTTATAGTACTGAATTCCTGCTGGATTTATGCCATCAGATAGTTTTCCAGTTGGAATTATACGAGCCCAGGACAAACTGAATCGATAGAAGTCAGCCTAATCAAGTTGACAGAGAGTTAGTCAATTATTATCTTTGTTGACGCTTTATAAATTATAAACGTTCAAATTTTTTACCCCCATGTTTTTCAGCAAATACACATCGGCCATGTAGTTCTGGAAGAGTAAGAATTATACGATTCGACAATGACATCCAACAACTATTTTTAAAGTAAACTTTCGGTATATGAATAAGTGACAATAAATTTCCCCGTATGACCCTCATCGAAGGCTGATGTAAATGTTACTCCCACTGGGACAACTTGACGCCCAAACAATTGTGCCTCAACAACATTTTTCGACCAGTGTTACTTATTCATATACCGAAAGTTTACTTTAAAAATAGTTGTTGGATGTCGTTGTCGAATTGTATAATTCTTACATTGTAGCTATCACAGGCGATATCACCATTTTTCCCATCAGCAATATTTGATCCATTATTTTCATGACTCCAGAAATCCCACCCACTTTCTCCCTTTCCTATATTTTTGCATACAAACAATATTGCATGATCAGGTATGTACTTATGTGGCGAATATCTATCCACATATATTTGAGGGTTCTTACCGTCAGCGTCCCACCCACCTGTGATCGGAAATTATACAATTCTAATTCACAACTTTATTACTTTATTCAAACTCTGCATTCATGAAAACAGTGGTTTGTATTAAAAATAAGTTGTTGAAGTAGAATTGTATAATTTCCTTCTATTTGGTAACTGGAAGTTGCAAGCCCCCATAAAAATCCGTCTGGAAATTGTCCATAAAGAAAATCATCCTCTTGGCCAGCCGTATAGCTGACTCCGACAATTAGCAAAATTAAAGCGAAGAATCGAAGTCCAGCCATCTTGATGTCGACGTCTCAGAAAAACTGAAGGTTGGAGCTATGAGTGATCACAAAGTTATATAGTTTAGCTGATAAAAAATAACAATGGTTAAGTGAGCTACTTGAAAAATTAATCACCATAAATTTTTATTATGGATATTTTCATCCTCATTCCAACGAAATCATGCAGTCAGTGGAAGCCTACTGATACATATTAGGCGTGGGCCACCATTTATCAGTTGTTTTTATAATTTTACTTGCAATCTGCAGTATCAAATTACTATTGTTCATGAATGGAAATGATAACATTATGATTAATAATCAGAAGGTGTACAATGTAGGACAGTAATGAAATAATGCAGATATGTGATGCAGCATGATATGAATTATGATTTATAAAATGTGACAAGAAAGCACACGAAACCTCTGAAATGTGTTTAACAAAATAGAAATGCATGTGTTTAAGTATATATTTAGTTTACCAAATTGATATATTTATTGCTTATTGTTGATCATTATGAGACTGATATGAGCTCTGGTTAACTGCATACAAATGAGCATGTACATACATACGTATTAAAATACGTACTTGTACGAAAATCCTGATTTATAATTATCCCAAATCCAAATCTATTTATGTTTACAATTTCGATTACAAGTACTTATGAATAGGTTCTCAACGCTTGACGTTGGCCTTGCTGTTCATTATTATTTTTGACACATTGGACATTGTATTTGTGGAACCTCCGTGGGACGAGCAGACGGAATCTTGTTTTCGCGCAGCTACCTGTTTGACCCCCGCTCTGGGTGCTTTCATCCCCAGGGGGTGGATCTTGAACCCATACAATCTTGGTTCGTACTTCCGGGAAGGAACCACCGGCCTCAGTTCTGGCATGCTGAGGAGAAGCATTGAAGGGAATCCAGTACCGAAGTACGCACCATCAAGTTGCTGGTGGCGAGTCATCTTTGGAATGTAAATGTCCCGACATCGAGGGCAGAACAGCTTCACAGTCCCTTCGCCAGGGACGTCTGAAATTCCTGAAAATAAAATTGAAATATGTAAAGTCTTTGCTCATCCTTTACATACTTACTACGCATATTTATCTCTAAAATTTACCAACAGGAAGGCAATTTTGATTTTCACATAAAAATCTTTGACCTAAAATTAAAAATCAAAAATAAATAAAAAATAGTATCCGATACACAGATAAATATATAATTATCATCATTCCATACATTGGCCAAAGTCACCCCTTTTGAATTTGATAGCCATCGTTTGCATCCCCCTTGGGCTGAGAATGAACCTAGTGCATAATATTTAGAAGATGCATCAATATGTTCTTACATTACATGCATTTAATTTACTGCACTGCAAGTTATCCAGTAGTCTAAAATTACCTGGAATGGATTAACTCATACAAAAGTTCAGCGGCCTGGTCAGCCAGGTCGTTAGCTGTACGTTTTCCCTTAGTCGACAACTCATCGTCCATATCGGTTATCAGCTGGAGAGCCCTCTTGCAATGAGAAAAAGACAAATATGCCCAACAAATTTTAAAAGACGTAATTTACTAGCTAAAACAAATTCAAAAAGCATTACTACTACCTTGAAATGAGGAACTTGTTCGTTAAGCCCCGTCAAGTTAAAGCGATCTTGAATGTAATCCTCATCTACCTAAAATCATCGATATTCCGCAACTATAAAATCGCTGTATAAAAACATATCTGGGATAAGAAACCTATAAACTACCTCAATCAAAAAGTCATTTCCTTTTAAGCTGCAAAACCACTTGACCCAGGACGACTCGTCCTCTGTGGAACTCATTTTGCTGGCTCTTTCTTGACTGACGCACAGTATCAAGTCCTATAAATGTATGATGTCCTTTCCTAGCTGAGGTTAGAGTTTTCCGTTATGCTTCTAATACATATGACAGTTATCAAGTGGAATTAAAATTTACTGTATATGCATACATTCATTTTAGAAAATAATTTCCCTCGGGGGGATGTTCGAAAGCAATTGCAAGTTCCTATAGATTCATCGCCATCATTTATCTATTTAAATTTACACATTTACATTTAAATAGGTACATTCAGACAGGACTCCTCATGGTGGACAATGGAGAAAGTCGGAGATGGTCACGTCGAGGGAAATGAGACGAGCGGCAATCCAGCAGATGTTGGTGCGAAGGGTTTGATTGTCTCCGAAAAATCGTTCTCCTGCTGGCTGAGAAATCGCAACTACATTCGCAAATTTAAGTAAATTAGATTTAGCTGACACGGTTATCGGCTGCACTTCGTCCCCCTTCAGGTGGGTGGGTAACTGGTCGTCATTCAAGAAATTTTTCATCCCATAGACCAGCCGTGGTGGTTGGTGCAGTGAAGGTAAATCGTGATAATCGTGAATATTGGCGATGGACGGACAGAGAGGGTAATTATTATGATTGATGATATAAATATAACAATTAATGTTTGTTAAAAATTGCACTGCATCCTCGTGTTTTATGCTGGTAGCTTGTTGAAGATTTATTCCTTTATTCTTTAAGCTTTTTAATGCATTACTACATAATATGTAACATTTTATTTTGCAAGATTTAATTGGTTGGTGCTATGAATAATTGCTCCTTTCCTTTCCTGGTTAAACCATAATAATGTTTCTCAAGTATTGTGATTTGTTAATTTAGGCTTGGGGATGAGCGATACGCAAGGGTCCGATGATTTAACAGAAGGCGACAATTTCAGTGAACCTTCCGCTTCAACAGACTCTGATACCTCCGCCGTTTATGTATCATCTGGTAGTAGCTCGTCACTGTAATTTTATCACTTTAATACATTGGCTCATTATATATATAGATAACAATTTGTTTTCCTACTTATTGTCATTTGGTTATAATTTCAGGTCCGATAATTCTAATTGGGATGACGAATATTTATTCGATGATGACGACTATTTTTTGAACGAATTATCACTTCCCAATTCCTCACAAGAAAATATGGAGAACGAAGATGGGGATGGAGGCTATGATGATGATACAGATGTTGATGATGATGTCCTAATTCTTGAACCTGGTCATGAAAATGAGCATAACGAAGGTGAAGGTGACAATCAAGAAGAAGATGATGACCAGGATACGGATGATGAGGAGGATGAAGATGAACGAGAAGATGGCGCAGCTCGTGCTGGACCCCCTCCTAGGAAAGTTGCCAAATTGGGTAAGTACATCTAGAAAATTATTTTCATCAGTGTATAAAATTGTAAGCTATCAATGCAAAACTGAATTTTAATATTGAATGTATTTTTAGAGCCTAATCTCCAAGTATTGCCTGGAACCAGTAGTGCTGAATTCCCCGGAGGAAATCAGCCGCAGCAGGCCGAGGAGGATAAAGATAGTGATGGTTTTACCTGCACCATTTGCTATGACCAATTTACCAACTCAGGAGAGCATAGAATTTCATGTCTGAAATGTGGCCACATATTTGGAAAAGTAACAAACTAATTACAATTAATAGCGTAAAATAATTTGATTGAATAATATTATACACGTATAATATTTTAATTTTGTTTTACTTTTAGAACTGTATCGAGAAATGGTTGAAAATCCATGGAAGGTAAAGTGAATATTACAAATTATTGGTATGCAATTATTTATTATTCTAACTAACTTGCAGATGTCCACAATGTAATTGCAAAGCTAAGAAGGGGGAAGTTCGAGTCCTTTATGTCAAAAGTCTGCAAGCTGTTGATAATACGGATTTAACAGAGGCGAAAAAAGAATTAGAAAAGGCGCAGATTACAATTTCCAAATGCACACTTGAGTATGGCTCAGTTTTTCTTATTGGTATGTTGCGTTGGATTCATTGTTTGCTTATGGGGGTTTTTTTACAGATCTGCTAAACAAAAGATTTCAATTCAGAGCTTGCATCAGCAGATTCAAGTTTTGGAGAAACAAAACGTTCAATTGAAGCAGAATTTGAGCTCTAGTGCCGTTACAACGTGTTCCTGTAATAATCCAGGCCCTTCTTCAACCAGCCTCAAAAATAACAATGCCAATAATGCAGGATTTGGATCGTTAGGTTATGACGATCCAGAAGGATCCAGCTCACTCCCGGGTTCCCAGATCGTTCCACAACAGGCTACTTGCAGAAAGCAACTTCGGTACTCTGTTGCAAAATTTTTTGAAATAAAAGAAGGAAATTGTCGCGTTGGTGCATACAATGAGTGGATGAACATGATGGTCGTCTCTCACGATGTGAAAAGCTCATTGTTTCCAAGTACGGTTAAATATCGAATATTATGTCAATGAAATTATTTGTTTCGTTAGGCAGATTTCTAAAATTGTTTTTTAAATGGACAGATGGAAGCTGCGGAATAAAGCTCATCAATATGCTCGAGCTACGAGCTATCTGGTCCAGCCCTATTCACCAAAAACAGATTAGAGATATGCAGTTTAGCTTATGTCAAAATGATGTTCTCCTCACGGTCTCTTTGGATAAGAAAGCTACTCTGCATAACTGTGGTGGAAATGTTACAGTACACACATTTCAAACAGAGTACCCCCTGGTATAATTTTGGGATTTAAAATTGAAGTTTATCAGTGGTATATAATGCTTTATCACTTTATCATTCCAGTGGTCTTGCGCCTGGGATGAAGTTCACTCAGAAATATTTTACTTGGGATGTAGCAACGGATCAATTGTCGCGTAAGAAGCTTTTTTATACATTTTAGAACAATGAGCTACATTTAAAACATCAACTTCACTTTCCCACCCTACAAAGCTATGACATGAGATCCATGAGTGACCCCCTCGCCATTTATCCTCAAGGCCAAGATAAAAGCCCTGTTTGCAGACTTAGATACGTTAACCCGACCTATCAGGCCAAGTAGGTTAATCAATTTGCTAATAATTTTAATGTCGAATGGAATTATCTAAACGCGTATGGTTTAATTTTCTTGTCAATGTAGTGCTTTCAATTTGAACGGCCTACTTGTTCAAAAACTGAATTCCGTTCAATTCGGCGAATACCGCGGAGGAAACATTTCCGAGATGAGATTTCACCAGCTTCCGTTGGAAGGCCCTTTCTTCAATGTGGACTATGAGAATGATTCTCGTCATATGTTGGTGTCTACCAGACCGTCTCCAAGAAATGATATCGACCACGGTCGACATTTACTCTGTGACCTTAATCAGTGTTATAGTGATACACTAGAAAGAAATGTTGTAACCTCCAATGTGATTCAAATATATCAGGTAATCTAATTGACCTTGACAATTTCTCTGATTACTATTTGTTGGTACAATAGTCCCACTATAATGACTTTATGAAATCAAATCTTTATTATTACTAACAGGGAAGTAGTCGTGACGGACAGAAAATTAGCCGACCATCTCTGTTTAGTCCTGAAGAAGAATATGTTTATGTTTTGGCGAACGGTGCACAACATACGGTCCAATATTGGGACGTTTCGTTATCAGAGGTTAATCCTACTACTATCCCACATACTCCTGACTATGTATTAGATTACACACATTGTCGTGTTAATTCAAGTAATTTTTTGGGATTGATTTCTGAAAAGGGCGTTAGAATTTGTAATCAAACATTTGAGTGACAAACTACTTGTATGTAAGCTAGTGTTCTGCTATTAAACTGTTATTAGTTTGGTACAAAACTTTTTTAATACTTCGTCGAAATTTAATTACGGACAATACAATGGATTAGGTCGAATATGCAACTATTATGGGCAATGTATATTATGCTTATTACATAAAAAATGGAATATTATGTACATGTACAATATCGTTCAATCAATTTCAATTGAATACCGTGTGGCTCCGAATACGCTTACTTTTTTAAAATGTGATCTAAAATGTCACACACTATGCAATTAATAAACTATGAAACAATGTGATTAATTAATTCTAATATTTAGACTAGACCATTTTTTCGCACACGCCATTTTGCACATACCAACCCTTCTCACTTTTCATGAAAATGTTTTTGTTCAAAAATATTCGAATCCGTAGTTGCAATTGTTGCAAATCGGGATACCTGCTGGTTTATTTCTCATCACATTGTTATCAGTGTAGGTTATAGAGAGTTCAGGTACCTCGTTAAAACAAAAAGGAATCGTGATCCGTTGTCGGCACCTTGCAAAAAGTCGTCTACTGATTGTTTGCTAAATTCCACTTTAGAGAAGACGAGTTGTTTAAAACCGTATTGGACTAATATTTGCTTGTAGATGTTTTTCAAATTCCTTGTTTCTATATGTGTTTGTTATATTTGGTAGCATTTTCATAAGCTATGCATTCTATTTATTTATTCTTACATACAAATAGAGATGAGGCTATGGTCTTACAGGTAGCGAAATATGTATGTTGTATGTATTTGTCACAAACTTTCCTCGAAGTTTTTAATGTATTGGATATTTACTTACATACGAAATATTCAAGAAGGCAGGACCAATTAAGGAATTAATATGTATGATAGTTTACGAGTTATATTTTAATTAAATCCTTGCTAATTCGTACAGTGTAGTTTATGTTTTTATTTAAGTCGTCATATTTGACAAAGAGTTTTCATTGACAAAATTAATAATATTTGTAACGCATTTTGGTGGATTGCATTTTCATGCATGTATTCTCTAATTATATGTTGCCTGTCTCGTTAAACTTATTCGATAGGTCGGCAAATTATTCGGTAATTGTCCACACCGGAACATGGCCTATAGCAGTGCGTTCAAATTCCTGCTGTTTATTTCTGTACCTTAGATCAATTTGCTTCAACCCATATGCAAATGCTAAGACGATTAATATTCCTCCTCCCACACCAGACGTCCATTTGGCACACACAGCAATGGAGATTACAGCGATCCTAGTAATTAACCAATGTTAAGTATTAATTTCAAAACCTTCTGAATCAACCAGCAGTCACACGACCCACGTACACAGATATATAGGTATCTATACAAATAATATGTTATATATCGCTTACGATGCATACAAAATTGTTTTGACCCAATATGGTCTGTTATTAATTAGTCTTGTCATTGGGTATAAAATTTCTAGACGATTAAAAATTTTAATCTTAGGTAGGAGCATTCCTTCCGTAATTAAAATTAATGGTCCCCAGCACCTAATGAGTAAAAAAAAAAAAAACATATCCATAATTTTCATAAATTAGTTCCACTAAATACAAATTATGAATGGTGGATGAATGGCATGAAACTTACATTAACCAAATTCCAGAAAAAATGCATAAACCTAATTTGCTCCACAGACTAAGATGAATAATTCCGAGTATGAAGATGCCTGAAACCAAAATGGATGTAAGAATGGTCGGGAGTAAGAATACTGTTAAGTGCAACGTATAAGTGCATAAATCAGTAAAGGTACTCACATATTGCACAAACGCATCCAAAAATAGACAATTTGCCATCCGTTATCCATGAAAATGGTGACTGGTTGGGTGGGACGGTTAGAAATATTGAAGGTCTCAGAGCGAGTGGTTCATAGTTTTGAAGACCAGAGATTTCTTGATCATTTGGAAAGGATGGACTGGATTTTACTCTAGCATCATTTTCCCCATAATTAACCTCGTTATTGTCGAAGGATAATTTCTCTGAATTCTGATCAAGGTCAATATCAATTGTACTACTTTCTAGGTTTATGGAGCTATCCGCATTAATCATTTCTGGGCTTGGCCACGGAGGTGTTACTACGTGCACATCCTTTTCTGATTGGTGATAATTAGGTAATTTGGGTGCTTGCCTCTTAGTGTTGGTTTTATGTTCATCCGATTGGCGATTAAGATTTTCGTTCAAGTTTTCGGAAAATTTTGTGTAATGAAGTGAAAGTGAAGTGTCGTTAGGGTAAGTGCTTGTCCCCTCAGATGACTCCTTCTGATCTGATACCGTTTTTGATGTTTCATCGTCGTCGTGTTTTAATATCAACGTACTGTTGGTGGACTTTTGCTTATTGAAATTTCCCCTTCTCGACGATGGCTTAACTGTGGGTAGAGGACGCCATTTGGTCCCGTTTGTGTTATTTTCAGGATAATAATCATATCCTGGTCCTGATGTTTCGTGACCAGAATCAAGCCTCCGACTTATCGAAGTATGAATTCTTGTGTCAAAGGTTACTGGATCATAGTGACCAGGTCCTGGGGTATTTTGTATTTTCATCCAAGGGGGCCATTCACCTTTGTCCTCAAACGGTACTTTTTTGGACATTTTGATTAAATTGCAATTCTAAAGAGGTATAATGGTTACGTAAGAGAACCAATTGTTTGGTTATTATTTTTGTAAAGTCCCTTATTTAGGAGGGCTACTTAATGATGTATTATTGGTCGTTTAAATTGTTTAATTATGTAATGTGAGAAGTTGGTTTGATTTAAAAAATATTCGTGACTCACTTATAGCGTTAAAATTAACTGTTGCAGGATATCATAGCACTGAGGCTGACAAATTACAATCGTATGTGTGTATATTTAATATCGATCTGATTCGACGCAAGTGCGGTATTTGATAATAAAACAATTACTGTAAGGCAAGGTTTCTGCTGATAAGCATATTGGTATACTTCTCATTGCAAATTTATCTTTATCAGAATATTCTCCATTCATTTGTCAGCAAGGTCAGTATTCTGCGATACATGACAATAATCTCGAGTCGAAGCGTCGTTTTGGCATGAGTCATGAGAAATAATGCGTATAAAAAATTTTATTATGAAAATAAGGATGCGCAGTGCATATAAAATAAATATGCGTATGCATATGTGTATAACAATGTTGTAACATTTATGTAGGTATATAATTGTATCATTAATTATTTACATCGTTATTTAAAAAAATCACTGTTACAATGTGATGGCCAAGAACTTCATGAATGTGACCCTTTCATCACAATGTAATAGTGGAGATGTATTATGTATGAAAATTATTTATTAACTCTTTAAAGGCATTCTTCATAGAGTTGAAATGTTAAGTAATACATATTAATTAATATCTAGAGTTCCTATAACAAGTCGAATTACCCATATACGCAGTGACGGGCCCATAACTGGACTGTGTATTTAGATGGACATTTCATTTCCTCTACGATATTGCGAAATGTACGTTGCGTCATCAGTATTATTTGCGGTTCTAGAGGCGTCGTCACATCTTGTGGTTTATTGCAGACAAAATTCTCATGACTAATACGATACAATAAAAATATAAACATCATTATTGTTTGAAACTACACATACATATTTTGAGTTAGCAGCAGTTTTGGCTTGAATATTTCGGCTGAAACACTGTCAATTGTGAGCAATGAACGACGAAAAAACTAATGTAATTGAAGTTTGGCGTGGGAGACAAATATTGTCGATGGATTCAAGACTTATAGATTTAGGAGGATTGATTACTGCTTCTGGAGAAATTGGCCGTGAACCCGTGACACAGTTGCTTCATAACCTTCAGCTGCATTCAAGATACTCTCAGGGAGATTGTGTCAACTCGTAAGTCATGCTAACTGCAATACCCAAAATTTTAATAAGCTTAGAAAATTATTTGAGCAATTTTCTAGATTTTATGCAGACAAGCGAATTTTACTAAAGGGATGTGGATTTTTTGGACCCTTACCACTTAAAATTGTAGGGCAATCGTTGTCATACAAAATTTCAGTTCGACTAGATATGCAATGGAAGCCTTTTGACTTAAGCGACGGAGATGACCTACGAACACGAACTCTGGCCCAAGTGTTCAAAAATGTGACCATTGACATGACTCAAACCAACAATAATACAACAATTATTCCAGTTGACTTCGAATCCCCTATTTCTCTGGATCCTAATGCTCTCAAGTACAACTTGGTTTTTCGTTTCGAGGTACCCACATTAAAAAAACTATTACAAAAACAAACATAATAATGAATAAGAATATTTAGTAGGTGTAATATTAATTGAATACAAATGGGTTTACTTAGGGTCCCCCAACGTACGAGTTGGACGCAACGAAACTAGAAACAAATGTTGAACAAGCTGGTATAAACTTTTTCTTCTGGCCTGGTTCTAAGCAAATGCCCGTTTTGAGATTTTGCAACCCGCAGGAATCATAAAATTAATAAAATATTTACAAACTGTCTGGAATGGCCTGTAGGAGTATGCAGCACTAAATATTATATACAAATGACTATTACTGCGTAAAATGTTAAACTGAATTAAAGCTAGAATAATTTCCAACTCGTTTATAAATGCGTATATGTATTATGCCACAGGGTAAATGATATATGAACGTCAGTTCTATAGTCGTACTACATGTTATTCAAATAATAGAACAAATTCAAGCAAAGAATTGGTAGTTGTGAGAATGCCGAGATTTTGTCCAAATTCGCTAATTGAATAATATAAATCGTATAATATGATACTAAATTTTCATAACTTTCACAAAATATTGTTTTCATTTATCTTTGTGTATTAAGATTTTGCATTTATTCTAAATTTGGGCACGAGGGTTTTTTATGCTTCCAGTCAGACCTTGATAGCGTTCAAGTATTGGGGCATATAGTTCCTCCGAGGTGTTCATCGAATAGGATTCCATATATGTAAATGGCTGCAATATGATGAGTAGTGTGAGTAAATAGACATAGCATGACATGCTATGCTATGTCTACTTTCTCAATTAATAAGACACATTGTGTCTTATTAATTGCATAGTGTAATTTATATTAAATATTTAATATGGATGTCTTTTATACACGTGCATATGCTAGGACATTCTAATATTTGAGGAACCTTTTCACGATGGAATTTTTACGAAGAAAGTTAGCAAACATGCTATTGTACATATATCATAGGTCGCTCCGAATGTTAATTGAGAACCAATGAGTAACTAATGTGTATATTCTTTCTTGTGATATTTTATTTTACACAGAGCTTGTGCAAAAGCATGCAATGCAAGACAATAAAGATTTAAAAAATATGCATTATTATTATAGTTAGTGAAACAATTAATTGTTGCAATACTTCTGTATGTACCAGCCAAGAAAATTATCAAGACCTCCCATTTACATGCCATGTACATACATATGTAAGTATGTATATGCAGAGATAGTATGACATTATCATTGCACATATACAGTTCACAAGCCATTAACTTACAACATCAAGTTAGTACAAATTGGTTGGGTCATTCTCTTTTGGGTCGTAAACCTGTCACAAAATATCTCTGAAAATGTAGTAAATGAACTCATATGTAAACCAGAAAGTGTAACATAAAAAAGAGTTTCGTGGTGGTGAAAAGCAGCGACCTTAATTACCAAACCATATGGCAAATTCTGGGCGAGCTGGATGAGCTTCTATACGTACTTTCCCTCTTCGAGAGATGATGGGGGACGACTAAAATGTATGTCTGGGTAAAAAACATATTACAAACTTTATATCTGGTTTCATTGAGGTTTCAGTATATTTTCCTCATCGTGAGCTAATTTGCATCATCATCGTTTTGTCGTCATCTTTCTTTCCTTCTGCCTTCATAAAACTAAATGGGAAAATGTGTCATCCATCCTCAGATGTCTTCCACTAGCCCCTCTCATTTATACAGTGCAGTGGATCGTGATTTCGAGTAGACAAAGGGGAGAAAATTGGTGCTTAAAAACATGGAGAGAATGGCAAGTAATACAATTTTACATTCTTTTTAACCATGCACCACAGTAGCTACTAATCAATCGGTCTGTATATTTACACATTTGCATTATGCACACGTTAACGTTCTGCTATTACTCATTTCCTTAAAGTTCAACTATTTGTATTGGAACTCTAAATAAAAAAGTATCCATGTGATGTAACGCATTAACGAAATATGAACAGAACTTCAATCATTGTTTCGCTGCATGCAAAAAGAAATTCTTGTCAAATGAGAACTCGATTTCACTCACAAAGCAGTAAAATAAAATGTGAAAAAAGTAACGAAAAAAATTCCGAATTGGGGAGCAAACTTGGCTGCCGTGGGTTGCATTACAAGAGGAATGAGACGAGAGAGGCGAGGAAGGAAAGGAGCCGAGAAATGAGAGGAAGGGAGACGACGACCAAGAAAATGATCGCCTTCCGGATTGAGAGAGGAGATGGAATTCGTGCAGTTCGAGTCTAATAAATAAATGTGAGTCTCCCTGCAGGGATTAAGGGATCAGGCTTGTCTTCCTCACTCTCACTATGCCGCCACACCAGCCTCGACATGACATCCTCCAATAATTTTGTCGTTGAATGACCCAACTTACTTATACATATAATTGTAAGCTGCCTTAAGTCCTCCATGAATGTATGACTTTCAACTCAATAGTTTGCGTTACAAGCTCGTGGAAAGTGTTTTCTAAAAAATAGTGCATAAAATCAATTAGCTTCTTAAACCCTGCTTTGGTAAATATTGAGTATGCGAACCGTTGGTTTTGTTACAAATGTGCAGTGTGTGTGGATTCTCCATTGCTTATAAAAGTACAGTAAATTCAGTAAATACGTAGTATGTGTATGCATATATACATATGAATCTAGGCAGCGTTTATATGTGTACGAGAAAGTTTTTGGAAGTTGTAGGTTCAATACAGATCGTGAAATTACAAACAATGTCCAAGAATCTTGAAAGATACAAAACTTTTCTTGGAATACTTGCTACACACGCAAAGTTGCATATTATGTATGTATATCTGATGCGTGCTGGCTCTCTTCACACTGCATCTTCGTAAATAATTATTTGTAAACAGGTTGATGTACAATGTGAAAATTTTAAGGCAATAAAGTCACGAGTATTAATAGTGCAAGCTATGAGGTTGCATATGTAAGTACAAGTAATTCATGTAAAAAAAGTACAATTGTCTTCATGAGTGATTACCCGATGCACAAAGTGCAAATCGGAGAATTAGAAAGACTTTCAGTTATTTTGTATTTGTAACTGGTGTTTGAGCATTAAATTGAAAATTAACCATTCGCCGAGTTGGGGGAGAAATCTTTAAAAAGGCGTTCCAATTTCCACGTCTGTGTCCGCCCTCCAACTCTGGGTTTCGGGAGCCCAATCGGACGTAGTTCCTTTTTCCCCATCCAACCCACCCTGGTTCGAAACCCCACCCTTAGCAACCAAACCGGATCTCGAATCGACCGAATCTCTCTCTTCCTCAGCCTCCACAGCACTTAGTTACTTAGAGAAATGTACTTTCCAAGCCGGGGCAGGCAGGCCAGTGTAACTTTCACAAACTCGGTTATTTATTCCGTTCGTCCTATCACCCTGAGAGGAAGGATGAGTAAATTTATACCAGAAATTCAATGCTATTCGACAAACCAAACTATGCAATGTTGTTGCCTACTGCTGCTGTGTAAGTCCTATTATTATATGGATGGATGGTGCGGTGTGTGCAATGCTGATATCGGTTTGGCAGCATGAGCATGGATGGATGGAGTTAAAGGAGATTAGGCTACTCAACTAAAGTAAAGTACAGCAAACTCAGTCAATACTGTTTTTGTCGTGATTTTGATTTGACACTCCTGATCACTCCTTCCTCCGAAACTCACCAAGACCAAGAAGACACACACACACAACCGAAATCCATCCGAAGCAAGGACTCATTTCCTAATTTACTTTACTACTTCGCCAACCAAGTAACGCCAACCCAGGCAACGCCAACCAGAACCAAGAAGAAGCCCTCACTTTGCTTTGTTCAGTGCGCATAACACACAAGCCAAAACAACCACACCTAAAATAGACTCCACCAAGAGGCTCAATAAAAATTCCAGAGAGTTAATAAAATAAATTTGGACTTTGTGAAAAATTCCAGTGCACACACACGCAAAGTGTTCCGCAGAGTGGGACAAAGTGGGATGATTACACATTGTGCTGCTGCTGGTGGTGCAATTGGGCGCAGTGGAACGGATCGTCACCCACCGTTAAGTCGTTAATTCCTTTAAGTCCACGGGCATCAGGAGCTCTCGCACCTGTAATAAATTTACGACAATAATAACTCAAACTTGTAAAACCACATTTTCATACCGTTTGACTTTCACCCGTTCCACATCATGTGTACCGAAGCTGCAAGTGAGTGAATGACTAAACAAAACTAAAAATACTAAAATAAGCGAAAGATAGCCAAGTAAATGCAGCAAATCCTATCTTTATTCCGAGGGCTTAAGTGATTTTCTCTGGGATTTTGGGAATGAAAGTAGTCACCACTACTGCTGACTGAATTGAATGCAAAGTGCACTGTGCTAGACATATTTGTGTGAGGTGAAAGTTATTTGACATTGACATTGAAACTATATAATTCTCAACCCATTTAAAAATAAAATATGCAGATTTAAAAACCTGTCTTTACTGCTTACACACAATTTAGTCAATTACACTCTTCAAGATTTCTCCTCTGCAAAATTTAAGGACAACAACAATGCATTCACAATACGGGGCGAAATATAATACTCAGACAATAAACAATGCCAACCAGAGCATGCATGGGGCGCAGCAAGTTGCGGGGAACTTATCATCCGACTCGTATTATAATTATGAGAAAATTTTTTCTGGCGTTGGCGTTAATCCAACTCCACACCACCAGCATCATCACCATCATGGAAGTTCATATCATCTTGATGGATACTCTAATCCCAATCGAAATCCCGAACTTTTGAGCGATTTCGATACGGGATGCTATCCCGATGCCAATCCTTTTCACAAGAAACACGGCACACCCAACTTGATTGCTGCGATGGCTGCAGCCGCAGCAGGGAATGGACGGGGTTAGTTGAGATTTCTCCCTAAAAAGTGAAAGTTGCCCTTCTTTCACTGCTGCTTTACGAGCTTTATCAAATTTTTAGCTTGCATGCAATTAGCAAATCTTTGCCCAATGCTTGGTCTCATATGCGTTAAAAAAGCGCTGCATTTTTAGAAAAGACAAATGCAAGTTCAAGTTCAAGAGCATCGTCATCAGCATTATCATCTAATCGTTCACATATCTGAAAGTTTTAATTTCTTCCGTATTTATTTTTGTACTTGAAGTTTTAGTAAAAAATATCCAATAATCCGATCAATTGCAGTACTTGTATAATTTTGTTCCTACTTATCAGATCATGGTAAAGCTCTTGTATAATCATTAATTTTATTCATGTAAGTTTGTTGTTCGTTTATGAAGCATGAATATATAGTAGAACTCACCATTTAAACTGTATTTAACCGTTATGGAATGGATGATGCAAAGGTGAGCTTATTTGCCACAATTGCTTACACACAAGTTTTAATCCTGTGTAAAGCGGCTGATTATAAGCTGAACAATTGACAGTGGAGCAATAAAAGAAAACTCAAACCTATGCGTCGGAGAAAGATTAGGCAATAAAGTAATCCAAATAAAAGCAATCCAAATAAAACAGCACAAGGCTGATAACACAAAAATGAGATTTACACATGTTTCTGCTACCTTACTTGAACGTTATCCAACTCATTTGGATCAACATAGTGCTGATCATAACGTGTTTTTATTATTGGTAGATGTCTGGGTTATCGGTGCTCATGTGCTGAATAACTCGACAAATTAGATCAAATTAGTACTACTCTGTTTTCGTATAGAATGGAGCAAGCAATCAGATTGTTCGGAAGTGATCAAATGTCAGGATTAGTGTAATAGATGCAAACTAGATTTTTTCTATAGTTAAATGTTTTCACAACGGTCCATTAACTTTTAAGTATCAAAAGTGTTTAAATTGGTCTTAAAAGTTCTAATAATGAAACTGGTTATATGTTTACCATGAGTTATTATTTATAATGAATAAATGAAACTATATTCGTGCCATTTTTCCTGAATGTTCCTCAATATCAATACAATTAATATCCCATTTCGATAAGCGCAATTGCAAGTGTCTGCCAAAAGTCGGCTACTTGAAACACATGTTCAACACCAACTTTCCTTTTAAACATGCCGAAAACAAATAGTCAACAGCATGTCAGATAAGATACGGGGAAATTTATGTCATTGTGTGTAAACTTGGTGTTGGAACTGGAAATTTGGAAATAAGAGAAGCTGTGCTGTCGACACATCCAGACCGTGTCGGTACTTTAGCTTTTTACCTTTGGTGTCCACCAAAATTGACACAAGGGGCCTGGAGTGATTGATATCGGTCCTGATTGCGACCAGTAGTGTAAATTTTTGCTGCATATCTTATCTGCCTCACAATAAAATAAAGTATTCCTTCAGTTCAGTCGCATATGCAATGAATACATGCGAGCGAGAGACAGAGAATGCTAGATAAAGCAGCCATTTTCGTTTTATTACTCACAGTGAAGTCATATAATATTACCATCAATACATAGATCGTGATTTGATTAATCGGAGAGAAGTTGACCTTTGCCTGTTATTTATGACACCTCAAACAAACGGTTGATGCAACATGAATAGGAACTAACCATAAGTATTGAACTTTAGATGTACACGACCCATGAAAATAGAAATACGCACGTTGCTTACAATGTCCGAACGGAAGAATTCTTTTAATTCTTTGAAATGTCTGACACGAGGGAAAATGTACACGCTGCTAATTAAAGTTGATGCATTAATTCAGTAGTGCTGTTTAGGGCTTTACCAGATTATCATATTTTCGACTCCATTTCCTGAAGATTATCATATTACCCCAGTGAAAGTGGTTTCAGGCTTCATGCATAGATCTTATTCTTCGAGTGGTTTATTCCTCGTTTACCATAACCAATGGGTGCCGAAAATAAATTGATGCTTTACCACCACTGCCAAAATCAACCAAAGCATCATTAACATGTGAAATAGAAGGAATGCACTCGTCAATGAGATGTATATTTGTTAAAACAGGTGTAAATCGCATTACCAGAAGTTTGAAGGGTTGCACATACATTTCTCATGCATTTTTCAACAGCAGAAATCGTGGTTACCATATTTCTCCATGACCATGACATACACAACTTGAACAGGTGCGGAGTTTTTGGATCATTTACTTGAGACGAAGCTCAGTCGGAAGCAAATAAAGGGTCCGTGTAGAACTCACTTAGAAAATGTTACACAATATGTCAGTGTCCACTTTTGTTGGTTTGGTTATTGGTGATGGTGGGCATTTGGGCAAGACAAAGTGGTGGACGTGACAGTGCTCCCACCAGTATAATGTCCAGTACATATTTACCCAAAGAGTCAAGTGCACTTGGGGTTCACTTGGAATGGGTGGCTGGATAACATGGTACTTGAGATGAAGGATAGGTTAATAGCCAGACTCAAATTCGGGTGTAAAACATGGGTCTCAGTAGCTGACCTTTACAACTCTCTCTCTCTCACCACCAAATTTTCTCATCTCATTTAGTGAGAACAGCATGTATTTATTATGGATGAACAAGCTTGCAGCAGTTTCATACTTATTTAGTCATGGATGCATAAAGAAGGATACAATGTGCATTCATAAGTGATCAGATTTGGATATGCGTACGATCTGGTGGTGTCAAGTGCCAGCAAAAGTGCGTGAGATTTTTGAGTTTTCTTGGAGAATCCCTTTCACGCTTTAAGTCAAAATTTATTATTTTGAGATGAACCCTTCAACCCCTTTCGTGAGGATAACATTTGTCGTACTCGTACAAAACTTATCCAACACGAATATCTTTGTCTGGCGTACTCCAAGTCTTTCAGATATTCCAACCGTAAGTGTCATGTTTTAAGTTTTAAACTAAACTATCTTAAACAGCAATTCTTTCCTTTGCTCAAGTTACGCCCTTAAAACGTGCACATATTGAGCATTTGACAAAATACATGAACAAAACGCTCCAATTATTTACATATCATAAGTTTTCGTGCAATTCGAGTTGGCATGAAAGAGAATATTTAAGCAAGACTAATCTTTTATAAGCGAATCGTCAACATTATTTTATCTAATCTGATCTCCCTAATTGTATCACCAGAACTTATTAGTGACTATTATTACATATTGAGCATACACATACGTCACGCATATCATCACCGCTACAAAAAGGGAGATGAGCATCACACAATGTGGAAAGAAGAAAGCAAGATTATCCATCCCTTCGTTGTACCGAGCGAGGTTCCGCAGATAAGTTTTTGGGGCAGCATGTTATACATACATACGCAGTTCGTAGAAAGATAGTTGTATTACTTTACACAGGAATCGAACTTTAGAGTTTATTTCCACTGAGCTTAATGCCGGATCAAATTGTAATTATGGACACCCACTTGTAGATTGGAGATCGAATTCTAATCAAAATACTGATTTTGTGTTTAAGTTTATTTAACGGGAGAAAGATGCTCAGAATTTACTCCATGCGCCCTTCTCGTTACATAAACTGCTCTTTTGGCTGGGATTTGGCCAACAGCACGCAGACCATGAATTGAGTGAGAGAAGAGAAAGGAGAAGGGCGAAATATGTAAGGCGTAGGTTTCAACAAACACTGTCGGCTGTACGACGATGGGTTTGGTTTGGTGGTGTCGGCTCTTTTGTTGGTGCTGCTGTGTGGCGTGGGTAAAATAAATAAATATAAATTATAATAATAAAACCCGGGTGGAGGGTCCTTTCTCGATTATTCAACCGAGCTTAATCCCCCATTTTCCGATACGATTTTACGACAGACACAGCACGGGAGGAACGACTAAATTGATGCACGAGACATAAGAAAGGAGAAAGTGCAAAGGAGGAGGGGACGAAAGAGGGGACGACAAGAAGGCTCCTTCATTATAACTCAACAGCATTTCGAAAATATATTTTCTTGAATGAATTTTGGTTATCATTTGCTCAAACTTAAAATCCAGCGAGTTTGTATCTCGATGTAGATTTTACCTGTATGAGAACAATTGATGCACCCAGAGATGTAGATATGTAATGTACATATAGTAAGTAGTTTCTTAATGTAATTTTCTGTTATTAACGTATGGATTCATACTTTTTTGTGTCTTTGTCTAAAGAAATCAAGACTTGAGTAATTGTTGAGGGGCAAATTGATAATTTCAAACTCTTGCAGGTGAATTTCGATAACCACAAAATCCATAGATAACTAGGCGGTATTGAAAATGGGATTACTAAAATTACACAGAAATATGTACATATGTATTTGGCAGCTCGTTGGTCTCATCAAAGATTAGAATCTGTTGACATTAATATAGTGTATCAAATCAGTCACCAAACTGAGTTGAATGGATTGTTTAAACAAATCCGTGTTTTAATATTCCAATTGTCCATTCATCTAATTTAATGCAAACAACGTTATTTGTATTCCACTCTGTGACAATTAAAATATGTCCCATCAAAAAAAAAAACAAAGGGAAAGCACCGCAAGTCCCAGTAGGCTAACAAATGTTGCGTTTTATTCCGAACAAAAGGATCTACCACAACTATTACTGCGAATGGTGGATAGCAGGAGCAGTAGGAAGCATACGTACAAATATTGACATTGACACCATCCCCACCCAACGTTGTGATTTAAAAGTCCATCATCGTTTTGTTGGATGATTTATTTCCGTTCCCGTTCGGTCGGCTTGTATTATTGTGCAGGTCCTTTTATGATGCAGATGAGGATGGGAGGTCTGCTAAAAAATGAGACTTGTTTGATTCCGCTAATAAGATATACGTATGCTACGATGTCCTGCATTTCCTATTTTTGGTCTTTTCTGTCTTCATAATTATTACTCTGTACTGGTTTTTGTTGTAATTTCATGCCACTCAAATAATGCATTTTCACACTGATAGATAGATTAAACTGAATTTCTCATGAATAGACAAATGAGGAACCATATGGCCACACTACTTGGGTTGGGCTCTCTCTTTCTTCCTTGTTCATTTCACTGCTTATTTGCCAACCTTAAATATTCCATCTACTCGTATGTAGATGCTGTCATCTGGTCAATGTCATCTATGTAAATCTCAAGTGCGGGTCCAGTAATAATAAGAATGGTCAATTTCGTGTTAAAATCGTTTCCTCTCATTTCACTGTCAAGTTAACTAAAATAACCTGTCTATCAGAAAAGTGGGATGGTACTGTTTCAGGATTTTCACTAAAGACGAATTGAAAATTTTCTTAATTTCATGAATATAACCAATCGTGTGCAATAAATTAAACTCGTCGCGATGTACGACCACTACATGCCACATACTCAAATGCATTACAATTGCACCTTCGTGAGGTTAAGCAAGAGATGGGGCACATTGAGAATTGCGAAATTTCACCAAAAACTCCTTTTGGACTTTCGTTACGAGATTATAAGTATCACCAGCAGTATGTAACTGTAAGCCTTCTTAATGTTTGGCATATACGTATATACGTGTTGGTTTATTGGCGTAATTAAACTCTAAGCAAATGAAATTGAACGATTTATTTTATTTGAATGCAAATGTCTTTTTCGGTAAATGAGGATAAATATGCAATGTCTCTGCACAATGAACAGCTTAATTTATTAACGAATCTGAGCCATGTCAATTCAGGGAAAATGAGGAATAAAAACATACTTTTACTTTACCCTCCGCACAGTGATAGAGAACGCAGAAGAACTTTGGTGAAATTTGTCGAGCACAATTTTCACCCTTATGTACATGTATTGCTTGATGATGAATCCATCTTATTGCCCGGCAGAAGTGATTGAGACTTTTGCTGTGTTTATTAGCTATGTACTACTGAATGCACTCACTAGTAATACTTACATAGTGAGTGAGGAGTACGCATAAGCAGTTTAGGAAACCAGAGAAGGAAGGAAAAGAAAGTACTTGTATGAATATCACATCGATCTCATCTCGGTTGGTGGGATCCAATATTGCATCCGCCGCTGTGCAGTGAAGAAATGAGAGAAAGAATGATCCATTGCACCCTGAATGGAGATGAATGGACCGGGTAATAGTTTGGTAATGGGCAGTTTGGTTATTTAGGCGTGTTATGTGTGATGTGGGGCCGCCTGTTGCTGTCAAAATTGTAATGATTGTCGTGTTGTGTGTATTCATTCATTTTCCGATCTGTACTTATTTTGATATCCAGCCAACTGGACCGAACCGAACAACGCCGAATTCTCACTCATCTTATTAGAGAATTAGAATAATAGGCTTATCTATCGGATGCGATGTTGGGGTGTAAGGGGAAATAAATTGTTTTTGTGTTTGTTCATTCATTCTCATTCATAGGCCACCCTTCTTCTCTTCTCCTCTCTGCCCTGTTTTACAGGGCACGGCACACCAAATCCCTCGTAATTCCTCAAATCCTAACCAAGCAGACGGAAAATGCACAAAAAATTATCATCTTCCTCAACATCCGAGACGACGAGGAGTTCGATTTGAGGGTGGGTGATGGGTGGGAAGGAATAATAGAGACCAAGATATCCTTTCATGCAACTTTTGAGCGTAATAAAATTCGTGCTCACTTTTAAGGAAGAACTCCGCCTGAAATAAATTTAAGAAAAATTGGTAGCGAATGTGTGTACAATATGTAGCGAATATTTTCTTTCCTTGCATCAATAAGTATCGATCAATGGGGTAAAATATATATAAAATATTGTCATTGCATAGCTCCTCATGGGAGAGCAGGCAGTATAACCGACTGCTAGATTTGCCGCATGGATGATTGTTTCCCAGATAATGTTCCGATTTCGAAGGGATAAATGTTTTTTTTAGTTTGATGGCATAATAAAATATTAAGGAGTGTCAAAATTATTTAACTATTACAAACACGTATTGGTGACCAACCGATTAAAAAAGTGAGTCCTACGGGGAAAGTATCTTTCATCATTACTTCCGTAATTATTTAGCTACATGTTTTACTTTAATTGCTTTTTTAAAACACTTTACTATAAAATTATTATATCGATGGGAATAGGATATTGAGACCACAGGGACCAACATAGATATTTTTAACGCATGCAAAAGAATTAGCCAAACTGATGACAATCGCACACCACCCCTACAACTACAAATCTAAAGCATACGTTTTCAGTAAAAGTTGTCATTGTCCTACCACCACTGTCAACTGTTGTCATTGTTGCGTCTGTGTTTTGATTCAGATAAAAGATTTAAAACGAATGAACATCGTCCTCCTCACGAGTGAATGTTCATCACATGTTTTCTCTGAGCGACGACGTGTGCTGAAACGTGCCACCCAAAGGGTGATATTTCCCAGAGGAATGACACTATGAGAGGAAAACCACTTTCTCTCTCGCACCCCATTTTGCCTTAGCTTTTTTTGCTTGTTTGCAGTGAAGAGTTCCAATGCTACTTTTGAAAGTGAAGGATATGCGTCGATTAGCTTAAATATTCTTTTCGATAACCCGGGTATTCGACAGATTCCATGCATATACATATGTGGGTAAATGTATTATGTGTATTTATGTCAGGGAAGTAACATGAGAATAAACCTATCAGTACAGCTTTGCTTAGCCCGAACCAGGAATGATTAGTAAACCCATGTTTGTCAGTAGTTTTCTATGAAATTATGTGCTACTATTTTGCACTAATTCTTCCATCAATCCTTCGTATTACTAGGCTCCAAATTCTAAAAATATTTACTATCCCTTCCCTTGACTACTTCCTAGTGGAGGTCGTCTCCATAGCCCCCCTGGTTAATTTTTGTTCATATTTAACTTCATGTTATTTCGTGAAAAAGCAGTATCGACTTCTGGTCCAAATTTCAGCTTTCTATGTTAATTTCTGAAAATCGGTGGGGGTCACTCCATAGGGTCCCTCTAGATGAAAATTTTACCAATTTCACTTCATATTCTTCCATTACGGGCCATTAGCAGCCTCTATACCAAATTTCAGCTCGATTGGATGATTTTGGAAAATCGGTATGGGTCACCCCCTCGGGTACCTCCGGTTGACAAATTTTCCAATTTCACTTCATATTCTTTCATTGGAAGCCATTAGCAACCTTTGTACCAAATTTGAGCTTTCTATGACGATTTTGAAATTTTGGTGCATAATACCCCACCCACTCCGATGACCCCCACCGGTCAACCACTGGACCAATGTCACCCATCTTCGAACTCGCTTCCTAACTTTGTCCAATATGCATATGGTAAAAATTTCAAGTCAATCGGTCAACTTGTTCGAGAGTTATCGAAAGACAGACGGACAGACAGACAGACAGACAGACAGACAGACAGACAGACAGACAGACGGACATGACAATTACATAAGCCCTGGTTCGGGCTAAAAATGAGCGTAAATATATTGCATATTGCCTGCATGGTATTTAGAAATTGAACTGACTTGGCCAAGTAATCCAGATAATCCCACAATTTAAAAAGCTAAACAGAGATAAAACTGTTAGAACTTTGGGTTTAACTCTATAAGCACCCTTCAAATGATCATTGTCCCAACAACTGCTAGTATTTTTCTATTTGGGTGTGTATTCATTGATGCCAAGAGCAGAAGAGTCAATTGCCAGTGTCGTTAAATAATGGTTCTTCTCAGTCAAACTAAATCTTGCAGTAAATTAGTTGAGCGTGGACATAGCAGGTGGAAAAGTCATTTATTTCTTCACATCTGACATGGCAGTTAAGAAAACACATGTTTTCTAAAGTGGTCCAGGCTACACGCTGTCTACTTTTTTTCTTTACGCATAAGGAAATGGGGAGTTTTGCTTGTGGTAACACGTTATATTTATACATGTAAATTTATGTATGCTATATGTGTATCTATGTATGTATCTATAATTTTGTATTTACTCACTGTATCATACATACGCCTTTCGGTGACAATAGCTTTGAAATATTGAAAGCGTCTCATGTGATATGATCCTAATCAATTGCGATTTTTTATCTATCGCTTCATTTCTCACAATTTATTGTTAATAATTTTAGACTCCCTATTGGGTTCGATAGGCCCCCAACAACAGCAACCTCATCATCATCATCACCCTTCATTGACAAGTCTAAGTTTACTCAATCAATCTGCAACATCGCCCCCACCGACGAGCTCAAGCTGTCCAAGTCCTCCAGCTAGCGGTTCGGATCCGCGCGGTACTTCCGGAAATGGGCTGAAGGACTCTCTACTGGACGACACCAACAATGAGCCCAGTCCAAGCCAAGAGTTGGAAGAAAGTTCTGAGGACAGCAAGAAAAAGTTGAAACGCCAACGGAGACAAAGGACTCACTTCACTAGTCAGCAGTTACAAGAGCTCGAGGTACATCTTTATTATCACTTGACAATCTTAATTATTTATTTATTCTTTAACGAGCAAACTTGATTAATCACATTCTTTGTTTGCGTATTTGTAGGCAACATTCGCGAGAAACAGGTCAGGACATAATTGCTTCTAAAAATGTGTCGTATTAGTAGAGGGACCATTTTACTTTAATTTTCTCTGATTTTGCAAGCAGGTATCCCGATATGAGTACCAGAGAAGAGATTGCCATGTGGACTAATCTAACGGAAGCAAGAGTCAGAGTGTGGTTTAAAAACAGGTATGTACATACGTATATATTTGCATAATGTGAGGGCACGTCATGTTATGTAAAGATGCCCACTGTATAAATGATGCAAGTCCAAAATTATTAATTAATTAGACGTGCGAAATGGAGGAAACGAGAACGCAACGCCATGAATGCGGCGGCACTTGGCGCCGCGGCCTGTGCGGCTGTTGCTGCGAATGCCCTTGATTTTAAATCCAGTCTGATGCACCCTCACCACCATCACCAAGCCTCAGCCCACTTTCCCTTCCAAACGTACAACATGTATCATCAACATCATGTCCCAGCATCGACCGTGGTGAGTCCCGACGAGGCGGTCAGCGCCGCGGTGGCAGGTAATTATAAATATTTAATCACCAATTCAACGTACATAATTGTAGTTTTTATTAATTTTATAAATTTTTAATTTCTTTGACACGCCGCGGTGGCAGCGTCTTCCAGCATCTACTATCAGGGTTACAGCAACTGGACCAAGTCTGGAGGATCCGCGGCAGGAAAGTCAATCGGCACTGGGAGTTTGTTCCCCTGGGGAAACAATACAAATCAATTAATTGGGAATAATTCTGCCAACAATTATTATCAGGGCGGTTACTATTGCGGGTAAGTCAGGTAATTAATCAAAATGAAACGTTTCGTTTGCATCCTTCCTTCTCAGGAGGGGAGGTTGTGTTTGTGTACTATCAACTCACGGATCTCGATGTGCTTTTGATATATTATTGTGTCCAATGAATGAACAAGAACCCTGAAGTGGTTCGATGCCATGGCCAAATTTGCGCCCGCCACACCCACTCAAAGGTGCCCAAAAAACGCTTTCACTCCAGCTTTCACTCATTCAAATCCACGCCAAAAATCCAATTTTACTCCGATTTTGAAATTTCTTTCACCATTATACTTCCAGATAGTTGTTCTCTTGTATCCAACATCAAACTCAACTTTTGGAATTTTTCAGTATTTTTGAAATTTAAAATTCTGAATGAGCATTATTGTAGTAATCAACAACGAAAATTATTCCTGCCAAATAATCATCGAACAGGTTGATTTTGATGTTGGATATAAGAAAACAACTATCTGGGAGTATAATGGTGAAAGAAATTTCAAAATCGGAGTAAAATTGGATTTTTGGCGTGGATTTTAATAAGTGAAAGCTGGAGTGAAAGCGTTTTTGGGCACCTTTGAGTGGGTGTGGCGGGCGCAAATTTGGCCATGGAGTCAAACCATTTCATGGTTGTTGTTCATTCATGTGACACTATAAAATATCTAAAGGACATCGAGATGAGAGAGTTTGATAGTACACAACCTCCTCTCCTAAGTGTGGGAGAAAACTCACCTTTCACTTTGGGCATAAAGTCTCTCGTTGCCCCCAACCAGGGTGCATAAACTTTTTTGTTGTCCGTGGTTTCTCCTAAGGGGGTGATGCTAGGATGAAAATTTTTATTCAAAAATTAAAAGTTGGGGAATTGCATGCACTTTTGCCATGGAAACCACCCAAATTCAAAGCAAAATTGCATGCAATTCCCCAACTTTTAATTTTTGAATAAAAATTTTCATCCTGGCATCACCCCCTTAGGAGAAACCACGGACAACAAAAAAGTTTATGCACCCTGCCCCCAACGCATCAACGTAATTTATTTGTTAGTGATGATTGTAAAGTATTACATGTATTCGATAATGATTGTTGTTACAGAATGCCAAGTAGTAGTCAACCCAACTCTGGGCTCTCATTGTCATCTACGACGAACGACAATTCCGGAGCGAGCCCCACCCCCAGTGGGAATGCGTTGTCATCTCTCCCAATCAGCGACTCTCAGCAAGCGACGGAAAGCTCGACCAACATTCTCTCCTCTCTGGTTTCTTCGGGAAACAATCTCAACCACAGAATAGCCAAAAATGGAGGGGGTGGCAATGGAGCAAGTGGCAACAACAACGGGTCAAACAAAAACGCAACGGCGAAATTTTAAACACAAGTCAAACCAAAGAAAGTTGTTGAATTCATTTTAGTCATCAAATACAATTTTTATGGAATATTACTTAAATTTTTATGTGAATGTGAGTGGCAATGGGATGAATTTGTCGTCGTTGTAAATCGTTATGTTTTACGTATGCATTATTATTATTGGGTTATGATGAGATAATACTAGCTTTGAATATTACTTAATTATGCTAAAATGTCTGTGTGCGATGCGAAAATGTGGCTGACTGAGGAATTTGTTCAGTGAAGGAATGTAAAATATTTTGTAAAAAAATTATGATTCCGATCTCAAATTAGGAATTTTTTGTATAAATATTCTATCAGTATAAAGAAAAGGTCACTTAAAGCGTTTAAAGAAGAAAAGTTTTAACTATCTATGTATGTAGACGCAACAATTAATATGTACTTAATTAGATGGCAGTATTATTAATTTTTGAATTAATATTTAGGTATTAACTGTATCACATAAGACGGTCATTTATACATAGTTGATAGTTGTGACAGATTATGATGCATTTTTGGTAATATACTTACTTATTTGTCCCTTTGAATGAAATTCAACAATTTATGACAGGTTTTCAATTATTTATTCATACATTCATACATACATTAAAATGAAATATCATGAAACACTTATTAAAAAATATATATTAATCAGAATGAGCTATGCTTTTATGATGTGTACTTCTGAACCACATTTATCTCCTCGTACTTTAAAAACTGATTTCCCATTTTTATGAATTTCGCACCCGCACGGAATTGTTACCTCAACAGCCTGTTTGGAGCTATCGATAGGTTCCATTTTCTGGAATTCAGGACACACAATCTTCACTTCGTTCTTTTTACCACGCCCACTCCCAAAAACCAGAATACGATCATCCGAAACCTTCCTGACAATGGGAAGCTTTACGAATTTTTTGTTTGTGCACTGCACCTTACAGATTTCTGAATCATCTCCCTCTTGGTAGAGGATTTGTGGGCAACTCGTCATCGCTTCAAATCCTCTCTCAACTTCCGATGTCAAATGACAAAAACCATTATTCTCATTGCAATGCAATTCTTTAGCATTCGTCAAAGTGTTTTGAGAAAAAGGATCGGAAATGTACTGATTATCCTTAAAATTAATTTGACAAACCTGCCCCTGCTCGTTAAAATACGGGACAGGATGATATTCAAGTATTTTATGTCCGCTATTTCTCAACAATCGTACTGGAACTTGAAGAGTGACAATCATGGAATTTGGGGTAAATGCGCAATCAGAAATTCCTGTTAATTTATAGTACTTGCTCAATTCCGAAATCCCAACCACAAGTTCTAACCCATTCACAGAGGCATTCGCAGCCACAACGCTCAAAACTTGCTGTAAGTCTTGCGGGGTAATTAACGTGTTTGGAATTCTGTTAGCCTTGCATTCAGCCAGAGCTTGAGTCCATCTTCGAGATTCAATATGATACTCAAATAAACCTGATGAGTACAAGTTATACCGGGCATTCGTGTACATGGCGTCATTAGATCGATTAAGTGGAGTTTGCAAGCTGTAATATTCAGTAAAGAATTTTTCTCTCATCGTCCGGTATGGAGCATCAATAGCATTTGCTACATATTTATCGCTCCTTGGAACAAGTGTGGTTTGAGAGGATTGACAATTTGTTGGAGATGTTGCAAAGGATAAGAACTCGGATCTAGATTCTTCATCGAGATATAAACCATCAAATACTTGTCGAAGTTGGTCACAGACGATATCTGTTGGAAATTTTGACGTGTCCCTGGCTTTCATGTTCTCGACGTAGATTTCCTCTTGCAACTTATCTCGGACTCCTGTTAGCCAGTACCACAGTATCGGACATGACCACCTGCACCAGAGGGGAAAGTGAGATATCAAATGGTGAAAGTTAAACAGCCAGCACAAAATATTTTACCCGTCATTGTCATAATCGTCTCCAGTGCATGTGTAGCCAATTAGATTAATGGGCCTGGACCAATTGGGGGTCGTGAACTCGAACACGACGGGATAAACGGTGTCATATATTTCTGGAATTTGGTGAGTTGGGAGGTGTGCCGTTTTTCTTACATAGTACGGATTTCCACTAGCCGTCTGTTTTACTAAACTCTCGTGCGTATCCCCATCAATCAAATTGACGAAGACGGACAAAGACCAGATGCTTAATATTACTCGACGATGTAACATTTTGTCTCAGCAAAAAACGTTACACTTGACGCAAAAAAATTAAATTGCAGGAGAGTGATTGGAGGACATTGCAATGTTGAACCTTTTATATGCAACCTTTACAAAGCCGGAAACTTTTTAGTCATTACACACATATATAAAACACCTGTGTTCCCTTTCAAATGCAAATCGAATATTAGGTAAAGCATGAAAAAAATATGTGATTTAATTTTGGTCATTCTAGGTTAATGTTAATTCGAATCATTCCAATCTTGCGCAAACAACGTCCTGGCGCTATAAATGCAACATAGCTGGCAAGCAGCATTATTTGGGAATCATTGACATTGAATAACTTAAATTATTTTGACACGTGCATTATCTCAAATTTGGTGTTCATTTGGATAGATAAAAATATGATGTTAATTACATACTATTCCAGAGAAGTGAAAACCAAGTATTGTATTCTGATTTGTCATTTGCATTCTTTGCATTTGTACTCATCCACAGTGTGACAGTATTAAAACTTGCATTTTTATTTTGCTTACATCAATGACGAAAACGAAGCGAAAAAAAGACTTTGCCTGACGAAGTTTACTGTATGTGAAAGAAAGCTCGCAATAAAAATAATTCAAGAAAATGTCCTCAGATGCCGATGAAATTACTTCAATAAAACGAAGCGATTTTGATGCAGACTTTCTGATGCAGAATTTTTGATTTCTTTTGGGAGTGAAATGGCGAGATGAGACACAAGAGTTGAGACATTATATAAAGTCTATGCATGAGATGAGATGAGACGAAAAAATGTAATCAGATGACGTCTGTGAAGCTGTACCTGGGTTTGAGTGCACTGCTGCCGCCCACCGTCCTGCTTCCTACCGCCAACCGCCGCCTCTCTTCCTACCGCATACCCGCAGATGCCACTTCCAAAAAACCGTGTAATCGACTTCCCTCACCCTAAGCCGTATCATAATACCCCAAAATGTTAATTTTACTCTAAATTCCTAAAAAAATCCAGAAAACTAACTAATAAACTTATAAAATAATCCGCATAGGTTCCTACAGCGGGATTCCAAACTACCACCTCCATGCTTGCATATATTACTGATCACACCCCCGGTCATCATTTAATGCGGACCCGCACCCGCCAGATCCCTCTGGTCAAAATTACCAAGCCGGTAAAAGTCATAACTTGGACTTTTTGCTAATTTTGACTTTGTTGCCGTTTCCTACAGCGGGATTTCAAACTACCGCCTCCATGCTTACATATGTTATCGACCGCACCCCCGGTCATCATTTAATGCAGACCCGCACCCGCCAAATCCCTCTGGTCAAAATTACCAAGCCGGTAAAAGTCATAACTTGGACTTTTTGCTAATTTTGACTTTGTTGCCGTTTCCTACAGCGGGATTTCAAACTACCGCCTCCATGCTCACATATGTTATCGACCGCACCCCCGGTCATCATTTAATCGGCCTTCTGGTCAAAATTACCAAACCGGTAAAAGTCATGACTTGGAGTTTTTGCTAATTTTGACTTTGTTGCCGTTTCCTACAGCGGGATTTCAAACTACCGCCTCCATGCTCACATATGTTATCGACCGCACCCCCGGTCATCATTTAATGCGGACCCGCACCCGCCAGATCCCTCTGGTCAAAATTACCAAGCCGGTAAAAGTCATAACTTGGACTTTTTGCTAATTTTGAGTTTGTCGCCGTTTCCTACAGCGGGATTTCAAACTACCGCCTCCATGCTTGCATGTATTACCGACCACACCCCTGGTCATCTTTTGGTGTGGACCCGCACCCTCCAGATGCATCGGATCCATATAAATAAACTCAGAGTTACTTTTGCCTTCTTCCTTAGTTTTACTTTGATTCTCAATAATGAACATGTAGTATAGATTCGTATAACTTAAATTTATAAGCTTATCAAGTTAGTCAAATGGCGAGATGTTGGAAAGCTCTTTTCTTGCTTGGTGAAGTGGTATTTTCAAGACATCAGAGTAAATTAGCTCCAGTGTTTCGGGAAGCAGAACGGTTGTTACTTGTAAAATGTCCTGAAATAATAATATATAGTAAGAATACGTAATACATAATTTCTTTAAATGTAAATTGTGATATAATCATTGTAAAGATACTTCAAATCCTAGAGCAGAGATGTTTTTAAGCTTTTGGATATCGGAGGAAACTGTGGAACATATCTTCGAGCAAGATTTTGTGGTAAATGGATATGATACCACCATTTGCTGCAAATTTCCAGAAAAGTTTGGCTTTCGTTCCACCCACATCTGCGTAAATAATGTATTAGAATATTACTATATCAGGTTCTAGTTAAATAGCTGGGAAAATTTAGCGACCTTTTGTCGAGCACATTTGTAGCCGCCGACAAATTCATCCCGATTGGCCACGTAAAGTTCCATTATGTCTTCTTTAATGTTGGAGTAAGCCATCATGAGTGAATCCTCAGTAAGATTCTCAACGATTCTGTACAATAATTACAATTAAATTCATCGTCCATATTATTATGTATTTGCAAGTTACTTATATCGCTGATATTGTTGTTTCTCCTGGGTGACAAATTCTTCACCCCAAACTTGCTTCCGCAGCGATTGCTTAGCTAAGAATATAAGAGATTTTTATTGTTATAACTGTTATAAGAAATTTGGTAATAAACGTTTGCAAAAATTCAATTAGGCTAATCAGACCAGAATTCCCTTGCTGATCCGTCAGAATGTCAGAGACTATTTTCCTAAACTTTGACTCCAGGTTAGCTGTGGTAGTCTCCTCTTCTTCCGCGGATGTTTTATTACGCCTTTGCCTATTTTTCCCGAATTTGTATAGGAAGAAATTAGTATTTACACTATAATAAAACATCTTTCAGTCGGGTATTTTTGTAGAATACGATGTTAAACGGTTATTAAAGTTTGTTTAAATATTAAATACTACATTACCGAGTCTCCAAACATCCATCCATAGTTCGTGCTACATTATTTTGATTGTTCAGAGTAAGAACTTGTTGGAGGGGTTGAGAAGACCTGTCTCTCCCAATCTTTTGAACCCTTGCATTCTCTTGCCTTCTCCTCGTCAAGCTTGGTAAGCTCAGTCCTATTATGTAAATATCTATTTTTTCGTTCGCCTTTTTTTCTTTTGCTCCATGTCTCCTTGCATTCTTGAACTTCTTCTTGAATTAGTCCCTTTGGAATATCTCCACGTTCGATTTCGTCGTCATTTTGCAGCGTTTTTGTAACTAGCTTAACTTCTTTGCTTGCTGTTTTCTTTGGTAGATTGTCGAATACAAATTTTTTGTTTTTACCATTTGTAATTTCTAAGCGATGCCGAACAAAGTCGGCGACATTTTCCGGTTCCACGATAAGATTTTGCTTTAATAGCCGAAACTCTGATTCACATGATCCATTCGTTGCCCGGACAAAGTTGGCGTTCTTGGTTTGCTGCACAACTCCACGTGCGAAAATTCCAACGTATGGGGCGTATGTGTTTTCAAACACGTTCAGCACAGCAGGATTGTAAAATGGGTTCAACTCTGCATCCTCATTCACGTGTTTTTCTTCAATTCTTCTTATTTTCTGAAAAGTGTGGTAGAATGGCGACTTCTCACGTAATAACCTACTTGCGTTTACTTCTTCCTCGTCTGATCCTGCATAGTCATCCACTATAACGTCCCCATCCACCCATTCTTCAAGAGAAATTGACTTGATTCGCGCGAGGTTGTGTTGGACATCTTCGGGGGACATCTTCTCCTTCCCAAATAGGGTACATATATCCTTCATGGCGATTTCCACGTCGTTTAACGTTGACGCCTCTTGTAAATTGGCTAACCCTCGTACGCTTGCGTCCACGATCTCATTTCGAAATTTATGCCCAACGGTTTTCTTGCGAACATTGTCAAGAAATGACTTTGTCAAATGAGATGCACACAATTGTATGCACGCCGTATCTCCAGCAAACGTGTCCTCGTTTTTGAGGACGGCGTAACTTTTCTTCAAATATTCTTCTAGTTTCATTGTGTTATATCCCTCAGACACAGCATGAAGCATGGCGAAATTAAAGTCGGTACATATTACATCAGGGGCACTCTTGGTCTGATATGGGCGTAATTTTTTCACGCCTCGCTTGATGCTAGTAAGAGGACCCGCAATATCATTGGATTGACCTCGCATTAAAACACTGTCAGCCACAATGAAGCTTCCCTGCTTCGTTTGTGCCACAATAGTGTGCAATAACAATGTGTTCCTTTTGTTCCTGTGAGTTTTGTCAGCAGGATCATTGCTAGGATATAGGGCATCTCGTGGGAGGGGCTTTAAAATACCTCCTGTCGCATCAATTCCCACAATAACATGTTCTCGTGAAATTGTGTCCGTAAATAATTTTATTGATTGCTGGTCGAAAAGATCCAGCCTAAAAAGTTTTGCATCCAAGTTAAAATCTTGGATGTAACCACAAATTGTGGCGTTGGCGTTGTGGCTTGTCTGGTAGTGATTTTTCAACAACCTCAAGTCGTCGAATATATTAGAAGCCAGTCTGACTTTTCCTTTGGACTCTGATTTCACAGTTCGTAGAGCGTCTGCACTGGGAGGAACGCTTTTATGTAAAAGCTCGAGCCCTTTCACATGGCTCAAGTCTGTGAAACTCCGAAAGATTCCAAGGTAGTTTCCAAGGCCTCTCCCTGGATTGGTTTGCATGTGAAAGTTACTTGAAATTTGATTCCACATGAGCAGTATCCTTCCTGTCGAGCGAATGGCTGATCTTTTTTCCTCTCCGAATAATAATAGGGCTCCCGCCTATTCTTAAAAGGGCAAAGGATGCCTGCTTCCCGAAGTTTCTGCGAGATAACGTCCCCACGAATCTTGTTTTCTACAAATTTCGAAGTTTTGTAGTCAAAAAATTTGGAAACTTCGTTTGGGGAAAATATAACTGTAATTTTTTTAGCCGGAATATAATTCAGTTCTTCCTGAGAAATGCCAAGGACAGTACAAACTGTGTCCACATCGAGTTGTACATCAGCCAAAGGTGCGTGAACTCGTACGGTTTCATTTTGGTCGGTTGACCCTGTCTGGTGATCGAACTGGTATGAGGTTTCTTGTGCGTCTTCCTCGTTATTTTGTATATCCGCCTGGGAACCTCCATTCGCATCATCCTCAGGTCCGTCGTGTTTTTCGGTATATGTGTCATCATCAAACTTCTGTACGTCGTCGTTGCCGTCATTTTGATCTCCGTTTTCAGAATCCAGGTCGTCGTTCCCATCTTTTTCAATACTGTCATTTTCTTTAGTTTCTGCTACATCCCGACATTCCAGACAATACCACTCATTGGACTCGTTGTAGTCGCAATGATTTTTTCCGACTCCGTCCTTTTGGTAATGATACCACTTACCACATCCGTAAAAAAAGTAGAAATACACAAATTTTGCTAATTATGATTTTTGTGATTATATTCAGATAGATTTGCCGGGTGCGGGTCCGCATTAAATGATGACCGGGGGTACGGTCGATAACATATGTGAGCATAGAGGCGGTAGTTTGAAATCCCGCTCTAGGAAACGGCGACAAAATCAAAATTAGCAAAAAGTCCAAGTTATGACTTTTACCGGCTTGGTAATTTTGACCAGAGGGATCTGGCGGGTGCGGGTCCGCATTAAATGATGACCGGGGGTACGGTCGATAACATATGTGAGCATAGAGGCGGTAGTTTGAAATCCCGCTCTAGGAAACGGCGACAAAATCAAAATTAGCAAAAAGTCCAAGTTATGACTTTTACCGGCTTGGTAATTTTGACCAGAGGGATCTGGCGGGTGCGGGTCCGCATTAAATGATGACCGGGGGTACGGTCGATAACATATGTGAGCATAGAGGCGGTAGTTTGAAATCCCGCTCTAGGAAACGGCGACAAAAACAAAATTAGCAAAAAGTCCAAGTCATGACTTTTACCGGCTTGGTAATTTTGACCAGAGGGATCTGGCGGGTGCGGGTCCGCATTAAATGATGACCGGGGATGCGGTCGATAACATATGCAAGCATGGAGGCGGTAGTTTGAAATCCCGCTTGAGGAAACGGAGACAAAGTCGAAACTAGCAAAAAGTCAAGTCATGACTTTTACCGGTTTGGTAATTTTGACCAGAGGGATCTGGAAGGTGCGGGTCCGCATTAAATGATGACCGGGGGTACGGTCGATAACATATGTGAGCATAGAGGCGGTAGTTTGAAATCCCGCTCTAGGAAACGGCGACAAAAACAAAATTAGCAAAAAGTCCAAGTCATGACTTTTACCGGCTTGGTAATTTTGACCAGAGGGATCTGGCGGGTGCGGGTCCGCATTAAATGATGACCGGGGGTGCGGTCGATAACATATGTGAGCATGGAGGCGGTAGTTTGAAATCCCGCGCTAGGAACCTATGCGGACTATTTTATTAGTTTGTTATTTGGTTTTCGGGATTTCTTGAGTATTTTAGAGTAAAATTAACATTTTGTGGTATTATGGTACGGCATAGGGTGAGAGAAGTCCATGTACAAGGTTTTTTAGCATTGGCATCTGCGGGTAGGCGGTAGGAAGAGAGGCGGCGGTTGGCGGTAGGAAGCTGGACGGTGGCAGCAGTGCACTCAAACCCAGGTACAGCTTCACAGACGTAATCAGATGCGAGAAAGTGGGAACCAGACAGACAAATGTTCTCGCTAAATAATATTTTCTTGTTGCTGTTTGTAAATATTTCTCTCGGATATAATTCTCTGGGTATGTCAGGTATATTTTTATATATTTTCTTGTGTATAATCCTTACATGTTTTCTCGTCGTTTGCTGACTCTAAATTTGGTGACATACATTAAACATAATAGAGTAATACTAATTTTTATATTATTTTTGTTGGGAATATGTAGCTCAGGGGGTAATGATGAGGATACACAATTGGTCCGACAAATACCAGTACTAAAGATGACCACATTAAAACATACGTGTCCAGTGGTGGTGTCGAAGAAAAATGGTGGTCCAGTAACCATGTTTAGTTCACGGGAAACATCGTCGTCGACTACAAAACAGGATAAGCAAATCAATGTCTCCTCCCCCATCATCAATCAAGCTTCTTCGCAGACAAAATCTCCCGTACAATTGAGGACATTTTCAAAAAGGTTTCCATTCATAGACAAATCATATGAGAAAAATGGAAAAATTGTTTCTCCACAATCACAACCACGATTCCTGCATGAAAGTTGCATTAATAGAAATCAAATTCCGACCAATCCTTTTGCACATAATATTTCAGAACGTATGTTTAATTTCATTCTTGATTTTAACTACAGTTTAGATACATCTCACTCAAGTAATAATTAATTATTGTATGTTCTTTGCAAAAAAAGGCGCACAAGAAGCACAAGTACAATCTGACCCACTGCATTTGGAAGTTTATTCATATTTGTAAGCGGTATTAAGTTTTATGTTAATACTAACTGGTGTGATTATGTTCGAATTATTTTAATGCGTGTCACAATTTTCAGAGACATGTCAAAGAGGGGATTTACAAATGACCACACATACTCTGCAAGCAAATGCATCGAATGCGAATTTTGTCACCAGAATTTTGAGAATTTGGAGCAGTTAATGAGCCATTTTGTTTCGGATCACTCCAAAGTGACCAAATCATTTATTTGTGTCCTCTGTGATCGAACCTTTGTTTCAACCGTTCTACTAAGAAAACATATGGACTTACACAAGGATGCAGAAAGCCATGAAATTTTCTGTGATATTTGCGAAGACCGATTCAAAACAGATGATGACTTACATCGACATTTAGACTCGCACACTGTGATTCGGGGTGTATTTTCCTCAATGAAGTCATTTCATAGTTTCAAATGCTTATTTTGTCGTAGCGGATCGAACACGCGGAAGACATTTTCATTTTTGAGACAACATGAGCTAAAGAAACATCTTTCTGAGCTTAACTTTGTTTGTAATGTCGGAAATTGTAAGGAACCCTTTTCACACTTGTACTTACTCGAAGCACATAAAGTTTGTCACCTCCCAGAACCTACAAATCAAGACACGACCACTACAACGATGACAACGGCCACGACATATCCTTGTTTAGTGTGCAACTATCAGTTTGATACGGTGAAAGCACTAAAGTACCACCATTTAATTCACCTAGATTTCTTGGAAAGATGTTCAAGACTGAACTATAAAAAGACTTTGGAAATGGAACTATTTTGCAAAAAGTGTGGGAAAGCTTTTATCCAAAGAGAAGATGTAAAATTGCATGCATGTCACTCAACTCCACTTCGATGTGAATTATGTCCAGAGTATTATTTCACTGAGCGGCCCCACTTAGTTAACCACATAATTGAAAAGCATGAAACAATATCTACACCCAACAATAAAATGTACCGATGCTTTAAACCAAACTGTGCAAAAAGGTTCGTCACGGACTTTATGTACAAGCGACATCTAAGATATCACCATTTGTCAAGATGCCCTTTGTGTGAATTTGGGATCAAAGAATCGAAATACTCTAAGAAGGATATCAAGTCAAAAATAAAGTCACATATGACCTCCTGCCATGCTGCAGCTGAAGGAGAAGATTCTAAATGCACAGTTTGTTTAAAACAATTTTGTACTCCTTTGACATCCGTCGTCCATTTGCGTAAACATCATCCAGAGATTTTCACGTTTATTTGTACCATTTGTGATAAAACGTATTCCTCGCTAGAGCAGTTGAACGCTCACACGTTGTCTCACAATACTGGTTTTACGGATGCTGAAGGAACGACCCAAGATCTCCAAATGTTTGAATGTTATTGTTCCAACTCGTTCATTTCAGTTAATACATTTCAAGACCATCTTGAATCTCATACAGGGGAGGGTTTATTGATCTGTGAGTTGTGCGTCTCTCATAATCGTCTGGCCCCTTCGCTATTTCATGGTATAGAAAATTTGCAGAAGCACACTGAGAGAGAACATTCTTCTGCTGGAGCTGGAACACCAAAGGACACGCCATGGGAAAGTATCGATTTTGATGCATTGATTGAAGAAAATTTTCCAAGTTCAACATGTTCATTATCATTATCATCTCTTCCAACAACAATTTCTTCAACACTTTCATCCTCGCAATCGTTGCCACAAATAGAAAACAAAGAAGATGTTATCATGATGGATGCAGAAAATGACTTTGAGGTCGCTGACAATTCCGTTCTACCGTCTAAGAGTGTCAAATGTGAAGTATGTGATAAAACTCTCAGAGACAGTACAGCCCTCCGATTACATCAACATACCCATCCTGAACTTTTCATTTATAAATGTCCTGAAGCAAATTGTGACTCAAAGTTTGTCTCAGAGATTCATCTTTTCACTCATGCTCAAATTCACAGTTATATCCCTGATGAGTCATTAATCTGCTATTGTTGCTCAAAGTCAAGAACGTTCGAAACAAAAGAAGACCTGGCAAAGCATCTACGCATACATACGCAAGACAAGAAGAAAACGTGCCCGCATTGTCATAAAGTATTGCACAACACGAAACATTTGGCAGACCACATTGCCAATATACACAAAATGATATTATTCCGTTGTACTGATTGTAACTTGACATTTACAACCAAGGGGAATTTAATCCGCCACCAAAACTGTCGCCATTCAACCTCAAATGAAACTTTCGACTGTGCTGAGTGTCCGAAAAAGTATCGCTCGAAAGCTATGCTATACTGTCACCGGAGAGAAGTTCACAACCCAATTATGCAACAATGTGACCAATGCGGCGAAATGATAGCATCCTGCAAATTTAAAATGCACTTGCTTAAGGCGCATGGTGTTGACACATTTAAGCACATAAAAGCTAGTAGAGCCCTCACGCGATGCTACTTTTGCTCTCAGCAATTCTCTAGCCTAGTTCATCTTGAATTTCATATGACGAGTCACACCAATGAAAGAAATACGTTAATTAAGATCCCTCCTGAAAAGGGACGGCGCACTCAGAATCCACCATCAAGCCTAATTGATTGCAAAATATGTGGAAAACAGTTCCAACGAATTTACACGTACAATATGCACATGAACTTTCATAATGGCGTTAGAAAAATCAAATGCTCTGTATGCAGTAAAACATTTTCCAACTACTTGAGCCGAGCTGGTCATCAGCTCAGTCACCGCACCTTGAATCCTCAAGAAATAAACAAAAACAAGGAGACGAAGGCGTTTGCAAAAACTTGGACTTCATTTACTTGTAAATTTTGTCGCAAGGTCTTCACTGTGCGAACCCAGTACCAGTACCATCTAAATCAACACACCGGTAAATGAATTATGTACTTATATGTTTGCACCATATGCAGATTTGTAATTATTTCTCATCCTATTTTTTTGTCCTCAGGCAAAACTCCCTACAAGTGCCACATATGTGGTTTACGATTTTCTCATTCAGGACACTTTCTAGGACATAGGAAAAAACACTTGATGTGGGGAGATTACAAGAAAAGGCCAGATAACATGAGAGGTGCTCTACCAGAATCAGATGACGATGCCATTCATAAAGATGACGAAAAAGTCGCCTGCCCTGACCCAAAGAATGAACCACCAGTAATGGATGAAGTCAATAATAACACCAATGTACCAGACCCAGCTATTCCATATGAAAATCCATTCCCAACATTTAGTTTACAAGAAATGATTTAGATTTACGGGTTTGCAATGACAATGCATGTATTGTTATATATGCAATGGTTTCAATACATAGACAAGTTAAAAGATACTATTTACCCTTCGTTTTATATAAGCTGCTGCCTTCACTTGTTTAATAAAGTAAAATAAAAATAACTTCGCATGTTAAAGAAGGCATACTTTTCTTTTTACTTTTTAGGGTCCGTACTTACTTTATTCCGTTGAATTACCTATAAATAGTATTCATATTTGTGTCCTGTTTCTAGCTTTGCTTATTAATACGTGAATCGCATTCACAATAAACTACAATATGCTATGAAAATGTCCTTTGTTTGTTCCAGTGAAATGAGAAAGAAATAAGTGTTTTCGGGTTCTCTCCTACACGGCTACACGCTACAGCTACACGTGGGTGGAATGAAAGCTTAGTTGATTTTGACTATTTTAGATATGAATCAGCGGCAATCAGTGTTAGTGTCCAATCGCCGATAAAATCGTCTAAAATTCTGAGTACATTTTGGCTCTCTAATGAAAAAAGTAACCCCAAAAACTGCCAAAGGTCTTTAAATATAGTTACCTAAACCTAACAGTAACAAACAGGTACAGTTCCGATTTATATTATTCCGAAATTCGGAATCCGAATACAGAATTAATATCGAAACTAATATCAATTATGCGACTTAAATTGAAATTCAAATTAAACGTTTCCGTAATATAACTGAAATTATAGTGACCTGCTCAACAAAGTGCCCCTGACCATACGACTCAGGAATGGGGCGAAAAGGAAAGCGTCCCTTGACCTTGAACACCTGTCCCCCCATCCTTGACCATGAAATGTCAGACATAATTGGTCAAAGCACGCCTCCCAAACACCCTCCAAAGTTGATCAAAGCCGCCATTCATCAACCGGAAATAGTTTTTTGTTCCACGTGCTCGGCTGAAATAGATTTGAAACCACAGGTCATACATTCGGCCGATAATGCACAACCACTTGATCCACTCCCACCGACAACAGCAACAGGTCAAATTAGTCTCGGTACACTTTGTGCACAATTTGGACTTGGCCAAGATTTCATAATGGGGTCTAGGAAGGATTACGTAGATATGAAAACTTCTTGCCACTTTTGCTGGGATTGTTTCACAATTGTTGAAGAAGTTCAAGAACTAAAACATCACATTGAACTCTTACGGGTTGATATGACCTCGAGGATGGTCACACTGAAATCTCGGCTTCACGAAAGTCGAAGTCTACGGTTATCTGAGCATAAAAGGGGCAGACCGCGACATAATGTTGCAACGCTCAACAAAATTCAGAAAGTTCTAAGTAAGGCGTTTGGTCCAGGTATTTAATTTTTTATTTATTTTACTTTTACCATACACCATTACTAATAAAATAGCTTAAACTAAATACACTGTATATTTACTCATGTTTTTTAGAGTTATTACCAAACCCGATAGCATCATCATATTCGAATATTCCATGTTACAAAAATATTGACGAGGAGGAGGATGGGAATGAAATCCCCAATCGAAAGAGGATAAAGACAGAACCTAGACAGACGTTACCTGCCAGTTTTAATTTTAATGGACGCCAAATATTAACCATCCCAGTTATTAAATCTGAATTTAGGACCAATGATTATGGCAGTACAATCCAAATGAATGCATTGTAAGTACATGTATACTCATACGAGCATATGTATTCATAAATATAATCTCTGTTTGCAAGCTACATGTACTCTGAAGATTTTAATGCAAATGTTTTTTTTGTATACACAGCAATAATAAAAAACCAATCCGTCAACTGCGCCAGAAACGAAAGTACATAAAAAAAGAAGCAAATATTAAGAAGAATGAAAGCAAATTCGCATTTAAAGCAGAAGAAAAAATTGGATTTGAGAGCGACGACGAGTGGAACCCTGTTCCGGAACGCCAAAAAAGAAAATACAGGAAGAGGAAGCAAGTAAAACAAGAAGATCCTGAAAAAAATCTAAACCTAATAATTGATTACCACAATGAGATTGATGAGAACAATGATTACGGAGATGACTTTTTAATGCCGATAATTAAATGTGCGAAAACAGAGAATATATCGTTCATGCAAGGATATTCAACGCCTGCTTTGCTTAGTTATGGCGATGGAAAGGTAACACATCGGTTTACCAAGTAATTTTTAATTTTCGCATTGATAACATTTTAATTGTTTGTGCATTATTATAGTGGTTGACGGACAATATTGAGTTGGCAGAAAAAGGAATTATTGTGAGGCCCACACTCTATCACCATTATTCTGAATATTGCTTAAAGAACAATCGAGAAACCCCAAACCAAGCTACATTTGGGAAGCTTGTGAGAAGCGTTTTCAACGGGAAGGTGACGGCCAGACGGTTAGGGCCTCGTGGATGTTCCACATATTGTCATTCTGGAATACGCATAAAGGCAGACTCTCCTCTGAATGATGTAATTGAAGAATACGACATCGAAGAGCCTTCGAGATATAAACGCAAACGCGAAACCGGAAAACCAGAAATCTTTCAAGAATTGGGGATTCCAGGGTCCTCAAAAAATAGCCAGCAAACTTATTTGGGGCTGCGGAAATTATCAGTACTAGCTCGTTTATTTTAAAAATCAATTTTTGTTAATCCTTTATTCAAATGTGAACCGAGATCAATTCATTACAAATTGTTATTGATAGCCACTCACTAGCGCGCTCAATTCTGTTTGTGATTTTCGAACATAAAAAATATCCGAAAACTGTTATTAAATTTGTGTGTCGTGTCGTTTTAAGCCTTTTTAATTAAAAAAATATGTGCAGAAATATATTTTATTATAATTAACATTTAGTTAACATACTTGGTCACCAATAAAAATATTCATTAAAAAACCTCATCATAGTCATTCTACTTCAGTCAATAGTTTGATCACAGAATTAACAATATTACATTTTGATGTGATAACGATTAAGGCACCAGTCAATTTTTCCATTTTATTGCCTGAAATTAAAAAAAAAATCAAACTTAAAGTCTTAAACTAATTAATTGATTAATAAATGTTATCCTTACATTATGTTTTAATATGGTTTCAGCATACACAAATTCTTTAGAATTGTCTTCCAAATTAGATTTGTAAGTTAAAATTGCGGCTCTGTCTTTTTGGGCAGCGTAAACCTACAAGAAAAGTTTAAGTTTTCCAGAACTCACCTCCTCAAAAATACAATTCCGCTTGATTCGTAAATGACTTACATCAATAACAACACTATGACAATTTAGTTTACGGGCAATGACCAACTTCTTTTCAGTGTCGTCAATTAGTCTTACAAATCTGGCAACCAAGTCTATGGGAGCGTCCCCGTCCTTCAATGTATTGCAAACTTCTTCGAGGGGCAACAAGCATCTGTCCTTTGAACTGCCTAACCAAGTCTATTGAAATACAAAGAGCCAAATCAATTAAAATCTTAACCTAGCTAAAATTTTTCACATTGTAGAAACATAAATAATTCACCGACTTTTGTCAGTAAAAGTGCTTCGATTTGTGGCCACTTTTGTTGTACAACTAAAGCTTTGAGAACAACCCAATTGTATTGCTTGACATTTAGATTGAATTTTTGTTTGATATTGTCAGCGGTTAACGGAGGGTTTGTATTTTCATAAAAATTTTCTGCTACAAAGTTGAGCGTTTTCAGTACTGATGAATTATCCGTGTGAATAAATGAAGTTTTCTCCTTGATCTCCTTATATATATCTAAAGAATTACAAATCTTGAAATTGCAATCGTAGGTTCCTTCCTTCAACTTCCTTGGAAAGTAGGAATAATTTATAATTATATAAATAAATTACTTACAAAGCAGTTGTAGATGTTGATTAAATAGTAACGCCACTTCTTCATTGCTCAGTTGACACTCTGAATGATAAAAATGTTCCATTTCCTTCAAAAAGTTTTGCAAATTGTTTTCCCGTCTTAAAATGTGCTTATATCGAATCAACATGGCTTCCTTTGTCCTGCCCAGCATGCTACGAATAAAAGTTATCTTATAAATGGTTCACAATGAAAAATATTTACTCAAACTATTATATAATAAAACCCTGACAAAGGGGTAGATATGTATACTTACTTGAGAAGATCGACGAGATGATTAACTTCATTTTTTGTTTCCAAATATCTTACATAATGATTCGCAGCTGCTTTGTGTTCAATAAGCATTTGTCTAAAAATACTGTGCTTTAAGGTTTTGTATAAGAACAATGTCACCTATAAACACAATCAAGGAACAAATTAGAACGGATGAATTAGAGAACAAATTTACTCATATTGTGTGACATGTTTAAACCTCACAGCCAAAATGGCATTCCCATCATGAATTTCAATAGCCCTGGTTAATAATTGTTTCTTCTGGCTGAGACTTTGATAATGTTCCAACAATACATGTTCGTTACTATTTAGTAATTGGTGAATGGTCTCGTCCATACTAGGGAGGTGAAGAGGCCTCGTGTCACCTTGCTAAATGCAAAACATCAATTCAAAGCTGGCCTTCTTGAAATACAAGAGTTTACTCAATTATTTTTGCATTTACTTCACGGTGCATATATGCCTCAGGATTTAAAGCACCAGAAACAGGTCGATCCAGTTCTGTGAATAAATTCATATATAGATGTGTAATGTGTATACAGTTTGCATGTTTGTAATAAGGTGGGAAATATTTCAGATATATATAAAAAATAAATACCTAGTTCCAAGGGGCCAGAATTCCACAGGAATGGTGGGAGGTCTCGGAGCCGTTGGAAACTTTCGTGAATTTCTTCCGAGGATTCATCCGAGACAAAGGAACTCAAAGAACTCACTTCTGCCCTGAGATCCTGACCCACCTTCGTCGCTGCGTCGCGTTCTTGACTAACACCGTAAAATATGTTGTCCTGTTATTGTACAGCGATAATAAACAAATACATATTAATTCAATTGGCAAGGTCATCATCTTTAAAAATGCAATCTTCTACCTCTTCGATGGACTCTGTATCTTCGCCAAAACCAAAGCCTTTGATTTTAGAGTCGTTCCAGTATTTCTCGTCGTCTATTCCAAGTCGATTCGACATTTCGAAAATGTAAGTAGAAATTTGGTTTTCAGTTGACTCAACTTTTGCCAATTTTGTGTAGTTAAGACTTTGAAAGATTAATAAATCACAGCACTGATCACATAGACTAACGACCAAAAAATTTCGAAAAGTTGTAACAAAAATTTCTCTATTTAGAGAAATTTTTGTTACAACTTTAAATAAATATTAAATATTTAATTTAGTACATTTGTTTATTCGAAGTCGTAAATGTAAATATTTTTGAAATCTGAGTGTCTGATCCTGAGACAACCAGAGAAATTGTGTGATGGGCAATACGAGACCTGTTGAGAAAATAGTATTCAGCAGATTCCAGTCTGAAATTTTCAGATGTTTATTGGTTAGTATTTGAATTGAATGCATTAATGCAGATTTTATATACATACGTATTAGTTTTATAATTTTGTGTTTATTTTTTTACTTGTGCCTACTGCTGCGTTTGCATTCGAAATGAAAGAATATAATTTTTGGACTGTCCTCTAAAGATAAACCTGCACCAATGACACTCGTAACGACATAATGACATTTTTAAGATAAATTCATACAATTGAGACTCAATTATTGAGTGTTGTTTGACAGTTTGACATGATTAATGATTACTCAAAAGTAAACATCTTGTTTTTATTTTTTAATTAGAAAATGGCAAATAATTACCTTCTTAATCGGGATGGATTGTGTGTTCTTTGTTTGAGAGAAGTACAACAGATTCCTAATACCCAAATGCAAAAAATTACAACATTATGTGAATTTGTGCAACACCAAAAGTTCAAAACTTCCACAGCATACCAGAAGATAATCGAGCAACATGACGTTGATCAGGGGCTGACGTGTCAAGAATGCTTAGTCTTGATAAATGAAACTGAAGATATTTACCACAAAATTTTGCAACTGCAGGAACTACTTAGATCAAAAGTTGTCCTTATTCGAATAAGAATTTTGGATTCGGACGAACAAAAATTGAAGCTACAAAACAAGAATGATAGTACAGATGAGTTGGAAAAGGTGCTGAGAATACAAAAATCTCTACTGCGTTTGTCAGGTTGTTTAACTTTTTATGAACTAGAGTCATGTTATTGTATGCAATTAGTAATTGCCACTTACATTATTGCTTTTAATTAGATGAAGATGACGGCTTCAGCAATGTTCAAATTAAAGTCAAAGCGGAGACGACGGAAGAAGACCAATTTATAATGAATGGTTCTTGTTCTCCTTCTGCATTCCTTTTACATCCAGACAAGGTTAATAATAAGGAAGATGTCGAAGATGATAGAGATTCCGAATATTATTATGAGTTTGTCACTCCTCAAGAAAAACGTGAGAGTGCAAGATTAGCAACAAGGTACATAAATAATATTCATATTTATGTGCATTCATAAAATCACCCATCCTCTAATTTATGTGGGTATGATATTTATATAGAAGACGACAAAGAAGACTTAACGAGAGTGACAATCAAGGAACAACCCCCAAGAAACGAGGTCGAAGAAAGCTTAATAATCTCTCATCTATCACGAAACATAGCTCCCGTAAGAAACAAGTTACTAAAAAATATCCCATCAAACTGGCATCAGAACAAGCAGAAGCAAGCATTTCTACATCTGAAGAAATTGACACAGAACCTAAAAATGAGGAATCGAAAGAAATGAGACTAGTAGATGCAGATTTGGAATATAACAATGACCTAAAATTGAATGAAACAAAGAGCGCTCGGCGTCGTCGTCATCTTTCAAAAAACTTATTAAACAGTCACGTTAACAAATTTCACAAGTTTGATTGTAAAATATGTGACATGAGGTTTGCAACTAAGAGTGCCAAGAGTACCCACGACAAAGATGAGCACAAAATTGTTGCTTCATTTCAGTGTACCATGTGCAAAAGAAAGTTCTTTCGAATTGGGTCCCTACAGTCCCATATGGTTGTTAAGCATGAAACTGATGAGAAAAACCACGTGTGTGATAAATGTGATAAGCGATTCACACTTGAAGTAAACCTAGAACGTCATTTGAAACTTCATAAGTTTGAAACAGAGAAAACACTGGTTTGTGAGGTATGTGACTCAAGATTTGCTGATCATTCTCGTCTAGAACGCCATATGGCGACCCATAATAAGGCATTTTTGTGCACTTACTGCAACCAAAGTTATTCTTCAAACAGTGTTCTTTCAAGGTAGTACATATATAAATAAAAGTTTGCCAAACATGAACCAATGCCAATTTATGACATATATATGTATTTCATTATTATTACAGACATCAGAGAAGGCATACTGGGGAGAAGCCATATCAGTGTGACCACTGTGAGGAAAAATTCATCGATAAGGCAGCTCAACAATGGCACACAGCCAAGATACATTCAACACAAGATCAACATCATTTATGCCCAGTTTGTGGAAAAAGTTTTTTCTCCGCCTACATTCTTAAAGCACATTTGGATAGACATGCAGGGAAACAAAACATATCGTGTAAAAAATGTGGAGAAAAGTTTTATGATTCCAGTTCCCTAAAAACGCACTGTATTCAGAAGCACGACGATGAGCCCCTGATTTGTGATGAGTGGTAAGTAGTAAGTACAACTAATTAATAATGGTTTGAGAATACAAACATGATACTAAAATCTGAATTATTATAAAAAATTAACTACATGATAAAAGTTATGTATGTATGTAATACCGCTCTATTGTAATTATTATTATTTTTTATTTCATTCAGCGGAGCAAAATTCATGACAGGGAAAGGCCTTAAGCAGCATAAAATGTCTCACGCCGGCCTGAAACCATATCAATGCGATGTATAAGTTTTAACTATTTCTAATTATTCAAGTAAAGATAAAAATTTAACAACATCGAATACTGACAGGTTTGTGATGCTCGATTTCTTTCAAAGTGGGTCTTAACAAATCATATGAGAAGCCACACTGGAGAAAGACCGTACTTTAACTACATATTTTTTTAAGTTCAGGTTGCTATTTGCAGATTATGATTGACTTTAATATTTTTAGGTACCAGTGCCCACACTGTGACAAGGCTTTCAAGGCAAAGAAGCATGTAGATACCCATGTGAAAAGGATACACTCTGAGGATTATGTTATCAAAACCCCTTTCCGGTGCCTATATTGTCATAAAGCGTATCCCCGGAAAGGGATCTTAGATGGCCACATTCGTCAAGTGCACACAGGGGAAAGGTAATAGTAAATTGGATTGTATATATTATATAAACTCTATCATGTGGATATAATAAGTACTATTAAATGGTTAATTATTGATAGACCATTCCAATGCGAACACTGCAACAAGGGATTCGCCCTTAACACCACTTTAAGACTTCATTTAAAATCTCATGGAATTAACGTATCGGTCAGAACTCCAAGGCTCCCAAGGTCCAAAAGAGAACAATTTTCATCATCCGTCACACAAAATGAAAGACATTCGTCTTGAAAATTACAAAAACTTTATCCTCGAGTAGGCCATGCGGCTAACACAAAATTCAACAGCAGTTTTTTTTCCAATATCAAACTTTGATGGAACGGCTCACGTTACGTTATCATAATTATAGGTCCAAAATGTCAACATTCCAAAATCCAAATCTTGTCCTTCGTACTAGTTCATACTTTTATCAATTCTGAGTAATGAGGTTTGTTATAAATTAAAGTAGTTTTTGGCATTGACATTGTATTATTAATGATTTACTGATTTAATAATACTGAAGCAATTTCAATAAAAGTCTATTATCAAGGCGATAATTGTGATTTATGTATTTAAAATAGTTACCTATGATATTTTTATATGAGAATGATAATTGTCTTCGGGCATGATTATTTTTTCTACCATGTGGCTTTGTGGTTCTTTGAAACTTTTAATTCCTAGAAAGGGTGCAGATTTAGTTGATTTCAAATGACGATTCTCAAAGATTTAAAAATATGTTTGTTTAAATACCAATCCACAAGCTGGACAATCCACACAAAACCTTTTGGCTTTTACGGAACAATCATTCACAAGTAGATCACCGAGACATTTGTCGTGATACATGGAACCACAATCACAAGCAACTTCTGGAATGTTGCCTTCAAATTCAAAAGAGTAGCATATCACACAAAGTGATTCGATATCATCACTGCCATTTTCATTTCCTTCTTCATCAGCTATTGCAAGGAATTCAGACTGTGTAATGTCTTTGAGGTTTTCCAAAATTGATTTGTCTTCTGACCATTCCTTTATGTGCAAATATATTAAAATTAATAATATTACTTTGCTTACTAATGGAACTACCGGAATCAAACTTTTGGATATTTTACACTGTATGTATACCTTGCAATGTTCATCGACCAATGTTTCTAATCCAAGGATATTTTTTTCTGGTCCAGAAAACTTTATTTCAGGCAAAGCCATTGGGGACAAGGGATTGAATATAAGATTGATAACAATGTTTTGAGCCATTAATATTCGTCGATGAATATCGCCGCGCTTTGGTTGTATGGGATCAATTAATTGACATTTACTGTCTAATTCGTCCATTGCACTCCAAAATGTCGCATATTTATCAACTTCAAATTTGAATTGTTCCAAAATATCTGACAACGACTGAAAATTTGAAACAGACAAAAATAAATATACTTACATCAGTTAACTGAAAATGATTATATACGTACGTACATGCGGCCAGTGAACGGCGATCGACGGTGGGGGCAAATCAACAGTAACTTTAACTGTTGCATGTGGATATTTGGGTGGAATAGTGCACTTCACAACATGCTTCCGTCCGAGGTGATCAACATATTTCATTGATATCTCACGAAAATTATTAGACACGAATTCCACCTAATAAGTCAATCAAGTCCAATATGCTAAGATTGAATTGAAACCAATGCTTTTCGAAATGAACTTACATTTTGTACTCCTATAGAATCCAATTCATTGAAAATGGTCATTAAAAAATCTGAATTACTTGATCCTATTAGTAAATCACTACCATTACTGTTACTCTCAGTATTTTTATCCCCTGGATCGTGCTGATTAATCTAAGATAGTTGAATCAAAAATACAAATTTCGGCTGATAAGCTGGCTCGCACGGTAGAACAATAAATCCTAAGCTATTGGCTCACATATATTTCAATTTCTCTCAATAGATCAACCAATAATCCGTCTTTCGATGTCAACATCTAAATGGCGAGAAAAATCGTGAAGAAATGACAAAACAAAGACATAGAATTAGATTAAGAACAGCTTATTAATTACAAACCCCTTGAAAATTGGCGATAATTGTCATACTGTCATTGTCACCTTGGAATGACGCATCGTCACATCTTGGAAAATTGGGCGCAGAAACTGCCAATCTGACCAGTCGCCTCTGAAGACAATTGATCGTTTTAGGAAACCCTTTAATACAGTGTATAATTATAAGTTGATCTCACCTGCCCTTGAATGAAACCGGTCCAATAAGTATGATCCTTCCAGTAAGTCAGCAAAGGAAATTCTTCCATAATTTGTAATATCTGATGGTCACGAATTGATTTGTTATCCACTTTCTTTATCCGAGCAGCAGGAACACGATGGGCAACATCTTCTTGGAAATCAATTTCCATTTCAGTCTCAATTTCACCTTCCATTTTCCAAACGTAAATAAATTGATGATCACAGATGACAAACTGGAATTGTTTACACTCGCTCTCACTTGAGAACTCCATGAAAAAATGAGAATCAGGAAAAATGTCTTTGTCTACTAAAGAGTAAATGTGCCATGCTTATATAGGATCAGATATGAAAACAGAAAGATCGTGTGGAGATAATATCAACTCAGTTTTTCTTTTCCATCCCGCGCTGGTATCCTTCCCATGCTATTAGTATGGTAGGGATACGAAGCGGGAATCAAATTTTTGGTGAAGTAATTCTGAGTCAGTAGTATTTTAGGGAATGGACGTGAGTATTTTATTACGCAATCAAATTATTCATGATTGATTACAACAGTCCTTATTGTATCCCTATTATAAATAAATCACGGCAAATTCAAGAAACAATAAATATAGCTTTAGTTTACAGATAATCCACTAAGCTTGATTTTCATTCTAAACATTTTCTAAGTTTTCGTACTTGTTTATTACTACAACATTTATAGCAGCAAAGCATATAGGGTTTTGCTAAAATAACTCGCCCTATATCTGTGCTTGGTTTTTGGTAAAAGATGCTATTTTATTATGGACGTTTCTGCAGCTATCACACAATTTGATTGATTGATGACCACGACGACGACGACGACGACGATGGAAAGAGAAAGGAAGGAGGACGAGGATTGCGGCGGATGGCTGACTAAATTCATAAAATCATAAAATTGTTGACACGCTATTTATTTAGTAAATCTACATGACCCTGTGACGTCAAGTGTTTTCATTTATGCATGTAGGTTACGGGATATAGCATTAAAGTGACTGATTGTCTAAATCTCTAAAATCCTTGATTCTTATTAAACAGCAACTATCATTTTTCCAACATTTTTTCCTTCAAAAATGTCAATGAATGCTTGTGGCAAGCTTTCAAACCCTTCAACCACCGTTTCCCTGCTTTTCACTCGACCCTGTAGAATACAAACAAATTATCGTGAATCAAACACAATCAAGCAATTAATCTTGATCAAGTTTTAATTACATCTTTAACCCAGCCGATGAGTTCTCCTATTGCGGGTCCCCACTCTGGAAACCAACGGTTGACGAGGAACCCTTCCATCTTTATTTGCTTGTAGATCATTGAAGTGTAGTCGAATTGTACTAGTAAAGCAAGACCATCGACGAGAAAATTAGAGAGTATGTACATACATGTTGTATTATATAATAGTATTTATTGTAAGTACACATGTGTAAAGAATTGATCCTCAAATTCAAATTGACAACAATTATTGTACATTATGTACCTTTTGCAGTTTTTGGATCATCGTTGTAAGACGAAATTGCACCACAGAGAGCTATGTATTTGTTGATTATCAAATTATATTACAAATACTTATAAAAACGTCGAAAAATAAACTTTACTAAGCATTGTTGGTTACGTTACCTACTCTTCCACTTTCGTTGGTATTTTGAAGAACCCAAAACGTTAGGTCTCCACCAACCTATGCATGCATAAAAAATCATAAAATAGATGTGAGACCTATGCATTATAAAAGAAGGTACAAATAAAAACGCATAAAAAATAATACATGTATAAAATTATTTTGATTACGTTGTCAAAATAGCAATTTACACCCTCCACTGCCCATTTCTTTAGGGTGTGATCAACATTGATTTCTTTGTAATTGAAACTTTGATCGAATCCTACGTCAAATGTAATGACATATTATGTAGATTGGTTTTTGATTATATTGTTATCATGATTACCTAAGTCAAGAAGCCATCGTACTTTCTCTTCTGATCCAGCAAAGCCTATTACTTTGCATCCTACAGACCAACAATAATTGGCTAAGTAATTGCGTTTAATATGTATTAATACATATGCATACTCAATCTATGATAAATATATACCAAATAATATACCTTTTATTTTTGCAATTTGGCCTGCAACACTTCCCGTCCCACCTGCGGCTGAGCTGATTACAACCGTTTCACCAGATTTTGGCTGACAAATCTTTAACAGCCCAAAATAAGCTGCCAACCTAATACACGTGAACGTAATTATATTTTTATGTTACATATTCATTTAATTAATCTTTAATATTAGGACTTGGTGTATGAATTCTAAACACGTAAAATGCAATAAATATTATAAATAAATGTATACCCTGTGAGTCCACAAACTCCTAAAGCATAAGAATCTGGCAGTCCTTGCAAGTCGGGCATTGGGAACACGCCTCGAAATAATCCCTTCAGTTTGTCAGGATTGCATATAGTCATGTCTAAAACGATGATCAAATAATAGACATTAGTGCGTCATAATATCCATGATTTCTCTTTGTACTTTGATCAATGTGCTTTTTACGAATATAAATTCAATTTGATTTGCCGATCAGTTTTAAAATCCTTGTCATGTAAATGTCTATATATATACATACCATCATGTATGTATGCAAACATAGAAATTATTTTCACCAACCTCGCCAACCCACAAAGGCAATAACTTTATTTCCTTCAGGGAATCCGGGATGTCGAGACTTCACCACTCTGCAATGACAAGAAGAAGTTCCATTTGACGCAACGAAAATTATTTCATCCGACAAGTTTTCTCAAATCAAAAGTCAATATGAGATTTTTATACTGCGAAAGTATACTCTTTACTTGGAGTGCCTCGACATAAATATTCGTTATGCATAAAAATCTCGTAAAATCATATAAAAAACAGAATTTTATGTAGTCGATCAGTTAGTCGATGATTTGTTAACAGTAGTTTTTGTATGCATATGTAAATCGTCTGAAACTTTGGCGCAAATAACATTATCCGCTTTAAATCACAATGAAGCTGAAATGCAGCAATACTTTAACAAATGCCAAATAAGTTATTATTTAATCCTTGTCAGAACACGCGAAAGATTGGATCTATAAAGGGAATAAGGCCAGGCAATCTCTTAAATGTCAGAGATTGAATCTCATTCCATGCACGACTGAGATGAATCAATATGCAAATTTAGAATGAAAAGCAAGGGGAGGAGAAAGGTTCCCAAATTCCGTTGTTCTGCGATCATGATGACAATATATATGTAAACCATCATCATCATCGAAAGGATGGCAGCTCACAAAGAAAAGCAGAGCAAAATGTGACTCGCAGGGAATATGAAGGCAGGAAATTGTATTTACAAATTTGTTATTGTGTCTTCCATCTCATCTCGTCCCTCCGACGTTCAAGGACGCTGGGTGATTTGCAAGAGTGAAAGTGAGTGGGCAAAAATGTGCAGAAGCATGAACAGTAGAGAACTCTGGACGCGTCTCCTTTTACAGTTTTGGTTTAGTTTCACGTCGTATAATAGAATTACGAAACTCTCACCGCCACACTTTCTCTAAAGCATAGTTTTAGATACATGTATCTATCTACTGGCTGGCAGGACTGAATAATAAGACGAGAGAAACTTAAGGCCTGCTGGAAGTGCTGGAGGTAAAACTGGAGAAAGTTTATGCGATAGAAAATTCCTGAGCTAAATGACAATTTTCTGACATGATCGCACAAATTTTAATCAAATTTGCATCATAATGATGTGTCGTCGCGTGTAATGATAGGGGTCCAAAAGTTGGCAAGTGGCGTATATGTAGGGGCGACTCGCTATTAATGCCAAATTCATATATTTATTAGCTAAATCACATCCGTTGTCGTATCTCCGGGGATGCTACCGCTTCAAGTCTTACTTTTCAGAGAGTATATTAGTAAGTACAAATTTTGCACAGACTGCCCAAGGCCAAAGAAGAGGACGAAATGCTGCTAAAAGTTTTCACTAACCGACAATACTAACAAAAGATCAACAAGACCTTAATCAACAAATCAGTACAATTCCAATCGATATTATGAATATATGCATAGTAATCGAGAGGAAAGCTGGCTACAGGCATACACCAAATACGCTATTCCATCAACTGGCTGAAAGTGAAAATGGTGGCTGAAAAGACGAGATGGAGATCCAAGCGAACGAGAAAGGTCTCGAAGAAAATAACGCTGACTATGTTCACGCTGACGCAGCAGATTTCCCTCAAGTGCGTTAGGTAACTTCTTTGTTTGGCGAAAACGCGATAACGAAGATTTACCGTTTCAGACTTTAATTGTGGCTTGTATTCATAATTTGCCTATTCTCAGAATCCTATTTTAATAGTTAAACCCATCATTCAATAATCTATTATAAACAATTTTTGTAGTTCTTTTTGCAAGAAATGAATTTTACTAAAGTTTTCTCAAATGCAAGGCAAAAACGATCATCGTGTAACAGACGTAATTCTGGAAAATAACGAACCTTTCCTTTGATCGCTGAAGCAGGAAGCAAACAATTCTTTCCTCTCATGTGCGTCTACAAAATTTGGTCGAGTACTTACCATTATCATCATTGTGATTATTACTCTACATGTATGAAGAAGGGGTCGAAATGAAATTCTTTCGTACACGAATAGGAAAAATATTCAGCCCACCTTGCACATCCAATCATGTGCAAGTAGTGAATGGACAAAATTCGAAAAACAAACAGTAAAAGCAAACTCTCGAGTCTCTAATCTGCAATTTATGCAGGCAGGCATTGCTCCAAACCTGCTCTGAAGACCAAGACTTTCTCCATTTTATTTGAGAAGAGTCAAGCAAAAAGACGTTATAGAATTGTAAATTTTAAGCTGATCATGAATTCAATGTTTCATTGGAGGAGAGTATTAAAGAATCAGGTATACAGTGAATAGGTACGACTATCCTGTCTAACTTATGTATTCAAAGTTTCCCTATAGCAGAGTTTTTTTATTGATCGACTGGAAAATTGTGTATGTAGATATATGTTTTTGTAGAACTGTCCCATTGGGGGAAATGAAAAGAAAGAAGATCGGTTGCGGTTAATTAGTGGAATATATTATGTGGGATCGACACGACTTATCTAATTCTATTGGGAAAACCCACAACCACACCAGCCATACTTTTTAGCATCGCCGAGTAAGTATATACATATTATTCTTTCCAAAAATATGTACGTATAATGGGAAAACTAAGGTGGCAGTCGTAGTATTACTGGTCCTTGTGACACTGGGAATTAAATCCTTAGGAATAAATCCCTCCTCCCTGGGGAAGAGGAGCAACAACGGGAGACTGCTTTCTCTTCCAGGACGGCGGATCAGGAGAAGAAATCGTAGCCAGCTCTTCCCAAGGCCCTTATTTGGTTTAGCCAGCCACAAGTCTTGTCGAATACAAGGCTTGTTCACAAAGGTACAACTTTAGGAGGTGAACAATATTTCTAATTATGTATTGCCCAGCCAGTAATAACCTTTGTTCAAGCTCCAATTTATTAAGTAGCTTCAGCTACTTTATGCGAAGACTTTGTCTGTCTGTCTGTCTGTCCGTCTGTCAGCAGGATAACGGAAGAACGGATTGAGATAATCGAAATCGGTTTTCGCCATTATACATATGACCCTAGGGGGAGGATCCTATCAACTTTTGGGGGCAACCGGACCACCCCCCTTGGCGCCAGGGGGTGTGGTCGGGGCAAAATGAGATTTATAGTGCAATTTGATCTATGGATGAAATAGAGTGAAATGAAGTGATCCCGAGTTGTGCCACACCCCCTCGGCGCCAGGGGGTGTGGTCGGGGCAAAATGAGATTTATAGTGCAATTTGATCTATGGATGAAATAGAGTGAAATGAAGTGATCCCGAGTTGTGCCACACCCCCTCCGCGCCAGGGGGTGTGGTCGGGGCAAAATGAGATTTAAAAAAATTGAATCTATAGGTGAAATGGAGTGAAATTGAGTGTTTTCGCGATGTCATGGGAGTGGTTGGGGTGAAGTAGTCTGAAGCTACTTCCGTATGCGCGTTTGCGACGGTTTATTTGGTTTCACTTTAGTGAGCATCGTACAGGGGTACAAATCCCGATTTAGATAGAACGAACTTGTACACTTTGGACATGGAAGGCATAAATTTGGCTCTCCTGTTTTTACCTCATGCTGCACTAATCGGTCCAGCAGAATAACAGAATAGATGTGATGCATGCATGTATGTGCGCTTTACCAACGGAGAGTCTCATGTTACTATATTCTCTCCTCCATGCCTGTCGCTGGGGAAAGTAGTGGTGAGGAAGTCGTAGTGGGTGAGTGAGGTTTGGTCCTGGGATGGAAATCTCTCAATTTTCATGAACACGAATGACAGAGGCAGCAGGCAGTGAGGTGCCTTGTTGATGTCATATGCACAAAGGTATTATGTTCTCATTTCCCCTTATTCTCCAACTTCCCATTGTTACCTCACCACGATGTGTCAGAGACTAGAATACAAGGCGACCTATTGCTTCTGACTCAGGCTGGCGGTGGGTGGATTCGTTCGTGGTGGAAGATGAATATTATTTCGTTCTATTCCCTTTTCAACGTGGTACACATATTTATTTATGTGTGTATGAGGTTGGTCAAAGTCATCCCATTTTACTGTCTTGTACATAGAATCTTTACATATACACGTATAGCCTAACAAACTATGTATGCAGCTTAATCTCCTTGTACATATATGTATGGATGTTTGAATTCAATTAAATAAATGGCTGGCTCATAACCTGTAGTTAACATTACAAAAGAGTTTATACCCCAAAATTTCTTCTAGAAGAGGGTATTTGTTTTCAAATCTCATTACAAAAAGTTTTGGGTTTAAAGTAGAAGAAAACAAAAGCATAAGCATATTTCATATATTTGTAACTTGATCATGTCTCCAATATTTTCAATTTCAAGAAAATGTTACACGCAGCAACCACACGTACACATATTATGTACAAATACATACATGGGAAATAGCATGCTTCTGGCTGGCTTTGCTTTGTGGACGCGATTCACATCTGTACGTGCTTACGTACGTCCATACACCGCATCATCAACAAAGAAAGTGAAAGAGGGAGTTCAATTTGCTCAAAGAGAGAGAGAATTCAATTCACATTGCGTATTTTCTTTAAGTCTGCTCCTGACTTGTTGAGGAGGTGAAGTGTTATGAAGGGCTGAGGTGCCTTGTTGAAAGTAGGACCGACCGAACGTGAGATGAGATAAAATACTTGTTGAAACTTCCAGACATTGGTGAAAGCATAGCAGCAAAGCAACCTCACCGTCTCACAACCAACCGACGCTATGTATTTACTGCTGCCATGCTCACAAACCCATTTATTTGCTTAACGGTTCTACCAGTTTAGTGAACTGGCAGAACCGACGTGCGAATAATGCAAAATGTTCCATACCAAAGTTTTCTGAACCATTACCGCTGGTAATAAACATATTGGAGTCAATTTGTATAATCTCAACTAAAGAATCCAGTACTAAAATGTTATGAACTACATACGTTGGAGTTTCGCCTCATTACGCCTTATACGGTGTAATAGTTTTAATCAGTTGGAATCAAGTTATTTCATAGGAAACAAGATAAAAAGTTAGAGGGCTGTCAGTGCATTCATTTTAGCCACATAAAAATACAGTCTCAAGGTGAAATTAGAGAAAGTTTCGCATTTCTTCTAAAAGTTTCTTTGATGGATCACCAGTCTCTGTTCGCATAAGTAATATTTTGTACACAGTTCAAAGTAAATGTCAATTTCGCGTTGGGACACAACTTTTTTAAAGATCATGTAAGACTTACTGTGCTATTTGAGATCCCAAGATTGTATCTCCTACGTTCATTCGATTACCAAATGCCCTCATGTACGGATCCACAGATAACCAGACCGCTTTCAATAGGATTTCTGAAAACGTCGTATACATTATTCACACTTGCTAGTCTTATTTGCAGCAAGTTAGCAGATAAAGAAAAATACTAAACTTTACAACAACAAGTACACATATACAATTTTGCAAACACGAAAACAAGAATACAGTATAGGCTGAAGAGTTTACAATTACTGCACAGGTCAAATAAAACTATTTATCTAGCAAGTTTCCCTACAGTATAGGAATCCTTATGGGTAAAAGTGGAAAAGGCGGACCAAATTGATCCTGATCAATTGAAAACTAATGTTATTAAACGTTATCTAAAACACATAGGACGTGGCCTAATGATATGAATGGTCTCAGCCTCCAAAGCGCTATAAGCAGTTTACTCTCAATCTTTGTGCAATTTCCTTTCATACAGTTTTCTTACCTCGATCCTCCAAAGTCTCAAGAATGCTTTCTTCCACCAACTCAAAGTTGTTCAGGTTGGGCTTCCCGTCGAAATAGTTCTTTAAGATTATTTTCCTTGCCCGCATTTTATCGGTTTTTCTTCGCTCGCTGCTCTCTCTCTCTTTCTCTCAAACTTGCTTATTTCCTCAACTTGTTTCCGTTTTCTTAGAGAAATACTTTTTTCCCAGCTCAAGACGAAATCCTTTGAAGATCAGAGCAAGAGTGGTCACCTTGTTGTGTTAATCAATTAAGTGGTTCCAAGTCGTATGCAAGAGCTCTTCTCAGTTTGTATACGCAGCGCCCACGTCGAAAGTAATTGAAATTTTACTTGCCGTTAGTTATCGTTTGTTTCAGCTTTAATCAATCAGCCAGTCCGCTTAAATGATGGTTGTGATAGATATTTGCGATATTTCAATAATATGTAGTTACACCACTAAGTAGTTTGTTATTGCATGTCAGTATTGGTACAGATTAGCAGCAGCAACGGAGGATAATCTGCGACAAAAACACAAGAGAATGATGGTATTATTTTACAGCTAATAACATGTTTGTATTCGCAATTCGCATGCTCTTCTTATAGCAAGTGTGTGGATACGACCGTGGTTTGTTGGTTGGTTGATTGGTTGGGAGAAAGTTAATTACTGATCATAACTGGATGAGTGAATGGCTGGGTGGTTCAATTAATGTGATTAGCAGTGCTCTGCAGTCAATAAAGACCTCAACACAAGGGAATAGTGGGCCCAATGCTGGTCTGGGAGCTGTATCAGTTGTGACAGCAGCAGAGAAAGTGAGACTGCACGTTCGCTCAAAACTAGTCTCACACACAAAATCCACTTCAGCCTGCTCAGAATAGATCTGAATACGACGGAAAATTGGTGGAGCCGTTTAGTTGGGTAAATCTGGATACACAGGAGAAGAATAGTGAAAGTGTTCTCGTGTATTTCACCTTCTTCGCTTGCTGTACTGCTCCTCCATACACGTATGCATGATTTAATGAATACGTTTCCCTGCGTGATAGCGATAGTGGCATTTGTGGTATTTATATGCAGAGACCCGTACTATAAGCATTTCCACCTAAGCACTTACATGTCTTAATGTGTAACCCACCCAAATGCATAAACATGTCAGTAAAGTACAAAAATGAGTGCTTAAATTGTATGCTTGATGGACAAAGTATTTGGCTTTCACACGCATAAAACACAGCAGGATGAGAGATTGGATGTGAACAATACTCTTCAATCTAGGTTTATGATGAGCATACAAATGTAGCTCTGACGTCTGTAAGTACTGAATTGGCAATGTTGACTCACAGTGAATAAATAATGAGGCGAGGTAATTGGAATAAATGGCGAGTGAGGAATAGGAAGGAATGGAAGTTGCTGTCAATGCTATCCCACCATCTCTCTCTCTCTTTCTCTCTCTTCGTATATTTATGTCTCTGAGTTTTGCGTCGGATTCTCTTCAAACGACAAATGTGTGTATACCTTTGCTTTCCCTTTATAATTATTATTACTAAAAGACTATTAGTACATATGCTACAGTGATGATAAAGTGAACCACGGAGGGGCTGAATAATAAAATGCCGGATTCACTCACTCATGGTCAAATCTAGAGTACGAACCTATTTATTAGTACTCAAAGTGGTGACTTTCTCTGACCTGGTAGACACGAGAAAAGAGAGCTTTTTTCTGTCCGCCGTCGTCCCGATTTCTTGGTTTGGTTAGGTCGACATTCGATTCTTCTTCTCTTAACGTGACATCTCGTCCTCAGGAGTATGTAGTTTAGTATGGAAGCGGTTGTGGTGGGCAGCAAGGCCAACGCGATACCACACGGGTTACAAAAAAACAACCACCAATAATAACACTGCCGAAGCCACTAAGCGGACAGGACACGGAACAAGGAGAAAATATCGGATTCCCTCCGTCCTCCTATCTTAAATATCTGGCTTGGTTTGGTAGCCTAGTGGAGAAAGAGCAGAGAGCCGGATGAAGATTCGCCTGGCTGTCCATGGGAGAAAGTGGTGAGAGAGAAAGGCTGCTGCCTGAGCTCAACAGAGAATATGCTGAGACCGAAATGCTTTCCGGGGAAAACCGACCGAGCGATCATACAACTTTTGGCAAGTGGGTGGGTTTTAGGATGATGATATGATTGGAATTTCGAGATATAAATTTTTATGATCACTCATAAAAACGTAGATTTTTCGCTAAGTTTAGTGAGGTACCATGTATGTGAAGAGTATGTTTGATAGTCACGAATTCTTAGAGCTGTATGTGCATAAATGACAGGTGAAATTGATGGAGACGAACAAATTCAATTTCAAATTTTATTTACAGTAATAATATATTTGCAGGTAAAGCTCGTCGTGTTATATCACATGAAGTAATAATAATCTAAGAAATCCAAAAAATATGAATTTCTATTTTCTTATTAAAACTTGTTATTAGGCACGTTGATTGTTCAAATTTTTCCTGGAAGCTAGTATTTTACTTAGGTATGTATATGCAGAGATCCGTGATTAACGGATTGGGATTAAGGATTAATAATCCTTAATGCTTAATCCCGACAAAAAATTGTATGCAATTAATCCTTAATCATTAATCCCGACGAAATATTTCCACGCCATTAATCCTTAATCCTTAATCCCGACAAAGCGTATCCAAATTATTAATTCTTAATCACGATTAGGATTAAGTCTCGCAAGAGAATAATCACTGAGAATGGAGTGAAGTAACACTAACATTACATATTCTCAAACATACGATATTTTTCCACTCTTTCTACTGTCCTCTCCCGAAATTAAGATGTGTTGAATTCTTTAACTTTAAATTGTTGCTTCCGTAAAAATACTGATTCAGTCGTTAATCATGGTTAACAGTGATCTGACTGAGCTGAAAAATTTGCCGTTCATCTTCACAGGCAGATTGTTTGATGTCGAACAAATTGACAAATTCAGCGGCTCTTTATAGGCCAGGCGCATAGCTTTTGCACCAATGTGTGCCATAATTGGTGTTAATATTAGGCCAACATCAAATTTTACTTCACATTTGACATGCAAAAGTCCTATACATTGTCTGTTTTGTATGTATTTGATGTTTCAATATTCCTATGTGCTACAATAAACAATTAAACTGCATTAAATGGAGTAATATAATAATAATATTAATCCTTAATCAAGAATTAATCAGGATTAATTAATCCTTAATCCTTAATCCCGAATCTCAGAGAATTTTGAATTAATCCTTAATCCTTAATCCCACCAAATTGAATTATTTAATTAATCCCGGATTAATCTAATCCCGGAATAACATTAATCCTTAATCCTTAATCCCAGAAAAAAATTCATTAATCACGGATCTCTGTGTATATGTGAAAGAATACATGATGCATACAATCTAAACATGAAAATATTTACATATGTAAGCGTGTCATGAGCAGGGTAATAAAATAACTATTTATCACGCAAAAACACACAAATCGTTTAGATTATTTTTTGAAAGCACGAAATCACACATTTCCTCTTGCAAGTTGATAAAAATGAGATGAATGTTGTTCCATCAGCACGCTGGGATCATCAAATTCCATAATTTCTCCATGCGACAATACCAACACCCTATAGAATCAGACACATTATATGAATTAGTTATGCGTTTGTTTAGAAAGCACACTTCATTTTTTCTCAGACATATGAAATTGAGCCAGGGTTTGTTTGTAATTAAAATAGCAAATTATTTTGCTTCATTGTGCCTGACTGATTGCATATATATTTCTGAATTTCACGTTTCTTTCGGGTCGAATTTCTATTTTAATTTCTACACTTTAATAGATGAATTTAAATCAAATTTTATATAAATGGGCGTTTGATCAATCCCTGCCTGGTAAGCTTGACAATTTTGTGTGTGTAAACCTTCATTTCTTTTATTTGCATTTTGAAATACCCCACCCACTGGGGACTCTTACTGGTACCCATGTGAAACAATTTGGCTCAACTTAGAACTTATTGTCACTTATTTGACTGAATATTGCCATCAAGTTCACCGAGTAGTTTATGTATTGAGTTATCGACGATAACTTTTTTTCGGCACGATAACTTATCGTGCAGAAAGACAAACTGACAAGGTAAGTACACATACATGCTTGCAACCGTCATGCAAGCCCCGGCTTGAGCCATATCATTAATTTAAAAAGTTACAATAAATATACAAATTACCTGTCGCAATGTAAAATTGTGTTTACTCTGTGGGCAACGGTAATCACGGTGCTATGACTGAATGATGTTCTCAAAGTAGCTTGAATTATTTGATCTGTATCAAAGTCCACATTTGCCTAAAGTATAAATTACTATTAGAATTATTATTAACAATGATTTATTATTCATTAATTAAATATACTTACGGTCCCCTCATCGATGACCAATATCTTAGCGTTTACCAACACTGCCCGAGCAAGACATATTAGTTGCCTGTATTAGTTGATATATTAGATATATAGATTAGATATAGTATTAGATATGGTGATTAGTTACTTCTGTCCCATAGATAACAAGTTCCCACCATCTCCCACAAATGCATCTAATCCGCCCAGTTTTTGAACTAGTGATTCAAGTTGGCACTTTTTTAAAGCACGAATAATCTCATTATCTTCTCTTTCTCTTTTCGGGTCTAGGTTCTCTCTAAGAGATCCTGTAAAAATTAATGGATCCTGTGGAATGATGCACATTTTGTTTCTGCAATTCAGTAAGCAAAATTAAGTTTGTCCCATTTACGAATGAATTATTTCAGAAAATATTAATTAGTGACAAGGCGACAATTTGTTTACCTGAGTTCAGTGAGGTATATGGACTTGATATTGACATGGTCAATCCAGATTTCTCCCTCAAAACGATCTACAAGCCGAAATAAAGTAGAAAATAGAGATGATTTTCCACTCCCTGTTCTTCCAACTACCCCAATCTTCTCCGCAGGTCGAGTCTCAAAAGATATGTTATGTAGAACGTAAGGCAGATTTTCTCTAGATCCGCAAAAAAGGAAGGTATTTTATTAAGTACTTGATGCAATTCTGAATAAAACAACACTTCAATTCAACACAACTTTCTTGCTATTAGTTTTACCTATACTTGAGACAAACGTTTTTGAAGTGGATGACCCCTTGTGGGGGCCACAAATATGGAACACTTTGTCCTCCTTCAACACTCAACTCAACTTGCGTTTCAGGTTCCACATCCTCAGTGTACTCACACAGTCGTTCAACAGCCACCATCTCTTTTTCGGTTTCTGTCAAAACCGTCACAAATCCATTGAGAGCATTGGTAACTGTAAGCGCATATGAAATTGCGAGTCCGATAATTCCTGTGTGTGGTGTAAAATTCGAAATTAAAATTAACTGTATAATTTAACTAATTATTTGGGATTTATGAAATATTAAAAACCTGGGTCAGCAGTTCCATAATGATGTTGGAAAATGCCAAGAAGGCCAACACTAGTCACAATAACAACTCCGACCATTTGTAATCTAAAGCTTAGCCACTGAGAAGCTGCTTGAGTAGAATATTGGCATTTCTGACTAGACTCCAAATGACTTTCGTTTTGTTCTTCAAATCTGGTAAAAAAGAAAAACATCATTCCAATTTTAAATTCCAAAGGGAGACCAATGGAAACACATAATGTGTACATGATTCAAAAAGCTTACCTTCGAATGGCACGCATTGCTCGGATAACAACGAGCCCTTTAAGAGTTTCAGAGAAATGGGAATATAGTGGTGACATAGACAAAGATGCGAGACGACGAAGTTGTCTCGCAGTATGCCTATAGTATTCTGCAATATTGTTACAAATCAGGACAAGAGGGATTATAACCACCAATATCCACGGCAGTGCATAGCACACAAGGATAAGCGTTCCTAACAGAATAATGCAAAATGTGTAGGTAAATACATACATTTAGTCTCTCAATGAAGGATAAGACACGTGCAAATTCAAACAACATACCGATTAAACCGAACGTTTGGGCGAGAAGTATATTCGATACAAATGGAAGAGAATCGTCAACTGTCGCAACATCTATCAGTACAAAATATAAAATAACGTGATGATGCGATATATTATTTACTAATCCTAAGCAGTGCATAGTAAATGCATTGATTGTCTTAAATCATTCGTAGTATTACTTACCGGAAGAAAAACGGTTCAAAATTCTTCCAACGGGCGTTTGGTCAAAAAAAGAAATTCGAGCCTATGATCATACATAATAATAGAATATCAAAATATCACCGCTAGTTGACACTAACAAGTATTTTATGAGTTTTAAGCTCACCTTCAAGATGGATATAAGTAAAGCTGAATGCATTTTGACGGCACCAGTAATCCCTAACATAAAATTTTAGTGGTTAGGATTCGTCATTTTCTTTTAGATATATATTTTATAGTTAAAAACAATACCTCCAATAGCAAACAGAAATGCTCGTGCCAATGTAAACACTGAATTGAACAGTCCAATTAAAATAAATATTCCAAAATAATATTTTATGGTGGGATCCATATGGTCAGTATTAAAAGGAATCAATTCGATAATGAAACTTGAATAATATTGTTGCTGATCTTCATTGCTATCTTGAAGGAAATTTTCACTACTACGTGCATTTAGATAGCTATTAAGTGGGGTTTCAAATGTAGGAAATGGAGTTGTGGTTGTTGTTGGTAGTTCAGTGCCATTGTTATCTTTTTGCTGTGACACCCAATATGCTAACCAAATGTCGCTAAAATTTCTTGAAGCTTGCATAATAATTATGGAAATTATAATCGACCAGAACAGACAAGGGCCAATGGCTTTGTAGTAAGACGTGAAAACGTGAAATTGGATGGTCCCCTCTCGTTGAGTCTCTTCATTTAGGTCACAACCGTCTTGATCTTCAACGGGCACTTGTCCGTTGTGAGTGAATTCAAACGAATGACCTGACTTGATCATGACAGTTTCATCCATCTCAGAAGGTGTTCGGGTAATATCCAATCGTCGTTTGGTAAAAGAATCCCCCCTACGTTCATCTAAATCTGATTCAGAATCAGAAATCGAATTTTCAATACTGTTGTCCCCGTATCTTGGTAGGATTTGGCTTGGAGTTCCTTTGAGGAACAATAAAATAGTATCAATCAGTGAATAAGAATTCCTATTATTCCCTTTGCAGGAATCATATATGTTGTGCGTTATGGGCAGTAACCTTCATCAATGATATTTCCTTCATTCAAAACTATAATCCAATCTGCATCTTTGAGAAACTGAGTGTGGTGGGTGCATAGTAGCCTCGTTTTGTTTTTTAAAATCCCTGAGAGTTCACAATAGTTGGAAAGAGGAGAATGATTTTGTGCTCGTGGATTACTACAGATTATTTTATTTGAGAAATGTATATTACCCATAATACATTTCCGATATAGTTGCTTTGCGACTTTATAGTCAACAGCAGCAAAAACATCATCGAGGAAATACGTATTGAAGTCCTGAAATAATTTTCCAATAATATTTAGAAGAACCAGATACACATTATCATAAATATTTCCACTTACTTGATATACAGCTCTAGCCAACGTTAATCTGATTTTCTGCCCACCAGATAGGCAAGTCCCATTTTCACCAACAATTGTATCGTCTCGATACTTGAAAGAGGATAAATCTTCTTTAAGACAGCAACTTTCAACCACAGATCTGTGCCGCAGAATAAATACATTTTAAATACATACATATATATTTTTAAAATGTTGTATGTAATAAACCAACTTATATCGGGTTAGATTGGTATTTGGAGCAAAGCAAATATTACTGCGAATGGTGCCGCGTTGAACCCAAGCTTCTTGTAAGACCAGACCGATTCCTAACACAGAACAATACATATATATCAGTCTCAAGAAAATAACCCATGAGCATGAGCGAAACAAATCAATATAATTGTATAAACGTATTACTAAAATTAATAACCTTCGTTTGGATTTGGCACACTTATACTTCCTGAAGACTTGTTAAGCTCTCCCAAAATAGATAAAAGGACGCTACTTTTACCGCTTCCGACGCCTCCAATTATACCAATAAACTGACCCTGACAGAAAATGAAAAACCAAGAACGCAGTAAAATATTAGTTATTACATGCTAATACTAACACTAACCTTAGACACTTTAAGGTTCAAATCTGAGATAGAAAGTTCACCAGCCCCCCAATTGAAAGAAGCTTGTTCGGCCAAGATTGCAGTACTTTCTTTCATCATTGTGGGTAATTCATCAAATACAGCATATGGTTCAGTCTCTTCTTCCTAATAAAGCACACAACCAATTAACACATTACAATTTATGTATTAAGATTAAAGGGAGGTATAAAATCGTCAAGTAATATAATAATTTAATTTGTAGTATTATTTACTTGAAGGAACTTGTTGATTCGCTTGATAGACACCCAAGCTTCTACCAGGCCATTTAATACCTGAATCAGAGTATGCTTCAAGGAATGTATTAAAAGCAACATTATCATATTTTACCCACCCAGGGCAGCGAATTGAGCGGGTTGATAAGTATATTAAACAGTGCAATGCTTGTGAAGACCTGAAAAAAACATGTGCCAGGCAGGGGTATTAGAAATAATTCATTTTGTGGTGTAAAAATTGAAAAGGAGTATATCTTTGACCTTTGATGCTGTGAGTTGGTTTCCCAACATGACATAGGTTCCAAAGCTGAGCACGGAAATCATAATCGGGGTTGTAGCCCAGAAATACACGCACAATGCGTCCAAATATTTTCGTCCCTTCAAGCATTTCATTTCCTTACATCTAATATCTGCATACCACACAAAACAGTGTCATTCATTATTATTGATAGCATTAAAGTCAACTGTAGTAAATAATGAAAATTTGTGACATGTGCATACCGTTCACTCGTTCAAAAAAGTAAGTTTCCCATGAATGTAATTTGAGAGTTCGAGCACCATATAAAATTTCAGACATCATTTTTACACGTTGGTCTAAATAAATTCATAAATTATATAAGGTATTCGTAATAAATTATATAACCATGTCCTATTTTGGTTACCTTTATACTTCATCATTTCTGTACTGAGTTGTCCTAATAAGAATAAGTAATGGCTATATGTACATATACCTTTACTAGTATTTGTATTTAACACTTACATGTAGAGACTGCGTCATATTATGCTTACCTATTTTTTTAGCAATTACTCGGTTCACAGGTATAAGTACTATTGCAAATATCAATCCAGCAAGGAATGAAAGGTCAATTTCCCGATACAACAAGTATAAAGTAACTCCTACTTGTGCAGGCAAACTCCAAAAAGCGTGAAAGCTTGGACAAAAATTGACTATTCTATCGGTATCGGTCGAAAAAAAGTTGAGAATTTCTCCAGAACTGAATTTATCCAGAGTAGTTTTACGAATATGGACGGTTTTCCTGTAAATTGTTGTGATGAGGGCTGCTCGGATTTTTAGGTTGATTTCTGCCATTTTCATGTTGAAATGTGTGTTCGCTAAAGCACCTGTTGAGTTGTAAAAATATGGAACTAAAATTATATACCGTTTAGTATGGAACTTTAAATCATTTAACTCCTATTCTCTGTATATATGTAAGTATGTACCAATAATTGCAGCCGCACATAGGCCCCCAACGTATCCGTAACCCACCCAAATTTCTTGGCTTTCACTTCCATCTTCAATAAATTTGACCAGATAGCTTAGAAAAATAGGCCCGCAGAATCCCATTGCATCAGAAATTAGTTTTAACAACCCAACGGAGTAAAACTCAAATCCAAATGAGACGTGCAAACTTTTTAATAGAGTCCTGGTAACTGTCCAACGTTGGAAATTCAATGCCACATGACGTGTCGATAAGTCTAATGGGAGGTCAAACAAATTTTCTGCTGCTTTCAGGAAACCACAGCTGCCTTTCTTCATTAATTTTGTGACCCAAATGAAGAACAATCTTGAAATAATGCCAGAGCGTTCCTTAGCCGTTCCAAGAGGAATTTCTTCTTCGTCATCTTCGTCAAATCCGGTATATGAATTGTTTTCATGTCCCTCATAAGCACTATATACTACATCATTTACTCTGGACCGATGTCTGTATTGATGTTGCTCCAAGTGAGAACTTCCAGGGATGAGAGTGAGCAAGTAAAAAAATTGAAGAATAATTTCGATGGCTGAAGTGCATAACCAGAGATAATCATCTGCTGGATAGTTGAAAAGCTGTGTCGTTTCGGCCTCGTCACCGTAATTCAAGTAGTCGTGAAGTTGTTGCTGATTATAATTATTGTGGTAATGTCTGTTGACAAAAAAATAATATCTGGTCCTAAAGGAGAATGCTGACACCACAGCAGAAGAAAACCATGTCATGAGGATTAGCTTCGGTCCTCGAGTATTGAATGAATTTCCACGTTTCAGCCTCAGCACGAATCTGTTTGTTTTAATCCAATCAATCAGGGTTATTGCTAGCAAAATAGGTAGGCACATAATTTACATGTTTAGTAAACATTGTTTACATGAGGTGAAGGAACCAGGCACCAGTTTTGCTAGTAGATATCGCAATCTCAGTGACACTTATGAGATGAGACTTGAGAACAAAATGAATTAGCATTTGGATCAGTGAGGTGATTGTCAAAAGAGAGACTAGAAGAGATCTGAAGTAAATTATAAAAGTTTGACAATTATTCCAGTCACTCGGTTGAGAAAATACTAGTCGACGCTTTCCAATGTAATAGGATGAGACAATGGCAAGTAGAGCATAACACGGAAGTTGAATTCCTAAGTGAAAAAAACATTGGCCAAAGTCTTGTACATTCTTGTCCCATATTCGAAAGTCCACAGAACCACATTCAAATGACAAGTTCTTCATGTTTGATGGTGATTGATTCAGTGGAATGGTAATTTCTTGTAATTACGCAGTATGTAGTATTTGAAGTAGTATAATGACACGTCATGTATCCATACTAATATACTACAGACTCAGATATCATCCTGCAACATAAATACATGGCAAATGTTGGTAATAATACATCAACTTTAATTTAACTGCATATGTAAACTTGAATTACAAAATGTAATTTACATTTTGTCGTTTCGAAGCCAATTTGTTTCAACCATGTCATATATGAATCCACATCATCAGCCCATCATCCGTCCTAGTTCTTCAATTCCAGTGAAGAACAAGACTGTGACAAACCATCAATAATATCAGCATATCGAATTTATAAGTTTAGCAATTTAGTGTTAAATATCACCTAGTGCCACACCTCCAAGTACGGAAAGTCATAGAATTTATACTTGATAATATCTATGTTCGGTAGGGCTCCAGGTTTGTATTTTCAAAGTTTTGACCAAGCAACACAAGCACCAAATGCAGCCGTCGGAGCCAAGTCTACTAGAAAGGATTGAAAAGGTGACTGATACGTGAGAAATTAAAATAAATTTTACACATACGTTAATTTTACCTTTTTGTTCGTTGTAATCGACGGCGTTAGTTTCTGAGCAAACAAATGAATAACCCCACAACTATTATAACCTCATGACGTCGAGATTTTCCTTGCTCCCTTGACTTAAGCGTGGTGTGATTAAAGGGTGAAGAGGGAGATAATTTCAGGTACTTTTCCAGACTGTGCAGAACTGCAGATTATTATTTTTCTACAGAGTGCAGAGTTTTTGCGAATACTTCAAAATACATTTGACAGAGATTCCCACCGAAGAAAGGACTCGTCTCACCACTCTATGAACCAACAGCTTCCTACGTTTCATGAATGATTATGAAGGTAAAATTTTATATCCTTATTTTAAAATATTTTTAATTTCGGAAATAAAGATAGAAAGATATGGGTTAGAAAGAAGCACTTCTGCGGGATTGATTTTCAGATCAGGACTCCTCAGTCTGGAGGACTTTTATAAACTATTTAACGTTTGTTAACTATTGTTTGCCTGATTTTCATGCAAATATGAACCCCCGAAGTGGCATCTTTTTGACAAATGATGATGACATCTTATTCAAATAATTTTTTATTCTGGATCACCTATAAATCTTTGTAAATAATTCAATAATTGTGATTTGCAAGAGCTAATGGCCATAATATGAATATATTAATACTAATACTACTAATGTATTTATATGCTTGAAGGGGGAGGAGGGGGTTTAGGCCCCAATGATATCGTGCCTATGTACGCCATTTGGGGATCGTGAAAATCAGTTTTTAGAGTTACGTAATTTCAGGCTTGGGCAAGATACTTTGTTTTCAGATACAAGATACAAGATAAAGATACTTTTGCAAAAAAATCCAAGATACTAGATAAAGATACTTTATTCTCTGTTCTTTCCAAGATACTTAGATACTAAGTAAAAGATACTTTTAAGTATTTTTAAAGATACAAGATACAAGATAAGATAAAGTATCTTAAATATTCCACAAGATACAAGATACTTTTGATTTTCTTTAAGATTTAAAAAAGATAAAATTTCATATTTTTTGCCATTTAGGCATCGCCAGTAAAATGAAAGTCTTACTATTGAGTAGTTAGGCATTTAAAAACACCTTCCACTAGCAAAAATACCACGCATATTTTCTTACAAATTACAATTACTACCTCATAAATCATAAGAAAATCGAACTTTAGATGTCGCGGGTAGCATATTTTGCAAAAAGTATCTTGTATCTTAAAAAATATCTTAGATACTTTCCTCTTGATGGAAAATATCAGATACAAGATACAAATACAAGATACTCTTTGAGGATTTTCCAGATACAAGATACAAGATACTTTGAGCTGAGGCGGCTGGAAGATACAAGATACGAGTAGTATCTTGTATCTTGTATCTTGTATCTAGTATCTTAAAGTATCTATCTTGCCCAAGCCTGCGTAATTTAAGAACGGTCCCTTTAATCCTTTAATACCGTCTTTTTGTGTTGATCCAGAGATGATGCATGCATATATGTGTTAATCTATGAATAGTTCATTGAAACTTATGTAACGAACAAATCTTTAAAATTAGATATTTTTGGAATATCGCTGCTGTTCGTACAATAGTTATATCGCCTTTAAGGGAATAATTGTAGAAGTTGTCCGATCAAATTTAGGGATATATGCGACTCCATAACTGTAACATGGTCTTTCCGACTCTTTCCCGCATTTGTACGCAACTATTGTTCCAAACTGGTTTCAAATGGGGTTGTTTTGTTCCCCATTAGTTTTTGGCCTGACAATATCTAGCAGCGAAGATATTATCAAGTTAGAACCGGCTACAAAATTCGAAATTGCACTATGCCCTGGCGGTATTTATGTACCTCAGTTTTTGCCTCCTTTCTCTTCTGCCTCTGATTTCTTTCATTCTCGTGAACTTGTTTTTTTATATTTTTCCGAACCGCTCTCACATTTTTAGGAACCTTTCCATGATTTTTTTATACGCACCATCCAGTCACCAGTGTGTTGTGCCAACACTGCCAACCACTCCCCCACATCTTGGTGAGCAAATCGAGGGTTGGAATTACAAACTTGGAAATGTTTTTTTAAAGAATTTCCGTTATTTTACATAGTTGATCAAGAGTCTTGATTCAAGACTTCTTGAGGCTTGGTTGACAAATAGGGCCAAAGATTGACTAATTGTTCTGTATTGAATTGAATGAATATAGAGTAGTTGGGAATAATTATTTTTAGTACAAAGTTTTATTATTTGTTGAATTCTAGCTTTTGACGAACCAATTGTAATGAGTGATGACTCGGAAGAAGGAAACGTGTGCTCAGGAGTTCAAAATATGAACCTAGGAGGTGGCAGAGCTTGGGGATCCGAGTCGACTGGAGATAAGAATCCAGGAAACCGAGGAGGTAATACTGACAATTTTAACTTGATTCAATATTAAATTTGGCAATAATAAACTTACGGCTAATTTTACATTATGTATGCAGGTGGTCGCGGAAGAGGTGGCAGGGGACGTGGAGTCGGAAGGGGTTCTCGTTCTGGCCTCGGAGGCGACGAAGACCGAGGCAGAACAGGTGAATGGGAATGTAGTTGCGGGGAAAACAATTTTGCTAGTCGGCGAAATTGCTTCAGATGCAATGATCCAAAACCCGGTAAGCGAGAGAGTAATCTGTAACTAATTAATGGCTCGTATACACAGTCATTATTTATATTATCGTGGTAGTTGCACTTAATTAATAATTACTATACAATTACTTAATTATGATTGCAGGTGGTGATGACGGCGATGACGAATGGTCTTGCGAATGTGGAGCAAGCAATATCGCCAGTCGGCGAAGTTGCTTCAAATGCAAGGGGCCGAAGCCAGGTAAAGTAGATTTGTCGTCATTAAATTTGCATTATTTAATATTCAAATACATGTTTTTATGTGACATCTAGGTTGTGGAGACGGTGAACATCTAGATGAAAAGCCAAAACCATATGTTCCGGCTCCTGAGTTGGAAGGAGACCAAGCCTTCGATGATCGCAAACAGTACTATGAAGGATCTGGCATAAATTTTTCAAAGTACAACGATATCAAGTTCGACGTAAGGTTACAAGATTAGATTGAGATGATCTTTATTCAAATTTTCCGTGCAAAAACTTAACAATACGGTATCTCGATTATTCCAGGTGACTGGTGTCGATAAGGTAAAAAGCTATAGTACCTTCGCCGATATGAAGCTCTCAGATCTCATTATGCAGAACATCGCTAAGGTTGGATATACTACTCCAACGCCCATTCAACGTCATGCCTCGGCTCAATTTATGGCTGGACTGGACGTGATGGCTTGTGCTCAAACTGGATCTGGAAAGACGGTATTATGTATTACATTGTTACTAATGTCGCCTTTCATAAAGTATTCAAATAATTTGCATAGTACTTAATTGCTACCATCACTAATTTGTATAATTTTTATTAGGCGGCATTTTTGTTGCCAATCATTAATCAATTGTTGAACAACCAAGGGGAGCTTAGTATGGGTAAAAATCCTGTGAAACCTGAGGCTTTGATTTTGGCTCCAACACGCGAGCTTGTAATTCAAATAAATCGTGAGGCTAGACTGTATTCTCAAGATTCTGTTTTGCGATGTGTCGTCTGTTACGGAGGCACTGCAATTTTCGCACAAAAGGGCCAGTTACAGGTAGGACTTGTTTTTGCATATATGTACATTTTCTCGTCATATTGCGTATATCCTTCCTTCATACTTCATGGAACGTTTGTCCAGCCCTATAAATGTGTTAATTTATTTATTTTCATACTTAGGCCGGATGCAACATTATGGTCGCTACTCCTGGCCGTCTGCTCCAGTTTGTCAATGAAGGTACTGTTAGTTTGACGAATGTCCAATATTTTGTTCTGGATGAAGCTGATCGCATGTTGGATATGGGATTTATGGGTGATGTGAAAAGGCTTGTGGACACAATGCCCCCTGTTGTAAGTTTTGTTTTATCTCTCCACTAGTCTTCGCTAATCAATTAATTGCCAATCGTAATATATAGATATTAAAATAACCTAAATAGGAGGACCGTCTGAGTGGAATGTTCAGTGCTACCTTCCAGACCGGAGTGCAGAAGGCTGCAGCTGAATTCTTGAAGTCAAATTACGTCTTTATTAGTATTGGAATTGTAGGCGGAGCTTGTTCCGACGTAGTTCAAGAGTTTTTACAAGTTGAGAGGTCAGAAAAACGAGGAAAGCTGTTAGAAATTCTCCGAGACTCCCCATCATCAGAAAAGGTACTCGTATTCTGTAACAATAAGAAAGGCGCAGACTTTTTGGCTTCCAGTCTTAGTGCTCAAGACATCTCTACGACATCAATTCATGGGGATAGGTTACAAAGTGAACGAGAACTGGCTCTCCGAGATTTTACCCAGGGCAAAAACAAGGTTCTCGTCGCTACCGCAGTAGCAGCTAGAGGTCTTGGTAAGTAAACCCGTTCGAATTTTGAATTTTAAAAATTTTACTATTTGTAGTACTTATGGATACTTTTATTTCTAGATATTCCTAAAGTGTCTATCGTGGTGAACTATGATTTGCCAAATGACATTGACGAGTATGTGCAACGCATTGGAAGAACTGGTCGTCTTGGTCATACAGGGCGAGCAATCAGTTTTTATGAGGAATCGCAAGATAACACTCTTGCTGCTTCGTTGGTGAGCATCCTAAAGGGAGCAGGACAGAATGTTCCCGAATTCTTCTCTGAGGATGTAGGTGGTTACGGACTCTCTGATGGATATGCTGATATCCGTAATACGAATGACCGGGTAATATTATTATTATTAACCCGCAGTTGTTATGCTCCGGTATTTACATAGTTAATATTAATATTTTAACTTCTCCAGGGCGTTCCAAAACCGGTAGAAAAATCAGAAGATGATTGGGAGTAATAACCAGTTTTGCCTTAATTCTGAAAAATGTTACCACACAATTTTTACTTTATGATGATCCACTAATTCGTCTTGGCAAAAAGTTGTGGATTAATTAATTAGAAATAAAGAAGTTTTATTCAAAACACAATACAACTTATTCATAAAATAGAGCAAACTTTAATTTATTAATTACTTAAATCGTGGCATTGCACGATCCATGCTTGGCATGGATTTAATTGTTTTAGGTGTTTGATTTAAGCCTACACATAGTATTATTAAATATGCATTAGAATTAGAATATTAAATTAAATTTAGTATGAAAATTAGAAATTGCGTGTGGTATTTTTCTCAGAGTGCAGTGAAGAAACAAAGAGAAAGCGAGATGCCAGTAACCATTGCGCATTGTCAAAAACCTATGGGCTATTCATACGTAATATGGTATCATTCATGACATCAAACGTTGTCTTAAAATTTATGTGGTGCATTTTTAAGATAAATGATCGCACATGTAGTTAAAAAACCGACTCGATTTAATTTATTTAAGTATGAACTTAGAGTTAGAATTAGTGAACAGCTCTCATGAATTGTAGGCGGAGAGACGCCATACACAAACACGCCCACCGGCTCTTTCTTCTTCTCACTAGGCAAATGATTTCTTTCTCGGTATTATACACACATCTTCGTGCTCGTCCTCGAATTTGTGAAAAGTTGACACTAATTCTTTGACCGTTTTATAAAATAATTCCACCCCACGAGAGGGTGTGTAATCTAATCTAACAAAGATAGGAGTTGGTAATTTTAATTGTGACGAGGATGAGTTTCCCAGCGGAAGGGGATCATCAGCACCATCACCGAATTCCCGTCGCCCAGGAGGGAGAATTGTAAGGGCGAGGAATTTATTTTTTTAACCCAAGTTTGTTAAAACTTGCAGCTTTGATTTAATAATATGCTGTTAAATTAAATAATTAGGTATTCGCTGAAATGGCACACCTTCCAGTCACATTTGACCTCAGGGTTGAAACAATTCCTCTTCGACGGCGATTTTTTGACAGATGTGACTTTGGTGGCCGAAGGAAAGATGATTCGTAGTCACAGAATGCTGTTGAGTCTTTGCAGTCCGCATTTCAAGCAGCTGTTCCAGGTGAATTTCATTATCAATAATTTAGTGTGCTGTTGCTGCTGCTGATGATGATGAATATGTTTATTTACTCCTGTTTCCTGTTATCTCCATTCTTGAATTGGGTTGTTTACATAATTGATGTATTTTCTGTCACTAGTGCAGATATATTACATAAGTTTGGAGACGACAATGCAAGTTAATGTTTAGTGGAATGATTCTATCAAATGATCTTGGTTTCATATTATATTCAATATTTAATGTTGCATTTTATATGTTCGTATTTCTTAGGGGAACTCTGCACAGAACGTTAATACAATTGTGATACTCAATAATGTTCGATACCAAGATCTGCAGCATGTGATTCAGGTAACAGTGACATGGAGTTCAATGATTTTACGGACACGTTTAATTTATCTGGTAGTATAAATTAATAATAATAAACTTTTCTTTTCAGTTCATTTACAATGGCGAAGTTAAAGTATCAAACAATTACGAACTTCAAGGATTTTTGCAGACTGGTGAGCTTCTTCAGATTGAAGGACTTACCAAAACAAGTTCAAAACACGAGACTGAGGGGCGTGAGCCAGCATCACAACAACAACAGGGGCACTTATCTCCCAACGCTCAATCCACCCCAATCCCACAAATGCATCATCGCCGTAGTCATATTCAAGTACCTAATAAGGGTGGGCCGGGTCCCGCTCGATCTCATCAAATTCCTGTAACCTCTGCTGGGGACGGCTCTTCTCATCCTCCACCCACCAAGCGAACTCGCCTCTTGCCAACAGCAACAGTCACCAGCGCAACTGTTGCCTACGGTGAAGCCAATAACGTTGTTAGTAGTATTACGGGAGATCTGAATTCGTCATCTTTGGAAGATGGTGGCGATGGAGTATCAGGAATCGACCCGCTGGCTGTGCCTGATTTGAGTTCGATTGCAGCAATGGTGGAGCATGACCCTTTGAATTTGATGAATGAAACGGGTACGCATCCATCTACGTTTATTATTCGCTGATTTTTTTCAATTAAGTGTTAATTATTATTAAACCTATGCAGGCGTGAGTCAACATCAACATCAGCACGGTGTGCCAGGAATCGACGACGAAGAACAAATGATTACTATTGACTCCATCAAGAGCGAGTCGGGTGTTGAAGGACTTTATGACGAAAGAGACGAGGAAGAAGATGAGGAAGGGTTTGAAATGACTGATCACGGCGATGCTTCTGGGTTAGGAGTGGATGGTAACACTAAAATGCGAAATAACCGACCGAGCTGCATTGCATCTAATGTGATATTCAAACCCATCACTCTGTTCCCTTTTAGGTATGTATGACGTGAAATCTTCTGGACCTGGACCTTCGTCTGCAATTTCTGGTGGTGCTTCGGTTGGTGGTGGTGCTAATGTCAAACCTCCAGGTAAGATGCGCTTTTTGTTTTTTGCGTAAACATTTAGTGATTAGTAAAAACATTCCACTCCTCTCTTCTTTGACTGTACTAATACGCCGGTCATCTGCATTGGGATGGTACCGCGCACAAAAACGACCAAAAACCTTGTCGAGTGAAATGTTAGTTCTCATCACTTTATGTCACCGCACAACTACTGAGCTAAGATGCATTTTAGTTAGATGGAAAGGTCAAGGGATGATAGGCTCACCGTAGTTGTCCACTTTTCATTAATATTTTTTGCTGATTTCATTCCATAATGAACAAATTCTTTTACGATCTTGTTTAAAGAAAATGGATTTCTGTCACGATTTCATTCTATTACCATAAAAATAATGGAAATATGCATTTTAATCAAATCTTAATATCGCATATGTACACAATGTCTCCGGTTAATTTTGCTCTTGCCAGTTATTAATAGTTTAAGTATTTTCTTGCCTGGACTTTGGCGATTTTGATTTAATGTCCGCAGTGGGCATACGTATTCCTCCTACGTTACGAACGTCTATCAGGAGTACAAATAATACAACTAACTGATGCTAAAAGCAGAATACTCTGCTAATAAAAATACTTCTCTCGATTTCGTATCCCGGCAGCTGGGTAGCAATTTACTTGCTACATGGTTCAGATTTCCTTATATTAAAAAATGCTCTCAACTTTTAAAAGTTTTTTAAAACATACTTCTCTTTTGGTCGACCAAGTAAATTAATAGTCCATAATAAAAGAAGTTATATAATTAGGTGTGGCACTGATCTGTGTGTCCTTTATTTGAAAATAGAGTCAAGCAATAGATAGATATTCGTTCATTGGAATACAAATCAAGGGGCGCAAACTGTAATGCACTATGAATTCCTTAGGGAGAAGGAGGTATGGACCACTGCTGGATTCGACGAATGGGGCTATGGTTTGTGGAAGGCTGACAAAATCAGGCCAATTATGTGAAGGATTACTTGTTTTTCAAGCACATAGATATCGTAGCAAGGGCTGCGAAGAAGTGAAGGAACGGCCTTCAACAAGGTGTAACAAGTGTTGGTGTTGGCGTGCACTGAACGCTACTTCTCAGATGACACATTTGTACTGAATACTTGAAATCATTCTGTAGTGTTCAAGATTACTATTTGATTGTTGTAAAGTTTGATTATCTCTTGATTTCGCAGCATAATAAAGTACAATTGAAAATTTGAAATTTAATAAAAATATTGAATTATCGGGCCAGTGGAGTTATTCTGCAGAAATGGAATACATTAAATTGACCATTAAACAAATTGGCCCCTTCTTTTTTATTACTAAGGGAAGGGATGAATGCATGTAATTATACAAATATTTGTATAATTATATACCTTGGCGAACTTTGAGACGCTATTCGTAAAATATCCCTTGATTACACATCCATGAATTTGGAACTGTATTGGAAATATTTATACAACTCATTGAGTTGTATGAGCTTTGTGGTATTCACTTAGCAGGAAGGTCTTGCAATAAAATTATGGTGGAAACTCTCTGCTGAACGCATCAATAAATGCACATTCTTCACAATAAATCATTTATTTTCCGAGCAATGCCAAACACGTTAGATTGGGCTCGTGAGGTACAATCAAAGAAAGGCGAGAATACCTCTATTGGAAAAATACATAGTTTCGTTCAGTGCAGTTCACTTATCTGTTTCCTGTTTCTCATACTTTGTAGGCAAAAGGATTCAGGATAATCGTGATGATGACGACGGAGATCCTCCAATCAATAACCGTAATTCTTTGCCAAAATTGTCTATACATGAACAAATTTGCGTTCCTTGCACTAGGGTCACATCCTCCGGGGTTGTTTGTCATGGGCTCATGCACAAGCGGTATAGACGAACCAATTGTAAAAGGAAAGATAACCTTAAAAGTAATAGTAGTACGAAACAAATTGACGGTGTTCTACCTGGCTTCGAACTTCTTTTAAGGTGCAACAAATGTTCTACTTGGCGATCTCTAAAAAAATGGCAAGAGATCAATTATATTTATTGATTACTTCAATTCAAGACTAAAGTAAGATATAAACTGAACTAATAAAAATGGGTATGATACTCGAAATATTATTATACAGACTCTGAAGCATATTCTTCCTCATATTGTACAGTGCATACATCTTTTGAAAAATTGAGATAAAGTTCTTTGTCCAACTTAAGTCGCCTATGACTATATACGTGTGCGTTAGTATTTTATCGGATGGTGATATTTTTTTGTAGCACATTCATTTCTGATTCCGGTTTGCTTGTGTTGTTTCAGAGAAAACTGAAGGCTTCTTCATAACCTCAACTCCTACTTTAGACAACCTACTTTACGAGTTCCCATCCAAAGTAGCAAAGGGACGTGGGGATAGATCGGCCGTATGGCAATTTTTTTCTATTGACGTCAAAACGGAAAGATGCATGTGCGTTTTCTGTAAAAATGAAATTGTAAACAACACATCTACACTAAAAAGACACCTTAAAGCGAGACACTCTAACAAATTTTATAACATGTAATCTCCCGAATAATTTTATCCGTCCATTTTATCCATCTTTGTAACCCAAAAATTATTTTAATTTAATTATTTTAGTTTTGAAAAAACTTTTAAACCAATTTAAAAAAGATGGAAATGCTCATCTGTGAACGGTTATAGCGTATAAATAAAATGGCAGATGAGAGCCAGTACATTTGTAAATTGTATGGATCTGGGCTAAACGCCACCGAATTATTTAATCATATAAACATTTTGTAAGTTGCTGCTTATCAAAATGCTTTACGATCAACGGAATTCTGTCCCCACTTCCTAATTTTGACAATGTATAGACTGCATTGCTACATGGGATTTTCAATCGAGTCATCATTGAAGTACATCGTTAATTGTAAATTCTGTATAGGTATAAATGGAATAGTGAAAAGTAGCTACCATGAAAATTGTGAGATATTGGGCAATAGTTCATTAAAATTTGACCTTCCGATTATTCAATAACAAAGTTTGCAAGCAACAAGTTCATTTATGTAAAGCCGGCTTTGTCCAAATTGAATTAACAAATGATGATTTTCAGTTTGCTGTTGGTTCTCTTGGGTTTTGGAGATTGACTTTATTCGTTTGCTTGATAGGTGTAAACAGAAGAAAACAAGTGATTAGGCGCATAAGAGCGATTCTTGGGAAAGACGGTCCTTCCGATAAAATTTCCAAAAGTGCCTCGTCAGTCAAGCGCCACGCTGAAGTCGCAAGTTTATGTAGCAGCAACATGTCCAAGTTCAAATTTCCTTATCCAAAGAGAGGGATTGGAAGAGTAGATCTGGATGAAGAATCAGTGACCTCCGTCTGGACCTTCTTTCAATATAACCCTATCTCTGACCGGTCACAATGTAACTTTTGCGGTTATATGTTAGCAGGAAAAAATTGCACAAATCTTAGGGTACATCTAAAAAGCAGACACGCAGATTTATTCGAATTTGATTTGACTTCCGGCCAAGTGTATGGGCCATAAAAGTTTAACATTGAAACTAATAGACAACAGTATTACGGTCTAGTTAAAAAACTCGCTCGATGTCGATAGTTTTAAATGCCCAAGTGATTATTATTCGGTCGGTATACTTATTTGTGTTAATATAATAGGCAGGCAGTTCGAGACGCATCGACCCCAGTCATGGTCGTCTTCATCATTATCACCTTCCGTTCGTCCTGAACCTCGAAGCTTTATATGGCACCATTTCACCCAGACATCAAACTGTAATGAATATATCTGCAGAGTTTGTCATAAAAAGTACATTGCAACTGATTCCGTTAGTAGTATGAAAAATCATTTAGGACTAAAGCACAACTTGTATAGTAGACAACGGAAAATAAAAGTGGATACATAAAGTACTCGATATGGGCAATGAATAAGCAAATATGTAGCAAAGAAGCGCAATTAAGTATTTGGAGATTGTGAATTAGATTTGCATATATATTTTTATTATAAAGTCTGTGAAATTATGGTTAAAACACCATAAAATGAAACTTTAAACTCTTGTTGAGAAATATAACTGCAATAAAACTTGGTCACTTGAACATGCTCAGAAATTAGAACTTGAATCATTTTACTTGACTCAACCAATAAAATTGATAATTTTTGTTGCACTCGGAGATCAACACCAAAGGAATACATCCACAGCCAATTACCAGCTTATAAATCCGGTTACCACAACCATTGTATCCACCACTGTCTGGGATTATTTCAAATGGGATGAGCACAGAAAGAATGCAGTTTGCCTGTTATGTTCCAGAGAGATCAAGCGTCACGGCACCAGAACATCCAACATGTGGCGTCATTTACAACGAGCTCATAATATTCAAAGGTGTATGCATGGCGGGTCGTGATGATGTAAATTGGTGTGAGTATTCTTTTCGCAGAAATAAATTATACCTTTCACTTAGGGTGGTAGGGTATGTGAGATTAATAAGTGAGTACTTATGTATTTATATCCAATATCCATGTACAGTTTCTCCTTTTGCCTTCTTGACTATACTTTCCGTATGCATATCACAAAATGGAGAAATTCCCTCATGTAAATTTTAAGAGAATTCTTGCTTGCTCTATATGCAGACTTGTTGGGGGGATATGGTCCATCTCTGCTGGTCAGGGGCATTTCCAAGATTTCATCTGATCGAGACAGAAGATTCGGAGGATCGTCGAATGTTTGGAAACATTACTCAAAATTTAACCCTGATTCTCAAACGGCCAAGTGCCTATCGTGTTTTAAAACGGTTAGAACTACGAAAGCAGCATGTACTTCCAATTTATGGACGCATCTACGACACCATGGTATCTCTCGATATTAATAAGGTAATTTTTGAACAGCACCACATTATTAAGGGAATTCTTCTTTTATTTAGCACCGAGTGATTAAAAAACATTTAAGAAATTGTTGCATCATGGTCGTGGGATAATTTGGTGTTAGTATAAAAATAGTAATAGTAATAAAACATGCAGTTCC